GTGATTGACACAAGATGTGAGTCTCATGGTCTTTATCATCTTCGTCCCTTTACACATGTTGGTGCAGTTATAGAGTCTCCCTCTCTTCTCCATGCTCAGTTAGGTCATCCAAGTCTTGCCAAGTTACAGCAACTTGTCCCTGCCTTATCTAAATTGTCTAGTTTGGCATGTGAGTCGTGTCAATTAGGCAAGCATAGTCGTACTTCCTTTCCTCGTAGTATCACACGTGGTGCTTCATCCCCTTTTGTCGTGGTTCACTCTGACATTTGGGGACCTAGCCGCGTTAAGTCTACTTTAGGTTTTCAATACTTTGTTACTTTCATTGATGATTATTCCAGATGCACTTGGTTATTTTTGATGAAAAATCATTCTGAATTATTTCATATCTTTCAAACATTTTTCAATGAAATTCAAACTCAGTTCGGTGTTTCTATTAGAGTTTTGCGCAGTGATAATGGTCGTGAATATCTTTCTCATTCTTTTAAACAATTCATGGCTTCTCATGGTATTTTGCATCAAACTTCTTGTGCTTATACACCTCAACAAAATGGTGTAGCTGAACGTAAAAATAGACATCTTATTGAAACAACTCGCACTCTTTTAATTCATGGAGAGGTTCCCCAGCATTTTTAGGGTGATGCTCTTCTTACTGCATGTTATCTTGTTAATCGCATGCCATCTTCGGTTCTAGATAATAAAATACCTCATTCCATTTTATTCCCTCATGAACCACTTCATCCCTTACCTCTAAAAGTTTTCGGGTCTACATGTTTTGTTCATAATTTTAGTTCTAGTCTTGACAATCTTTCTCCTAGATCACATAAATGTGTTTTCTTAGGGTTTACAAGATCACAAAAAGGATACAAATGTTTTTCTCCTTCTCTTAACCGTTATTTTGTGTCTGCAGATGTCACCTTTGATGAGTTCTCTTTTTATTTTAAAAGTCAATCTTCACCTCTGTCTCCATCCAATCTTGTCAACACTCCTAGTACATTTAATGTTCCTGTTGTTTGTGACCCTCTAATTGTGTCTTCTTCACCATTAGATTCTACTCCGCAATCAACTTCTTCTTCACTGCCTCTTCAGGTTTATAGTTGTCGAAACCAATCACAACCACCACCATGTGACTCTACTCAAGTGCCAACTACTCTGTCTCCTCCGGATGTGACACCTGATTCTGACCTTCCCATTGCCCTCCGAAAAGGTATCCGTTCTACACGTAATCCCTCTCCTCATTATATTGGTTTGAGTTATCATCGACTATCATTACCTTTTTATACATATCTTTCCTCTCTTTCTTCTGTGACCATTCCAAAAACTGTCTGTGAAGCTTTAGCCCATCCTGGTTGGCGTCAGGCCATGTTAGATGAACTAAGTGCTCTTCATAATAGTGGAACTTGGGAATTGGTCTCGTTACCGTCTGGAAAATCTATTGTTGGTTGCAGGTGGGTGTTTGCTATCAAAGTTGGACCTGATGGTACTATTGATCGCCTCAAAGCTCGTCTTGTGCCAAAGGTTATACTCAAATTTTTGGGTTGGATTATGGAGATACCTTTTCCCCTGTGGCAAAAATGACTTCTGTTCGTTTATTTATCGTCATGGCCGCTCTTCAACAATGACCTTTTTATCAACTAGATGTTAAAAATGCTTTCCTCAATGGTGATTTGCAAGAAGACATCTATATGGAGCAACCTCCTGGGTTTGTTGCTTAGGGGGAGTCTTCTGGGATGGTATGTCGTCTTCGCAAATCCCTATATGGCCTAAAACAGTCTCCTAGGACCTGGTTTGGAAAGTTTAGCAAGGTTATTCAACAATTTGGTATGACTCGGTGTGAAGCAGATCACTCGTCTTTTATCGACACTCAAGTGCTGGATGTGTTTACTTGATAAGTATATGTCGATGACATCGTTCTTACAGTGTAGTGACAACCATGACATCTCTCAGCTTGAAACAACATCTCTGTCACCATTTTCAGACCAAAGATCTTGACAAACTTAGATATTTCTTGGGTATTGAGGTGGCACAGTCCAATGATGGTATTGTTATATCTCAGAGGAAGTATGTCATGGATATTTTAGAGGAAATTGGGTTGATGAATTCAAAGTCTGTTGATACGCCCATGGATCCCAATACTAAACTTTTACCAAATCAGGGGGAGCTTATACATGATCCCGAGCAAGTATAGAAGATTGGTTGGAAAATTGAATTATCTTACGCTTACTCGTCCCGACATTTCCTTTGCAGTCGATGTGGTAAGCCAATTTCTTAATTCCCCATGTGAAGATCATTGGAATGCGATCATTCGTATCTTAAAGTATATTAAAGGATCTCCTGGAAAAGGATTGTTATATGATTCTAATAACCATACAAGAGTTGTTTGCTACTCGGATGCTCGATTAGGCAGGATCTCCTTCTGATAGAAGATCTACATCCTGGATATTGTGTCTCCATTGGTGGTAACTTGATCTCATGGAAAAGTAAGAAACAAAGTGTTGTGGCAAGATCTAGTGCGTAAGCGAATATAGAGCTATGGCCTCAGCTGCTTGTGAACTTGTTTGGCTCAAGCAATTGCTTAGAGAGTTACAATTTGAAGATGTCACTCAAATGTCACTTGTGTGTGACAATCAGGTTGCTTCTTCATATTAGTTCTAATCCTCGTCTTTCATGAGAGGACCAAACACATTGAGATTGATCTGTCATTTCATTCGAGAAAAGATTATGTCCGGATACATCAAGACCGAGTTTGTTAACTCAAGTGATCAGTTAGCAGATATTTTTACTAAATCTTTACGGGGTCCTAGAATTGATTATATTTGTAACAAGCTTGACACATACGATTTGTATGCTCTAGCTTGAGGGAGAGTGTTAGATATTGTTTAGATATTATTTAATATTGTTAAGATATTGTTAGATATTAACCATAATATCAAACAATATCTTCTGTTTATTCTGTTACTTTCAGTTACTCTTTTAGTTGTATCTCTCTACTATAAATAGACTACCTTATGTGTGATTTATCCATAAGGGAGATTAATCTCAAACTCTATTTCTTCTATATTCAACAGTAATAATAGGTTTGATCAGATCTTATTATTTTTAAACATAAAATGAGTGAATAGGAAGCATTGTAGTCGAACTAATTAAATATAAGGGTAAAATGGTCTTTTTCATATTAAAACATACAACAGTCAAACCTTGGTTTGTCTTTACATAAATTTTGTGTTTTATTGTCTTATTTTTAGATGTTTACCATGTTAGGAGACATTAAGGACTAATAATTCAAATCAAAGGTACTATTTAGGTTTTTTACTTGATTTGCTTTGACGAAATAGTTGATTTGAATTATTTGCATATATTATTATTCTTTTTATGTGCTTATGTTCATGATATGTGTTATGAATGTTATCCACACATACTTTTCTTACAGTGTTATACGTGTGATTGACTTTTAGTACTTTGTTTCTACTTATTAGCCCTATGTTTCTTCCAGTCTTCAAGCTTTTTAGTTTCTTAGGCTTTTAAACTCGACAATTTAAGAGCCATGTTAAAATTAGTCAACAATCAAACAATTATTTTTTTCTTTAAATTAAAATAAAACGTCCACAAAAATATAGTTTGATTTATTTGTATCATTTGGACAAGTAAGTTTTATATTTTTAAATTAGAGGATTTTTTTTTAGCAAATTACATTTTCAGAAAAATTTAAATTCAATCAACCACATACTACTTCTATCAGTGAACCCATTGGCTCTCACTGATGGTGCCTAAATTCATACGTTTGGATTAATGATTAATCTTTTTCAATCTCACATATCCTAGATTTTTGAAGTTGAAATTTTCAATATCCTCAATCAATGTTACTACATTATTTTTTACTTTCAAAGCTTATTAATAATTTTGCATGTTATTTGTTTCAAATGAAATATTAAATGTCTTTTTTAATTTATAAAATTGAATGTTCATTTATTAATATACAAGTGTATAAATTTTTTTAAAAATATTATTTGTATAATATATTTTTTAACGTAATTCAATATATAATAAAATACGTTCTCAACTTTATATTTATGAGAAACTTCTACTAAATATTCGATAATAAGTTTTAGAGAAGATAATGAAAATCATTCACATTTAAAAGGAAAGTAACACAATTTTGCATAATATTACCTAAAATGCTCTCACACTAAAGATATTATTTGCATGAAAACCTTATTTTATATAAAATGTTTTTTTATTAGAATCTTTAATTTATTACTACGTTAAATGATTTAACAAATATGAAAAAAAAAAAACAAATGATCTATTTTACCCGACAAAGTTAGATTTTTCACCTCCCATATATAAATGTTTTTGCAGAAAATTTATCAAAAATATTTTTTGAAAAAACATTATTTATTTGTTATATATTGTTTTTTATATAATTCAAAGATTAAACATACTTTTCCAACTCATCTCTATAAGAAACTTTTTTTCTTTCTCATACCAACTATTTAACAATTGTTAGGTTAGATAAGGACAATAATGTAAAATTTATTTAAAAGGGAAGACATATAATTTTGCATAATCTTACCCTCTGAAATATTCTTACACTACGAACATGATTTGTACAGAAATATTAAATTAGTCCCATCACGTTCTAATTATAAAATATCATTTTTAACTTTCTATGGTCAAAGACTAAAAATCACTTTCATTCAAAGACCAGCACCTTCATTCATAAAACATCAACAATTTAAAATCATGATAAAATCAAATTAAGTATTTAATAAAATTTAAATGAATTATAATTGCAAATTTAAAAATATTATACAAATCTAAAATTAATTATAGTTAATGTGAAATGATTTATGATTTTGTTTTACATTTTATTTTATTCATAAAAAAACATTATCCCCATTTCAGAGAGGCTAAATGGAACTGAGGGAATCATTTCATGGAGCAGTTACATTAGTTATGTTTTAAGTGAACTCAACTCTCTGCACGACATCTTATTATTTGGAATGGATTGGTTATTTCAACTCTTTGTCGCGGGCTTCATTGCGTCCCTAATCGCATTCAGAGCTCACAGAAAGAAATCCCTCAGCAATTCTGGCGCTGTTGCAGGGTTCTTCGTTATGGCCCTTCACATTTTTGTGGGATACAGGTAATTCTCCTTCATCCTTCTTTTCCTATATGTGCCTGGTTCTTGGGTGGCCCCAAAAAGTAATCTTTTTGTTCCTCTGTTTTTGGGTCGTCAAGGTTTGGAGCTATGCTGCTTGCCTTCTTCTTTTCTTCATCCACTCTAACAAAGATTGGAGAGGATAGGAAGCGAACACTCGATCCTGAATTCAAAGAAGGTGGTCAAAGAAACTGGTGAGCTCTTTCTTTATTTAGTTGTTTATTCTTTTTAAAGGTCAATTGGTTTTGCGTTCTTGTTAGTTAGAAATGATTGTGTCCTTATTTGGATGGATTCTTTGATGGAGTTATGGATATGATGGTTGAGATATTTCTTTCTTGGAGTTTAGTTTGGTGTCACTCAATTGAGGGATGAGTCTGTTAGTTTTCGTACAATCTTTCACATAAAGTTTATTATTGGAAATTTTACCCTATGTTTATGAAGATACCAAGTTCACACACACTTGGTTTTTCTCTTCTTTCTAAATATTCCTTGTTTTTTTCAGGATACAAGTTCTGGCCAATAGTGGCATTGCCTCGGTTCTGGTTGTAGCTATATGGGTGCTCACTGAAGGTCAGGATAAATGCTTGGACTCAAAAGAATCACCTTTGATCACGGCTCTCATTGGTGCTGTTATCGGCCATTATTCCTGTTGCAATGGGGATACTTGGTCTTCGGAGCTTGGAATTCTCAGTAAGGAGGATCCCCGTCTAATCACAACCTTCAAGGTGAATAATGTCTTGGTCCAAGTCCTTCATTCTTGGATCATTCTATCCATATTTGGTGTTGTCTTGTTTAGTTCAACTTAAAAACAACTTTAAACCAATTGTACAAGCCAGAGGTTTGGTTTTTAGTTTATTAGAAACATTCATGAATATTTTTCATAAGTCTAGGGAATTTTCTCAATTAGAGTTCGTAGTTGATGCCTAAAGCTCCATTTCCCCGTAATCTTGGCCATTTTCCAAAAAATCACCCATCAATTTTGATAAAAATTCAATTTTGGTCCATAATTAACTAGGACGAATGAACAAATATCCTAACCGTTTAGCTTCATTTTTCAGTTTTTGTTCTTTTGATACAAATACAACAAAAATACTACAACACTGGATAGAATTTTATTAACTAATGCTAAAATTTTAAAACATTGGTTCTCTCTTTTAATTGAAGTTTGTACTTAAATACTAATTTTATATGTTGCACTATGGTCATGTCATGTCTTCCAATTTATAAAATTTCATATCCGTAGGCCCATGTTGAATCTTATCTGTGCCCAATGTGTTGTATTCATGCTTCCTAGATCGTTAATGTTTGGACTCTCAGTTCAATATTGTGTAGATAAGTTTTTAGCATCTAGTTGCTTGCTGATCAAATCCACACCCATTAGTCCCTCCATAGACCACTTTTTGTATGAAATATGGAATATAACCAAATCTGGCCTCACCTTTGATATATTATTAGAATAGTCTTTACAAGGTTAAGTTTAGCTTTATATTAGCGATAAATTGCTGAATTGGGTACATGTACTAGCTGGACACTGTAGCATAGGATTATAATGATGATAGGTAATTGTTCCATCTTCCTCACGTTGCTATGAAATTGAGGGATTAAAATGTGAAGTGTGCTTATTTGAGGGACTAAATTGAGACTAAAATTAGGTTAGTGAGGGAAAATAGGATTTTTGTCAAATTTTCAACCTAAAGACCATTTCATGAGTGATGGAAGTGACAGTGACAAACAGTAGGAGTGGAGACTGTCCATGGTCGGGCACGGCACTGGGAGGGCTAGACCATTAAGGGTGAGCAAGGATGCTACAATGTCGTTAACATTCACATTCCAGGGTAATGTAGCTACCCTACCCTAAATATGTCATGAATTTGTTTTTTGGTTTGAAACCTCCTCAAAGGGGAGTTTAAGATTCTGAACCTCCCTAGCTTATTTCTTACATTCTGTTCATATCACTTATTCTGTGGGCATATGTGTAAAACGTATGGCTACTTAGCTAGTGTTACCAAACTCTGCCTTAGAATCCACGATATGACAAGTGGCCTATTACATTCTGGATCTTTAAATAGAAAATTTAAATAGACTTTTGCTACTGAGTTTAAGAATTGTGGTTACAAATTTGTTTCTTTGTGATTATCAGCAAGTGAAGAAAGGTACAAACGGTGGTGTGACAATAACAGGAATTCTAGCAGCTGCAGCAGCTGGAAGTGTCATTGGATTGTCGTTTGTTCTTTTGGGATTCTCAACTACAAGATGTGAGTATAGTACATTTCTCAAGCAACTACTGGTCTTACCCATTGCCGCCCTGGCAGGACTATGTGGAAGTGTCATTGACTCTCTCTTGGGAGCAACATTACAATTCAGTGGATTTTGTTCTGTTCGCCGCAAGGTAAATTTACTTACATCGCTACCATCTATAGGATACTCTTTCCAATTGGCATAATGATCGAATTCCTATATTACATTGGGTGTTTGTTGAATAAATCTTCATGTGACTAGGCAGTGATTTCTAGGTTGAATAAATCTTCATGTGATTAGGCAGTGATTTCTAGGGCAAAGTTACCATAGTAAAAGGCACCATAGAACCCTCCTAATTTAATTTAGATATCTGATACTTGAGATGTCTCACTCCATTATGCAGGTTGTTGGAAAGCCAGGACCAACGGTTAAAAGGATTTCAGGTGTCAACGTCCTTGACAACAACGCAGTGAACTTTGTATCAATACTGTTGACCTCATTTTTTACTGCAATAGCTTGTTGGTACATTTTCTGAATTCATCACCAGAAGCGGGTGCGGCAAAAAGGTCTCAGAGTTCAAAACTTGTGACTCTGGTGTTAGACTGTTAGGATTTCCTATACTGTTGTATTCTCAGTCATCAATTGGGAATGTGGGTTGCATCAACATTTGAATAACAACAGTATCTGGTTCTAGAGCACAATCAATCATATACTTTCTTGTTTAGAAGAACGACGCAGGACATATTTAGTATCTGTTTGACAGTTTGTTATTTATAGTCAATATCAAAGAAACACTTGGCATCACAAAAATGTTATTGTTGTCAGCAAATTTTCAATTCACCCTGAATATAAAGTAGAAAAAAGGTCATGAATTAGTTATTCATTGTGGTGCAACTAAAATAACAATCCTTTCATGTATATATCTAGCTAGAATAGTAATTGATAACATGTGGTCACGGTGACTCAACGAACTATTTCTGACGCAAACTGGTCGACGAGACTTGGATGGGCCTGGTTAACACAATCTGATTGAACAAAGCAACACTTCAGCTGGATAACTAGAATTGCAAGACTGGACCTAATTTGAACCCTGATGAATTGTTTGAGATAGGATGAAATACGAAAAAAGAGGTGGAAGATTAGGCAGGGCCGCAGCGTAATACTTGTTGTTAGGGACATTATTGTATGATATCGTTCAGACAAAGTTGCTGGGGTCCGTTTAAAAGACCTGCCTCCAACGGGTCATCTTACGCTTTTAACACCTCTTCATCATGCATCTCTCAGGCAAAAGACAAAAAGGACAAAACCTCTAACTAACATTTGCAACTCATTCTTAATTTCTTCATCCACTTTTTTTTTTTTTTTAAATAATACAAAGAATTGTTATCAAGATATCTTCTAATGTTTTTTTGGTGGTCACTGAACAGTCAATAATTATTAATATATTTTTTTATCGGTTGGAGGGTATCTACATTTCATTAAGATAAATATTGTGAATCTCATTTTTTATTTAATGATTTTCTTATAACAAAATAGTTTTTTTTATTTATTTCTTGGTCCTGACTTAAAATTTGAAACCTGACCAGTGGGTTGTACTTACACATAAAATATGTAGGGCGTGGTAGATTCTTCCTTTTTAAAAAATCTTATATGTTTTCAAAAATAGAAATTTAAAATGTTTGAGTGTAATTTTTTTAAATTATTCAAAATTTATATCTCTTCTTTAATTTTCATTGTTTTAATCTCTGGGCTATTTTTATTTTCCACTTTCAATTTATTATAATTTTTTAGTCTTCTTTTCTTACTCTCTATCTCCGAAACCAAAAGAAAAAGACACCTATGTACTTGCTCCAACAACATTAACACGTTATTTCGTTTTCAACAGTAATGTCCTGACTTATGAGTTAAATTTAACACTTGACTAGAGATGGAGCCATGCGTGCATGGGACAGAACAGGTAAACATAAATTCTAGATCAACTTTGTGAAAAATAAAAACAACACTTGTCACAAGGGCTTTGCTTTAATTTGGTCAAAAACAAATAAGCATTGTTCGGCCACTATTAAATATGCATAAATTCAAAACTCAACTCATAGAAACTGTTGAATGCCATGCCTGTTCATATTTGGACCCCAAGAGGGCTCCAGTTCATCACCCTGCACTAGAATCACCATGCCTTTTGCCGACAACATAGCAGAATAAAGGGTCCCAAAAATTTTCTTAGTTTATTGTTCATTTCACCATTACATTATCACCAGAGTAACTTGCGCTAAATTAAAACATTCAACATCGAAAACCCGAAAAGGGGTACTTGTTAGGCCTATGCCTCCTTCCTTGATCATAAAGTAAATTTTACAAGGAAAGCTTATCATAACCATAAGTCAAAAGTAACAACATTCCAAAAGTTACATCTTCTTTTGTATTTATTAGCTCAGATAGATACACATATAAGAGACTATATGATCATAATTTTATGATAGGAATGGTGCAGGTGATGATGATCAGCCTTATCTAGGGGCAGCAGCAACATAACACATCCAAACAACACTCACAGGTCTCATAGCAGCAGAAGCAGCAACACAAGGCAAACAAACTGCAATTGCAAATCCCAATGAAAACCCCCACCAGTCAACAAATGACAGCAAAAATAAATTAAAATCGGTGGTTCATTCACACGAATAGTACACAGTGTGAAAGGAAAAGGAAATTATGAAGTGTTGAGAACAAAGATAGCAACATGATGAAAATTGAATCATCTTTGTGCTAGAGTGGCAACATCAATAATAGCAGAAAATTTAACAACAACAAAAAAAGCAACCATGATAGCTATACAAACCAAGCGTAAAGGCAACCCTTTTCTTCGTGGCGCCTGCGAACATGTTCCACATAACTTATGTCTTGGTATTGTGGAGGTGCATACATTTTTCTTGCTTATTTGTTGTGAAAATTAAAATTTGAAGGTGAAAAATCAATGGGGTTGATGAAGTCATGCACAATTGGAAAGATATGATGAATTCTTTGCAAATTTATGAGATAAAAAAGGGGTTTGGACTGTTCGTTAGGGCATTTTAATTCTTACTTATCAACTAAGTTTCCTCTCTGCTAACTGCCATTCAATTAATTTCATTTGACTTTCAAGTGCTCATTCAAATATAATGACTCAGAACATAAATTAGACTCTAATAATAATAAATATTAAATACGTTTTTATTAGTTACATAGATTTGCTAAGTTTTAATTTTAATTTTAATAAAAGTTATCTATGATTTTCATTCCTTGAAAATTTACAACTTTTCTTTTATTCGTACATGATACTAATTAACGACAGATAATAATATAAAAAGTTAATAGCAGTAATACATGCTATATCTACATTCAAATATTACAGTATATATATGCTATATTATATTGATTTTGATTTATATAAATGAAACATAAAATAATTTTGTTATTAGTGAAAGAAACTTTTAATTGAACATTGAATTATTATTATTATTATTATTATTATTATTATTATTATATATATATATATACACACGTAGATTTGACGATTTTCATTTAAAATGCAGTACACACGTAAAAATAGACATGCTATGATGGTGGATTTAAAAGGTTTGTAAAATGAATCATATTACACTTAGAAATTTTGACTTAAACTGAATTTTAATTTTATTATTTAGCTCAAATGAACTTAAGCAAAATTAATTTATAAATTTATAAACTAAGATGGACCATTAAATTTTTTAAAATATTCCATAATAACTATGCACCATTTTGACAGCACACCACATATGTGACAAAAAAGGAAAATTGTGAAGGTGAAGGTGATAAACGTCTATATCTATGACGCAAAAGTTACGACATTAATTATTTTAGGGATTAGTCCAAACTAAAGGGTCTCTGATAATACCAGTGTAAAGGGTGAATGCATTAAATGTAAAGTAAACTTTTGTGGTTGGTAGTAGGTAAGTAAGATATTGCATCCCATTACTATTTTTTATACTTTATTACAGTAATAAAAATCCCATATAGATATTTTAAAAGTTGAAATTTTAGAATTATGTAAAATATAAAAAATACTATAACTAAGCGCTTCTTAAAGAACATGGATCTTTACTATCCCTGTTTAGACCGTGTTAAGGTAGAGGTTTACATCATTCCCCACCAAAGAGGTCAATCTAAGCAATGAGTGTTCATTCATGTGGGTGACTCATTTATTATAACTCACTTTGTTTAATAATTTTTTACAAACATTAAATCTCATCAGTTTAACTACTAAAATGAAATCCTACATGTATAATTAAAAAAAGATCAATATATAAAGCACAACAGAAAAGAAATAAGAATAATAGGCAAACACATTTTTCTTGAAAAAGAGAAGCAAAAGAGGAATAGGAGAGAGGAGCAGGTAAACCAAATACTCCGTTGAAAACTCATTGGAGCAGGTAAAAAATAGACAATAAATGAATGAAAACATAGAAGTAACTTTTTGTTTTTCACTTGGCATTATAGGGAGAGATGCTTAGAATAGAGTGTTGCAGAGAAGGGACTACTAAGGTGGGGTCCATGAAGTAAGAAAACTGAAAAAAAGAGTGAGGGTTAGGGTGCTGACACTGCAAATAATTGCACGCACGAATAAGCCACCGACACACACACCCCCACACCTGCTCTGCTATGCTTTCTCTGCTCTCTTCTGCTACCAACGACAATATCATAATCATAATCATAATAATATAATTAAAATAATACTAAACTATCACTGCCTACTGTGTTTTCTCAATTCAAAAAACCATCTTTCTAAGCATTATGCATATTATGCAACACCCCTCCCTCAGTCACCACAATTTTTTAGCCTACTAAGTATGTATTTGTATACATACATGCATACCCTATTCTGCCAACAATAACATGCCACAAATAAATAAAAACTCAAGAACCACACCACTATTATGTAATTAATTAGAACCTTAATTAGGCTTACATCATCGTCGTAATCATCATCATCATCAAATCATATCATAACTCAAACCAATTAATTAGCTTAGCATGCCACTGAGCATGTAGCAGATTTTACTGGGACTAAAACATCACCACCACCTACAGAAGAAGATTGGACACCAGCAGCAGCAGCTGCTGCTTCTAGGCGTTCCCATGTTACTCTTCTCCTCTCAGCTGCAGCACTTGCACCTGATTCTTCTTCCTCAATCCTGCGTTGGCATGCTGCTACCAGCTCCTCGTCCATCTGAGTCAGCATCTTCCTTATGTTCTGAGTCAGGTTCAGCACTGCTTGATTCCAGTGACTTTGAGCATTATGTACAAGTGCTGAGAACACCAGAGGCAGAATCACCTGTCGGTTTTGCGTTATCAGATTCAGAATGTGCTCATTGTTCCATAGCAAATGTGCTCGTTCGGCCACCTGAATTATTAACACATCAATATAAGCTCACAATCATACCAACATAGCCATGTTGCATGACATGATTCAACCGACTCTTGTACAGAATGCCTCAATCAATTTTACACAATATAGCATAACTATAGGACTTGCTGGTTAATTGGAGTTTGGAAATCATGGTTAACATCAGAACCAGTGTAGAAAAAAACTACCTGATAATGAGAACTGTTAAGACAGTACGCCATTCGTCGGAAGAGTGGGACCATGATATTCTGAAACTCGGCCATGCTAGTCATTTCCAAAATCTCTTCCAACTCACTGATGAACATGAGCTCCTTTTGGCTATTTGTTACTGGCCAGTACTTCAATAATCCCTTTATCACTGAGCTAGCCAGTCTTTGATCCTTGTCTATGAACTGTACAACACAATATGTTAACTGCTGGTGATAAATACCAACAGATTTAGGTTTGTGCAAAGGAAGTAAAGCCTTCCACAAAAATATCTTATGCTCTTCCTTCAATGGCAAGGCAAACCCACTAATCACACTCCCAAAAATCTCCAGCAGCTCTGCGATTCCGTTATGCCGCTCTGTCTCAAAAACAAACCGGTAAATGATGTTGCTAACAGATTTCCGTATGAACGGCCTATGAACCATGAATTTCCCATAGATTCTATGCAGAATTGTTTTCAAGCAATCTCTTTCTCTAGGGTCCTCAGAATCAAAAAGGTCAAGTAATCTTAGAATGAAAGCATGATCAATATGTGCTTTTGCCACCTTCATATCAAGAGAGTTATAGTTGATGAATTGAAGGAGTAGATCATAAACAACTTGTAAGTGAGACCAGGCAGGATCAAACATCGGTTCTTCATCTTCTGTTTCTCCACCAGTAGTACTTGTTCGAAACTTAGGTGGGAAAACCCTGAACAAATTAGTCGCAAACATTTTACATAAAGCCGCGATTGCTGGTTCTGTGAACTTGACAGATCCAGAAGAAACATAATCAACAAGCTCCAACAGCGTTTGTCGTTTGAGATCTTGCTCTGTACTGTTCTTATCAGGATCACTCATGTCATAAACTTTGCAGCAAAGGTTTAACTTACTAATGAACAGGCTTTGCTTCTGTGTATTTGAAACATCTTTGAAGGAGAGACAGGGGTCAACTGCTTCCACTCCAGCACTCATGCTTGCAGGGAAAACAACCGAAGATACCCTCTTCACAACATTTAATTTGCTTGAAATGGTGCTTCCAACATTTGTACACTGAAAAACATTCCCAAAACTAGTAGAATTGCTAGAATCACTCCTAGAAGAATCAGACGAGTCAGACTTTGGCACCTTCTTTGGCAATTTGCTAAGAATTTGCTTTATCATGGTGGCAATCTATCCAACAACGCCTGCAATCAAATTATCACTCTCAATTAAAAGCTCAAACCCTGGGAGTTCTTTTAAGATTATTTAACATGTAACCTTAAAATCAGCTCACGTTAATGTAATCATTCACAAACATAGCAAAAACGGAAAACAAGGCATGTTTACGAGACATGGAAATTGTAACTAGGACCAACTTAGAGGTTACATCAGAACATCAAACATAAAAAACTAAAGAAAATAACCAAATTCTCTGCAAGAAAGAATATTAAACCAGGAATGAAGACGAACTCAATATGCTCGAGAAGGTTGATAATCGGAAGAGTAATGTAAAAACATGGGACATAAGCGGAGAGAGAGAGATAGGGGAAAAAAAAAATCAAGAGAGAAACACTACTCTTCGGACAAGGGGATGTGGTAAAGGAATTGAGGATAGCCAAAACATACGTTTTTGAAAGAAGGTACATGGGTATGTCTTCCAAGAACAGCTAGCAGCATATTCTAGCCAGATCTAACAATTGTTTATAAATATGTATCAAGAGATATTATTGAATTCAGTACATTAGTATGAATCTTAGTAATTTTTCAACTACAAAAGACAATTAGCACTGAAAGAAGTTGCAGAATAAAACACTAGCCATTCCCTGAAGCATCACCCAAACATACTAGAACATGTTCATCTCAACAAATTTTGTAATTAAACAGGAGAAAAAGGGGGAAGAGAAATTGGCAAGCCTACAGTCGATACAAAATTAAAGACTTTAGAGAAGCAGCAATAGTGGATGGGTAGAACCGAGATCTGGGCTTGAAAAATAGAAGATGAAATATAACCATTAAAGACCTTGTGTACCTGAAAAGATCACCAGTACTAGAAAAAAAAAATTAATACTTCAGTACATAACAATTCAGTTAAACTCCAAGGTGAGTTCCAAACAGGAACCCCACCAAAATTAGTATATTTAAGAACAGCTGTTGAGAGAGAGTGTGTGCAAAAGAAGCAGAAAAGACCAACCTGGTTTCTGTGAGACAGAAGCAAACCCTCTTAAGAGGGTGAGAGAGAGTGAGAAGGGGAGCTAGTCAGAGAACAAGTTTAACTTTAACGGTTTGCATAAAGATGTAACAAGCTGCAGAGATGGGTGAAATGGGAAGAGAGAGAAGGAAGAAGAAGAAGAAGAGGTGGGAGTAAGTGATTGTTTGGAGGTGAAGAGTGAGGAGAGAAAATGGCGTTTGATCCAAAGAAGAATGCTAGATTTGGAAAATGAAGGGAGAGGGAGCATTTTGATGCATCAAGATGGATCCCTCCATGAATGGCACCATGCTCAGAAAGAATTGCCCCCCTGCTTTTTTCCTCGATTCAAGAGAACAAACGACGCCACATGTTGGTTAAGTTAATGTTGCTTTGTTACTTCCAACACAACCGCATCGCAGGTACAACTACAACGCTCCAATCTCCTCCCAACCCATCTTAAACTCCATCTTAATCTTCAGTTTACACTAAAATCCTGCACAGTGAACTCAATTATATTATCACATATATAAATAAACTATTCAGACTAATACCAATCTAATTAACGAAAGCCAATTTTTTTTGCTACAATTCTAACCTACGGAAAGGTATACACTTCAAGTAAATAAAAGAAATTACTGGAAATATGTGTATGATTATGAAATGGTTAATTCAGTTATTGGTTTAGTTTTGTGATTTATTTTATTACTTGTTTTGGTTGGACAAAAAGGTGCATAGGGCATAGTCCTACATAGGGTGATTACGTAAAGTGAAAATAGGAGATTTTGGATGCCCGATTTCGAGGCTAGATTTTTGGAGTTAGAGAGGGGAGTGACAGAGAGAGAAGGTGGATGAATGAATGAATAATGAGTGTGGGATGGATGAGAACAAAATAGAGAATCACGAAAAGTGAGGGACAGAATCACCGCAAAACACACACACACACACACACAGATAGAGAGAGAAGAGGGTAAAAGTAAAATATGGCAAAAACTATCATCATTCCAGAGGGAAGACAAGACATAAAAGAAAAAAAGTTTGCGATAAATTACCTGTTTTGTATTTTAATGCGTAAATAGGAAACTGTTCGTTCTTTTAAAGAACAAAAATGTAAACTTTGTCCTGAATTGGTTATTAAGTTTTATAATTTAATGTCAATTTATTTATAAAAATTATAATTTTATTGTAACTACAGTATATTGATAAAATGACTTCATAAACTTTAACAATAAACGTAATTTTATATATTTATCCTTTAATCATGTCCTTATGAATCATAAGAAAACGAAGAAAAGGGATGGGATTGATTCAAATTTTGTTGAGAATTAAAATTGATGATAATCATAATCAAAATAAATGAGGAAAGGAAATGAAAAAAATAAAAATAAAGGAAAGTGAGAGAAATAGTTAAACATAAAATAGAGAGTAAATCTTGTCATTTGCTTCAACAAGAGAGAAAGTGAAAAAGGTGTTTAAAAAGTTTTGTGAGAGATAAGACATAAAGGATTGGATTTTAATTATTAGAAAAAATTGAGATATTTTTAGAATATATTTTACAAATAATTTATTTTGAAAAAATAGGTTAAATTATTATTATTATTTTACGTATTGGTAGAAGGATTCCCAAACTTTTGAAACAAAATAATTGATGAATCATTAGTTTTCTATAAAATAAAACAGACAACTTAAACCATATTTTTAATTAATATATCTGATGAATTCGAGGAAGATAAATTAAAAGGATGATAGGAAAATAAAATAAAATTGCCACTTTTTATTAGGGTTATAAAAACTTGTGATTCGATCATTTAATGAGTTATTATTTTTAGTTTAACTTGATATTATATTATGTATTAATTATGATTTGATTAAAAAAATATATTTAAATAAAAATTTAAAATTTTAATATTTAAATTATGTTAATAAAATTAATTTTTATTTAATATATAAATTATAAGAGAAGATCTATTTAATTTTAAAACAATTATTTTTTATTATTATTATTTTAGTAATTTATTAATAAAAAATAATAATTAATTTTAATTATTAAATCTTAAAATAAATAATTATTAAAAAATTATTTTAATATTTAGTTTTAAAATAAGTAAATCTTTTAACAAAATAATTTATAATAAAATAATATAAATTTATTTGTATTTTATAAATAAATATTATTCTATAAAATAAAACTGTCTATAAATCTATAAATTTAATTTATTTAAGTCTATCTAAGTCATAATATAAACAAAATTAATTAAAATAGATTTTGTTTAATTTAGATTATAAATTTTTTTATCTGATTTAATTAAATTTTTGAATAAATGATTCAACCTATTTTCACTCTTAATTTTTTATGATTAAGGTTCGAAATAGATTATTTAAGTACTTGCATGTAATAATTATATGTTTTTGTAATATTAACAAGTTTTATTTAATTTAAATCATAAATTTTTTACTTAATTTAGTTAAATTTAAAAAAAAATGATTCAACCTAATTTATATTTTTTATTATTATTAAGTTTCGAGCAAGATGATTTAAGTACTTGTATGTGATATTTATGTGTTTTTTTAACATCAATTCTATATTCTATTTTTTTGATAATTAAAATATATTTGATAGTTTATTGAGAGTGTGAGATGAAAAAGTTAAAATTAAATATTTGATTTATTTGGAAGTTGAAAAATGAAACATACATCAAATATATTTTATTTTAGTTCATTGGGACTGTTATAAATTAAGATCGGGAGAGAAGTTTTACACATCTTTAAGAGAGTGAGAAAAAAAATGATAAAATTAAAATGAGGACCAAAATACCTTTCTAACAATATTTATTAAAAATCAATTTCCAATAACATGAATTATTCTTTAATGAGAATAATTGATTTTTTATTTTTATTAAAATGATGTAAAAACGACTCCAACTCATGTAGACAATTAATTTTAAATTTATTAACCGTCTGTTTCAGTTATATTATTCTTTTAAGGCTTGTACTATTTTAATGATCTTTTACTTAATTTGTTGAAATTTAATTAACAATTTAAAATGGTTTTTAAAATGTTTATTACAAAATAATTTCCAATTAACATAAATTATTCTTATTAAAAGATTATATAAAAATGACTCAAACTCATAACCAATTAATTTCAAATTTATTAACTGTCTATTTCAATTGTATTATTTTTTGAAGGCTTGTACTGTTTTAATAATCTTCGACTTAATTAATTGAAATTTAATTAACATTTTAAAAAAATTTCAAAAAATTTATTAAAAAAATTTTCCAGTTAACATAAATTATTCTTAAACATGAGTGATTTTGTTGTTAATTATGTATATATATAAAATCTTGAATGATGATTGTTTAATAATCCAAACAGATAACTCAAAATCATAATTTATGATTATATAGTTTCATTTAGGATTATTTAATTATTTGAGTTGTTAAATAATATTTTTATAAGATTTGAATGATAATTCTAATTTTTTAATTTTTTTATCTTAAAATGTGACAAATCTACCGATGATGAAATAATAAGTTTTCCAATATTTAGGTTTTAACATTTTGATCAAACATTTTAGTCATGAGTGAATAGACTTAGTAAATTTTAATTTAAATAAACATACAACAGAAACATCTTATTTTAAAAAATATTTAATAATACATTAACTTTTCATACTACATGCCACTTGCATTGCATCAAACGATATCCTAAATTCTCGAAACCATGATTTAGTATATATATTACGATAACTTTTGCTAAATCGTTATTCTTTTTGTTTCAAACAAAAGTTTAATTTTATAGACTGTAATTATAAAATATTCCAGTTTATTAACTAATTGAGAGCTATTCTACATGTAAATTCAACAAATTATGATAAAAATCAACAATCTAATAAAATATGACAAATCTTTTGAATGATAAAATAAAAGAATCTATATTTATTAATATATTACAATCAAATAGTTGAAATAAAACCAATCATGTAGCACTTTGCTATATATAAGAATCCTATGGGAGTGATTTGTAGATTTGAACGGGTAACTTCGTTTATTTTTTATATTTATTTTATGTTTATTCAACTTTATATCTAAAATCTCATTTCTGAGAGAAATCTGAATCATTTTAAATAATTGAGAAATAGTTTAACCTATTTACAGTCGTACCTACGTACACTTATTTAAATCAATATTTTAAAAAAATGTAAATTAATTTATAATTGATGAAAAAACAATGTTTCTCATTTTATTTCCATGTAAATACTTAACTAATATTTATTTAAACATAAGCATAAAATTTGAAATGTCCTTCAAACAAAAAGTAGCTTAATAAACATATTATATGGCTCAATATAAAAGAAAAATTCATGCGTATGTTTTGGTTACAGCTAACATTGTTTTCGCGCGGCATAAGAACAATTTTTAATTGAAAGTTTAACAGTTAAAATAATAATAAAATCAATTATAATTTATTAATTTCTACAATACTTTTTATACAACATTTTTTTTTGTCAAGGTTACAAATATGCTTTAAGATTTGTATAACTATTATTTTTTAAATTTTGATTTTTTTTATTTATTTGGAGATGAATGAGTTTAGTTACTACTTTTTTTTAGTTTCAATTATTATATTTATTTCATATTCTATATTATATTATTAGTTTTATATTATATCTTTAAATATTTTCGACCAAGTTAAGTAAAGATAATGTATAATTAAGTAAATGTAATATGTCATATTAATTAGTGTATTGGTTAAAATAAATAGTTATATATAAAACAATATAAAAAAATAGAAAAAATAAAATATATCTATCATTGTCAAGTTTTTTGAAATATTATAACGAATTAATAAAATAAGTATTATAACATTATGATAGTTAAAGTAAATTGCGTAACAAAAAAAAAGATAAATAGAGAGAAAGAAAAAAAAATAAAAGAAATTTAATAAATAATTAAAAAAATAGAAATTAAACGTCTAAAAAATAAAATATTTCGGGTAAAGTCTCAAAAATCACTTAAAACTACTTAAACAGACTTTTTCAAGTAGGAAAAAAAGTAGATACTAAAGTTTTGAAAGTTTTACCAAAGATAGCCCAATGTACACATCTGAATTCAAAATAACAAAAATAAATAAGAAATTGGAAACATTGTGCATAGATAAAGGAAGAGAGAATTTGAAGCATATAAAAGTGAAAGTTGTAAAGCCCAATTATAGAGTCCCACCTGCACCTGCACATATACGTAGGACAGCACATGTACAGGCCCCCACATAATTTCGAGACTCATCCATCAAAGAAATATAATATGTATTCATTTTTATTATAGGCTTAGAGGAGAAGACATGTTTTGCACACAATAATTCCCACGTGGGAACTTGGCGTAAATACAAGCTGGAGCATACAAATTCTTGCATACAGACTAAACAATAATAATATTAATAATAAGAATAAGAATGATGTGTTCACAAGGAAAAGAAAAAAAAAATGCATCTTTAATAGGAGCAAGATAAAAGAATAATAATATACATTCCTAGCTATTTTGAACAAGCAATTGATATTGAAAACAGCCTAGCAGTAGTGCAATAAGATATGAAATGAAATATGGAGCAGAAAGAGAGACCAGAGCAGTAGCTAATTACACTGAGAATGAGATTTACTGCTGCTTTTCCCCTTACCCACCAAAGTAACACATATTAGAAGGTGTGTATATATAATATATATTAAGACATGTAGATGGGACAGACAAGCAAAACTCTCCAGATAATCATAGCAAGGAGACTGATGCAACCCCCGATCGTAACCATTTCAAAAACCTTAGGTGCTTTCTGCTGGAACCTGATTCACAAAACCAAAGTTGTTCACAGGTTTGGGCCTCCACTCAGTCCTACCCCTCACAATCTCAGCACCATTTTCGAGTCGAAGCAGATGCTTGCACTCAACATGTCCGCTATCAGCTAGATTGCCAATATCGGCACCAGATACAGCAGTCAGGGAATCCAGCACACTGTCCCTACCACACTCCCTCCTATACTCTAAAGTCATGGAAGTAAGCTCATGACTCTCCAAGATTGGCTGTGGAGCACTCTGCAACAATTAAAGAACATTCCTTTGGTTATGCGGCATCAAAACTTAAATTGAACCCCTATTTATCTCCAAGAATAAATCAACCAGCAATAATTAATAAAAGAATGTAAATGATTTACATAAAGATCACCCCTATTACTAAATTTTGTAATGCTCTCTCAAAACTGCATATTGCATTTAAATTATATCAATATTATTTTCAAGCCACCACCACACTGTGGTCCTCCGAACTAATATCATCAATACAGAAAAATTGAATATTTTATCTTAAATTGACTTCAACCATCATATCAGCCATTTCCATGAACCAGAAAGTACCCATACTCAGATACCCACCCACTTCCCTCTTAAAAAAGCACACTTCGCAATCGATTGATTAGGTAGACTGCCAGACACGGCAGACTAAAAAGAGTAGGGTTCTCCACCTAGGAAATTGGGTGTCTGAGCATCATAAACAGCAAATGCCCCGTTTCTAGTCAGATGATAATTTTCATTAATAATTCCACCCTGATTTCCACGTGGCCTTCCCAAGCTTGTGCCACAAAAGGTGTTCCCAATGAAAAATTGAAGATAGAAAATAGAAAACAATAATTGAAGTTTATTAGAATACAAAAACAGAAAACTACCTCCAGAATCCAGCCAATGTACTTCACATTGTTGACGTGCTGGTTGACGTCTAGATCACTCCATCTAGGCTGTAAATTTGAAGATCCGTTATGTAAACTAATTCGAAAACAACATATGAAATCATTTAGGAAAATAGCTGATGACAGCGATTGCAAAAAACTTGTTGACATACACTTAAACCAGTAAGAATATAATCTGCAGTGTTGTCATCAAGTTTAGTCAGTTTTCTGCTATCCTCTTCCAGGATTGGATCAGAATCCACAAAGTAAGATCCTATCTCCTCTCTGACTTCTTCCGGAATTTTAGATAGCCTTCTAGTCAACTTATTCATCATGACCCAAACACTGTAGATCACCAAAACCATAACAAACTGTTCAGCAAATATATGATACTACAAGCTCTAAGCGGATGAATGTGTAAACATGATAATAATAAACTGGGATACAAAGTTCTGCTTGTTCAATTAGAGGTTTGCACCTGCTAAATATAATACACTAATGATGTATGTAGCTCAAATATTAGCTGTAACAACTTTGAGTTAAACAGGATAAAAAGACGAGCAGTTTCTATAAATTTTGTATATTTTGTACGAGTTTGAAAGATCAAAATTGTGCCCAATCACCAATAATGCACATTCAGATATACACATCTTAAGATTAGCTGGAAGAAGCAGGAAGGGGAAAATGATTTCTACCTGGAGGCTCTTGTCAAGATTTCACCAGTTTTGCAGTCACGTAAAACCCAATCACGACGCATGCCATTCTTCCCAGATGCTGAAACCCACGTGTCTACTTGAACAATGTCACCCCTGATGCAAATTTAGACACCCGACTTCATACGATTAGATGAGAACAACCATAGTAATACTCATCAATAGCTTATCTAACTGCAATCCAACGCCAAGAAGCCAAAGTAACTGCATACTTTATACATCTAGTTCTCAAAAAAATCAACAACTCTATTGCATAAGGCTTCCCATAGTTCATTGTGTATAAAGCTCGTGTTTATCACATCAACTGACATCCCCAGAATCTCACAAGTATTGAGGTTTTCATAATTAAGTCTAAATAATCACCATGACTGTATTTAGAGTGATAATTTCTTATAAAGATTCACTAAAATAGACAAATAGCTTAGCATGGATATATTGCAAATCACACATGTAATAGGTGAATCTGGGTGACTTACCAGGTAGGATAGCGATCAACCACAACCTGCATACGAGTAACTACCCATATCAAGTTCTTTTTACACATTTCTGGTGTAGAACCAAAACCATCACCAAGAAGGCCAGCACTCTTAACATGATTAAGTGCAGTTTCCTGTTAAGCAAATAAATAGTTGAGATAAATCTATAATGAAAAACATTAAAAAAAAAATGATATTATCTATATCTGAATTCAATTCTGTACAGTGAGTATATACATCCCTATGTTATAACATATTCATCTCATTAAAAAAATCATTGTATGAAAACGAAGATACCTGCAAATGGTTCATTACTGTTTCTATAGATGCTGTTCGATCAGCACCAATCTCATATGATCTAATAGAAAAGTTTTCCCGGAACACAAGGCCATCCTGAACAATTTTTCCTATCCCAAAGGGGTCAATAAGCATGTCAGGTCGCCTTGGTTTCCAATCAAGCATCATCCACTGCTTTTCAGCAGCTAAGAAAATTGTGGTGATAGCAGCAAGAAGCATGCTCCAATCAGGTAGCTGGTTGATAAAAGTCCTAGGGGGAGGTGAAGGTAAATCATCCTCAAGCTTCAAGCTTTCTACAGATGTAGCAACTGTGCTTCCATTAATTTTCGAAGGAGCTTGTGCCTTTGCCTTCAAGCCACCAGAAGTCACAGGTTTGGATTTTAGTACTCCAAGGTTGGCATGCCCACCACCAAGCTTGTTGCCTGCTCCACCAGCGTCCGGCGACGGAGAAGGAACAGGAAAAAGTGATGCAGTAGCCGCAGTTGCCACCATAATGAATTTCTACTGCAGCTGTATGTAAAGTTTGATAAAGTTAGAAAGAAAAAGTAAAAACACATAGATTTATATGTTCCCTTCCACTTTCCACCGGATAGGGAAGGCAGATAAATAGGCAAAGAGGAAAAAACTATTAATGATATAATAGAGTATCAACAGCAAACATCTGGAAGGGGCTAACCACTTCAATAAATTTCAGTATCTCGAAATATTAGTCTGGTTTGACTAAAAAAATGCTCAGTTTTACCCAAAAATTATACTTCACCCCGTATAACAAACAATAACAGCATTTATATCACAACCAGAGGAGAGTGATCATAAACACTTTTGGCAAAAGCAAACTTGTTTTTCATTTTTCTTTTTAAATAGCAATTCCAAAGAGCAGCTCCAATTTCAGAACAGATCCATAGAATTCTCCTTTTTATGCCTCCACTCTTCATATATATTCCATTTGGACTTGATCCTGCAACTTTATCCAGTCGCGAGTCTCAATTTACACGGTGAACAAACGAAAGAGTACAAAATTCATTTACTATAAATTCAATAAAACTTTTATCAGAAAGAATCTGAGAGGAAAAAGGATTATACCCAGTAATCCAACGAGAACAACTAAAAATACAATATTCACAGATTCCACTTCAGCTAAAATAGCAGGTTTATTTTATCACGTGAGAGATTCCAGAGGTGAAATAAGTCAATGAACCAAAGAGAGACGAATGAGAACAAATTCGTCGAACAAGCCGGCGCAGATCTGACTCGTAATCATGAAAACATGGCAAAGCGAAAAATGCAGAACCGATGCCGAGGCTAACACCACTCATGAAATTTAAAAAAGAAAAAGGAAAAAAGAAAATAAAAAAAAGGCAAAGAAAAAAATGAAGAGGAAAGCAGACAACAATGCAATCCATTCCGGTGCCTCGAAATTCACAACAACAAACACGACGCGTTATTCTTTGCAAACGGCAGTAATAATAAAGTTAAAGGGGAAGAAAATGGAGAACCTTGTTGTTGAAGGTCTAGAAAAACGCAGAAAATGCGTGATTTTGTCTATTATCTGCGTGTTGGATCTCTGAAGTGTGAGACGAAGAAAAATGAGAAGATGGACGGAGTGAAGCGTGGAGGCGCAGCTGGCGGACACGTAGATCAGAGAGAGAGAGAGAACGAGAGAGGGGGATTAAAATAGCAGATTTGCGCGTACCTGAGTGAAGAAGCAGAGAGAGAGACGAAAGGAGAAGAAGAAGGTGGAAGCAGAGACGAAGGGTTATTTCGTAATTTGGCGTTTTCCCTAATTTTGAAAAAAAAGAAAAGAATTGGAGAAAAAGAGAGAGTATGTGTTGTTGTGTTATTATTGTGTGTTGGAGAGAGAAAGGATAATAAATTGGCCCTCCACCCTCTTCTTTTTATACTCTCCAGCTGGCCCTCCCGCCTCCCTTTAACCATTTCTCTCTCGTTTTTACCATTTTGCCCCTTCTCTATCTTCAACCTTTTTCCAGTTTAAATTAAAATACTTACAATACAAACTCAACCCTAGCTTTTTAACACCTTCCTTCACTTATATATTTTTTTTGTTTTTTTACATAATCAAATAGATTAAAATCCTATTTAAAGTTATTCAGTATTTTAGATAGCTAGACTAATCTAACCATTATTATAAATTATTTGGTTTTTCCGTTTTTGTTTTTATATTATTTATATTTATTATATTTCTATTAAAAATATTTATTATGTAATATTTTTTTATTGATCAAAATTATGGTTTATGAATCTTTTTATCAAATGTTCATCATTATTGAACGTAAAGTATAGAGTCCTTGGTATTGGGGAGATAAAGAATATACTTCTTCCAAAATAGTATGATAAATAAGTAAAAATATAAAACGATTATAATGAATATAAATTTAATATTATATATATTATCATTCAATAGAAACAACGAAACAATATGCTTATGTGAGAACAAATAAAATATTATAGAATAATCATGTCGTTATTAAGATAAAGATCAACAATACGGTTGTTACTAAGATAATAAAAATAAGAGAATATAGTTCATGAATGTACAAAGATACGAAAAAAAATAAGAGATCGTTCATATACAAAGAAGAAAAAATTAATATAAAAAAATTATCGTGTAATATATCATACAATAAAGAAGAAAATTAGAAAAAACGATGAGATGAAAAATAGAAGCTACAATGGCACATTTTGGAACATCTTTACGACATATTATTCTTACAACGAAATTAATTATCTTTAGAACAAACTACTTGCAAACTCAACTTCATGCAAACTCATAAGTGGTTATACACATTTTAACTTCTGTCTTGTCTCTTTAATGTGTTGTGCATGAGAATTTTAACCTAAATACTGAAAGTATATTTGTGGTATTCTTGAAATGTAGTTGCAGAATGAAAATGTATAGGTTGCTAAATAGGGACGACAGTTCAAGTTTTGAGAGGTAAATGTAGAAAAAAATAAATAAAAATAAAATAAATGACAGAGAATAAATAAATAAAGAAGGTTTAAAGAATGACTATGAATGAGTCAATATCCATTTATTCTAAGAAGAGAACAAGGAAAGTGGCTAGAGGAAACAAAATCGAAACTTTCTTCCATTTAAACCTCACATGACATCATAATCAATTGCTGTAGCAATTCGGTGAACGATATTTCCCATGTCCTCCTTGTTGCGGATATTGAATTTTATTTTATTTTTTTCAAATCTACCATTTATTTTATTATCTTATATCATACTTCAACTCATCAATTTATTATTCTCTTAAGTTGTTGCTAACTAAGATACTCATTAACAACTTACAAAAATGGAATTTATGTTAAATAAATTTTAATTATTCACTATTTGTATTTTACACAACGTTGAAATAAAAACTAACCAAATTATTGTTCCACTAAGTTAAGTATTTTTGTTTCCATTATTGTTTCATTACTTTAAATTTCTTTTTATTTTGACCGTTAGATTTAATCATGAATATAATATGTGGTGCTGAAAGTGGGATTTTAAAATAAATTTTTTAATAAATAGTTGTATATATATGTATATATATTATTAAAATTTATAATAAATAGATATCAATATACAAAGTATATATGTTATGAATTAATGCATATTTTAGATTTTAATATAAAAATATTTCAATTATTATATAGAAATTCAAGATAATTGTATACACTAAAAGTACAAACGGTTAATGGTAAACTTTTTTTATTTATTTGCAAGGAAAGTGGGTTAAATAATGCATTTTAATGAAATAATTACTATAAATATTACTGAGGGAATAAAAATACTGAAAAACACAGAACTACATGTTTTAAAAAAATTAAAATATAATAATTATTGCAGGAGATATTTTAATTATTAATAAAAATACATAATTATTTTTTAATAAAAATATTTGTTATTATTGTCATCGTATAATCATTAAAATAGATGTTTCAAAATCATGTCAAAATAAAATATATAATATTTGTTTAGGTGATAATATTATGTATGGAAATAAATTCCTTAAGATAAGTCAACCTTAAATAAATTTATGCAGATGAACAAGGAATTTGTTCTGTCTCTATATATATTTTTTATTATTTGATTTCTTTTGACCTGTTCTATTATTTAATTTTAAATATTTACAAACTCTTCATTTCCCCTTATTATAAAGTATAACTGATAAAATAATAACTAGTATTAAAAGATATAAAAATATATTTGAATAATAATAATAATAATATAAAATTAGAATGTGAATTAATATATTTGAGTGAAAAAAAGAAAAAAAAAATGAATTGAGTTTGAAAGGTTAGGGTTGGTAAACGGTAAAGCGAGGTGTGGTAGGGGAGTGTTTGACCTTTTGGGTGTTGGGAATGTAAAGCTTGAACGGAACATTATGTTACCACCGAAATCATAGGAGAAAGAGGTATCCACATGCAAGGTAGGTACCTGTTTTTGTTTATGCCCTTAATGGATATATCACTGTCAGTTTCGTCTTTAATTACGCTTCAAGAGGGATGTTTCTCTAACAAGCACAACAGTTGGAAACCCGTCACAAAAGTATTACCACTTAAATGTTTCTTTTTTCCTCTCATCCTTGATTTCTACTAGTCTTCATCTTCGTACTTTAATTAGCTTTCTTATGAAGGTTTATTAGGGTTGTTTTGTTACGGAGATTATTTTTCAAAACTTCAACCAAAAGTGAAAACCACATTCATGTGGTGGGACACGAAGGGTTTTTGGTTTTGTGGTTGTGTCAATGTTTGATTTTCAATTAGACCAAATAACGTAATTTTAGAAGTTCTTTACATCAGACCATACACCTGTCAAGAGGATTAAAATAACTCTTTGCTAGTATTGTTTTAGCAACAAAAAACCATAAAATCAAATTTGTCATAATTAGCATCAACTTCTTTTTTTTTTCTCAAATAAAGAGATTTGAGTTTACTAAATCCTTAATCTAATAAATGATGTTTCTTTTTTTAATATTATTATTATTATTATTTCACTTTCAAATTAGCATCACTTTTGATAAATATTAAGTATTGTGAAAAAAGCGTACCAAACTACATGTAGAGAAAAGGACCTTAGAATTTGAAATTTTAATATTATTTTAATCGTTAATTGTATTTAGATAATCTAATTTAAGTAATATTGATATTTTTTAAAAATTATATATGGTTCTTAATGTATTTTTTTTAATAAATATTATATTTTTGGTTATGGAAACATTGTATCTTTAATCTATAAATATTGTTTGTTTTATTTTTAATAAATTTTTTCTTTTTATAGTCCGTAATTACTATTTTAAAAATTACAAATAATTGTATTTGTAATCAAGTGATTTTATTAGTTTTATTTCTATATTTATTAAGAACAAAAAATGATTACTTAACATTTTTCCACGAAACGAATTTATGAATACTATTTAAGATGTTAACATCTTAAACATTTCCTTGAAAAAATGCTAACATTGTTTAGACATGGAGAATTGTCTATAAATACGTCTTTTTTTTTTTTTTCTCATCTATATGATACCACATAATTTCCTCTTTTGACTTGACTACACATTTTGTCTTCTTGTTTCTTTCTTCTCATCTTAATTAATGAGACCACTACACATTTTCCTTTTCCAAAAACTAATTATTCTTCAATAATTACTAGTTATTATCTCGGTAAATATAATATAACGAGTACAATGATCCAGAGTAGTTAAAAAAATTAATAGGGCTTTATAGAAGAAGAAAAACTCCGTTAATATAAATACTAATTTTTAATTTTTTTTATATATATATATATATATTTAGAGGGTTTGTGTCGTACAAAACGGTTAACTATAATTTAATTTTAGTTCTTTATAAAGTATGTAGATTGTCTTAAAAATATCTTATATAAAGCATCAAAATTATATTAATGGAGGAGATGTTCAATTTTGTTTTAGATAGTAATAAATTATTTGAAGGAGTTGGAATATTGCATATTTTGCATGCATGCATGCATGCAGAGTTTTACTTCCACTCTGGGATGTCTACTTTCTCTTTGTATTAATCCATTATTATAATCATACACAGACTCAACCTGTTTTCGGGGCTCCATCATTAAACAGTAATCATATTAACCATGGAAGCCACAAAAGCATAGATAAGAAAAACAAGAAGCGCACATTAGGTTTGCATGAATGTTTTAAGAAAAACATAGTGGACAACGTTGTTTTTACTATTTTGTTGGTTACGTGTGAGAGGTAAATAAACGGAGGACATAGATATGGTGTTAACATAAAGAATTACCTTCAGATATGACAGATATACGTCAAAATCATACACGTTTGCCTACATCTTCTAAGGAAAGAGATATAATTGACTTAAATTCTTACGTGAATTTTTCTTGGTTTTTTATATCACACCCCATGTATTATTAGATTAAGACTAAAACGAAAGCGATGCAAAATTACTACTGTTCTTATAATTGGACACAAAACTCTAGAATGAAGGATTAGTTGAATATCCAATCCAAAGTTAATCCACACTTATCTCTAGTCTCGCTAGAAAGTTTAAATTTTCCATTATATTAATTATCGGAAAACATGTTTATGACAATGAGGTTGAATTGACAGCATCATGCTTATAAGTCTCAACCTAATCATTCAAAATCAAATCTGTTTAGTTTAAAATTAATTTTGGTAAGTAGTTGGAACCTAACACGTTATTGAAGATGTTTATAATACTGGCATTAAAAGTTTGAAAGTTTAGATGTGAGTTATTTTTTGAAAACAATGTTAAAACAAACGAAAACTTCATATATGGAGGCAAATGGTTTGAGTGGAGTGTGAGATAGATAACGTGACCTAATTTTCCATTTGAATATAAAGTTTGGTTTGCTTGGGTGGGTATCTTAGCTAGCATAATTTATGTATCCCATAAGACGCAGAGAATAAAAAAGAATAAAAGAAACATAATAATGGGGGTTCATGAAAGTTGTGTTGTTTATAACTTTGACAAACCAACTTTACTTCTCCATTACTGAACGTCCACAAAGCTTTGATGGGTGTCGAATCTTGGTGAGAGGCACGCACGTTGTAGAAGCCTACTCCATCAATTTGTGGACAAAAATTAAGACAACACCACCATTAATGAAATACGGTTGAGAGAATGAGAAAATCATGAGAAAAATGGCACGTAATAATATCCATTAAAATTGACTCAAAAACACATTAACTTGTTTCTTCCTTATGGGGCTCCATAAAGGGTAGGTAAGTTTGTTGAACCGTATGCGCAGACCAAATTATGGAGCCCTTACGAGTGTGACATGAATACTAGTATTTCACATACTTGCAGATTAAACCACTCTGCAAATTTTCTTTACACCGTACACAAATACGCTAAAACACATGTAATCAAATTTTACTCATTCTTATCTACATTTTTTTAGTGGATAACATACCTCTCTCTCTCTCTCTATATATATATATATATGAGAGGAAATATACTTAATTTTATTAAAATTATTATTAAATATTTTGAATTTATTTTATTTTGTCTATTATATATTTGAATCTGTTGATTACTACTTTATAATAAATATGTATGTAATTGAGAGTTTACAAATTAATGATTAATAATATAATAAAAATATATATTTTAAAAAATATATTAAATTTTGTATTCGATAAATATAATTACTCGATAAGTATAAAATATTTATTTTTATTTTATTGGTTACTTAATTTTTTTAATAATATTGTAAAATAATATTGAATATATAATCTCATATATATTCACATATTAATATTATAAGATTGAGTTATTAATACACGTATTTATTAATTTTGACTTAGTTTTAGGTATTGATATAGTATATGAGTGTCATGTGATGTTGTTGGAAAGTATCTGCATACTCAACTATTAACCGATTAACTCCCAACTAACAATCCACGTATATAATATTTCCATTATATTTTATAATAAATGCATATCTTTTTAATTATTAATTATATGCAACTTTTTTTAAAATTTTAATTGTTCTAATTTTCTCTGATGTATTTCATGTATAATAATTCTCATTTAATCCAACAAACAAATTAATGACAAATTTTGAATTTCGTTTTCAACATGATTTACTGAGCAGGTTAAATAAGATTTTTAGATTTGAAAAGCTTCTTTGATGAATAAATAGAATTTGAGAAAGTGATTAGAATAAAGAGAATGCATGGCTAGTCAAGTTTAGGAAGTTAAGGATCCTATTATTGACATAAGCATGTGTAGTTGATAACTAAAATGAAGTTATTATAATTCTAAAACAATTTCTAAAGGTGGAATAAAATTAAGTGTCTCATAAAAAAACTTTAATTGATATGTTTAAGTGGCAACTTTTATGGTTACATTAATATCCCACAACCCATTTAGAAGGAGCTTCGCATAATTAATTCCTTCACAGCTAGCTAAGTATCAAGGACATAAAACTTTTTTTTTTTTGTGTGTGGTTTAAAAATGATTTAATTATTAGTTTATATTAATATTTTTAACACTGATAAAAAGTAAAATGAAAAATTGAAAATAAAAGTAGAGATTAGGTTCTAATATAGTTTAATGATTTTTTTATGTATAATTCTCAATAATCATAATAAAATAGTTTTTATTTAATAATAGAAATTTATTTACTTGGAAACTCTTAGATTCCAATAAAAAGCTTAGATAGAAACTCGTCTAATTTGTATTCTACTTTATTTATTTATATGATAAATAAAGAAAGAGAAACAAATATAAAAATAAAAGTAAAATAGAAACAAAGACTAACAAAGTTTTTTTTTATAGATACTATTTAAAATAAATTAATAAATACTAATTAAAATCAGTATTTTTACTTATTATTTTTATCGGAATCAAATTATTTATTTATCTTTCAATAAAATAATACTGATAATAGCAAATGCAACAAAAAAGTTTTTGACAATTTAAACTAGTCATTTAATTTATGAATGCAATTTATTCAATCTTTGTTAATACAACATTGGAAGAGTCCTATGTAATCCTTAATTACTATAAACGAATGTCCTTAATTAGCATGTTGTTATTAGGGGTGAATTTCAATTAAAGATAACATTGTAGAAAATCTCATTTTCTAGAAGATAGAGGTGGACAAGGGTTCAATACCACATTTTTAGAAGGACAACAATTTTTTTTATTAGTATATATAAATATTAAAATTAAAAATTATATAGTTTTTGTTATAAAAAATAAACTATTTTTATATTATTTTTCATATATATATATATATATATATATATATTAACATATATCATTATATATGTTAATAATATAATACATGCTAATTAACTCCCGCAAATTAATTAAGAATGTTTTTGAACTTTAAGGAATTATTTTCTTACTGTGTTTATTTTACTTTACTAATCATTCTTACACACTTTTGGCATGTTTGGTTGAAAAGAAGAAACTGAATGGGTGAAATGGTAAAATTATATTTTATAATAAACTATATATTAATATAAATAATAGTTTTCAAATTAAATATCATGCATTCTATTACTTTTTCTATTTTATTTTATATGCCATTTAATTTTTCCCCACTTATTAAGAAAGTAATAAATAAATTAATAAATAGAAACAACCTCCTAAAATATTTTATGGCACACAAGAACAAGAACACTGTGGGTACATAAGATACTAATGATTTATTCTATTTAATTGATTTGTAATTTACAATAAAAATTTAGATTGAAATGAATATATATTTAAGATAATATATATTGAATGAAGTAAATAAAAGTCAATTTTAAAAATTACTAAAAAAAGTGAAATTGAGGGAGTAATATTTATTTCTACTATATTTTATTCAGAATTAAATAAATAATATTTAATAAGATATAATACAAAATTTATGATATTATTTAAATATAAAATATATAATTAATATTTTATGTGACAAATTTAATATAATAATAATAATCTTAATATATCTCATCCATGTATGAGTTTACTGTTACTATTCTAGTAAAATAGAAAAATTATTATTAGATTGAAAAGAAATAAAACAGAAACTAAATAGAGAAAATTAAATAAATTAACATAATCAAATATAAAATAGAACAATTGATTATATTTTTAAGAAAAATTATTATTAGATTGAAAAGAAATAAAAGAGAAACTAAATAGAGAAAATTAAATAAATTAACATAATCAAATATAAAATAGAACAATTGATTATATTTTTAAGAAAAATTATTATTAGATTGAAAAGAAATAAAAGAGAAACTAAATAGAGAAAATTAAATAAATTAACATAATCAAATATAAAATAGAATAATTGATTATATTTTTAAGAAATCGATTTTAATTTGCTGTAATAGTTAAAAATTGTTATTAATGACTCCTTGTCTCCTTTATAAGGATTTTATAACTGGTGATATATTAATTATTTGTTTTCTAACATACCCTTAACTAATTGCACTCTTATCTAATAAATTCTAAAAATTAATAATATTTTGGTTATCTTTTAACATTAGTAGTTACAAAGATGTGATACACGACTAAAAAATGACACGTATTTGAACATTTCTAACGTTTAAAAGTTGACATAAAATGTGGAGCAGACTTATTTGTATGGATTCCAGTTACTTCTCCATTCTACTAAATATTTATTCTTTCATCCTTATTTGTTGAAAGCAACACAACTATTTATTCTTTTATCCTTATTTGTTCAAAGCAAAACTTTGTATTTTAACTATGAAAATTGGTTTTGTAAAATCACTTAAATAATAATTTTACTCCGCTGAGATAAGCCTCTATGTATTATTTTTATGTTTAAGGTTTTTTTTTTATTATTGAAATATTAGCTCAGTCTGTCTTCATGTAAATAAATGTAATTACAGAAGTTTCACATGTTAGATTGATATAAGTAAAAAAAAAAATCACTTTGAGTTAATTCAGTTGAGTTTGTAGACGTGGGTCATGGTGACAGATTTTCTGTTTTTTTTTTTAGCAAAAGAGAATATTATATAATGCTCATCTCTCTGTTGCTGTTTGTCATATAGCATTGATTCTTCTAGACCAAAGTTGACAACCAAGAGAATTCACAGATGGCAACTAGGACACGAACAACAGATGCTCAAGGTTTTCATTTTGAACTATTAGCTGGTACACCGATAACCGACCGACTTGCTGTGTTTTAAAAAATTGGGCAAGGTTTATCAGTTTGCACCACTTATATTTCATCTCTGATCCAATGAGATGCTTACGTCAGTTAATTGACATATTCTCTATTCCAGCTGGCTCGAACCAAGTTCGAAATATGGGTACACAAATAAAAGTGACATTCAATGGTCATTCTGACTTGCCCCAATTCATAAGCTACACAAATGTGACAATAAACCAATAATTACTGCACGATATTAATTGACCTTATATTAGTGCTAACTTGAAACAATTATTAATCTATTTCAATATAAAATCAATTATTCAAACTTAACATTTAGACACTAAATATAATATCAATTTTGACATTCCAAACGCTTAGTAAAAGAGAAACGGTCAGCTTAGTTCAGGCATATTCAGAGACAAGCAGGAGAGATAGTGAAAATACAAGCACGAATAGAACTCAACTTTCACGAAATGCGCAAAATCACCTCACTATTTTGTAGCGAAATAGTTATACATAATCCAATTTACAAGGATGAAAAGGAGGGAAGGTGAAGAATCCCTCAAGAGAAACGAATACTCTAGAGAAAAATTGCACATGCTTCCTGGTGACTAACCCAGGAGCAAGTATATAAAAAAACTGTACACTGTACTATACAGGTGAATTACAAGTATAGGCTTGGGTATATGCTCCGTCATGTAAAAATGTCTTCCCGTTTTACTATAGAAGCTGATCCTGCTTTCCATTGAAGTCAGAAGAGGATGATGGAGGAGTTCTGGAAGTAGTGGATTGTGGTGGAGCAGTAAGGGCATAAGTGAGTCTCGACGACGATGAGTTTTCAATGAGACCAGCAATGCCAGCAGCTGCAGATTGAGCATTTGAAGGGAGGAAGAGATCATGCTTCTGGTCTTTGTAAGCACTCCAAACCTGGAATGCAGGAGGAACATGATTGCACAGGGTAACAAGGTTAGATATGGATAGTAACGTAGTTGCAACAGGAAGCAGCAAAATGAAGAAACAATGTTTTAGCTGCCTAGTGGGAAAAGCCAAAAACTCAACAGCCATGTTATATTGCTATTTCAATGTGTTGAGACTTACATTAGAATTATTCAATATTTCTCGCACTTTAGTGCAATGGGCCCCTTCAGTAGCAAAGGCATGCAAGACCTGGTTAAGGAGATAAGTAACTTGTCAAAAAATAAAATAAAATGTTGAACCATCAAGAAAATTTTGGTCAAATTAATCAATAGATTATTTTCTTCAGCAAGAACAACAACTGCAAGTACTTTCTTTAATGTTTGCCAAATTGTGCAAATTAATTAACCAAAAAAACAAAAAAAATCCTCACAAAAAGAAATTCGAAATCTAGACTCAAGTAAATGCATCGATCATTATTTTGAAGTGCAAGATGTCAGAATTAAGAAATTAAAAAGTAACAGTTGATTCTATGAGAATTCATACTATTACTAACAAAATGTGAGCTGGTTAAAAACCACTAAAACACCAGGTACGTTTTTACTAGGTAAGTTGACAAGAGCATACTTAATGACATTTTTTAAACGTTATAGATAATCCTTTTAAAGAAGAATAAAATTGACTGAGATTCCAACCTCAATAGCAAGCACCCTGCCAATAGATGCTTCAGATTCATTCCACTTCATCTGAGAACAAAAGCCATTCCTTCCACCAGCCCTCCAATCAAGAAGACCAAGAAGAACTTCAACAAGACCAACTCTGCATTGTTTGCAAAACTTATTTTAGTATTGAAAGAGTTCGGGAATCCACTCCCATAAACATATATAAGACAATCTTCAAGCATGCAGTTGTTTCAAAGCAAACTATGGTGGCTGGCTCCAAAGCCATTCATGACCTTCCTAACAGGTAGTAGGTACATTCATTTTTCTACATTTCCCCTCAATCATAGACCATCTAAATATCCTTCAACAGTCCATTACAAGGAAAATTGTAAAAAATGCAAAACCAGACAGACAGATTAAGAAAAGTGAGATAACGTTGGAAAATCTACTAAACATGTTTAATTTGTTTTAGAGGACCCTCTAACATTTACACATTTTTTAACAAGTATAGATGGAAAATTTAAGTGGACAGACTGTCTTAAATATTATCAATTAAACATCTAACCAAAATCACATTTAATTGTAACATTCACATAATAAAACCGTAGTCTACATCAATTTTCCATTTATAATTACTAACAAGGACCTAAAACATATGTTTAAATTTTAGAAGGATGAAAATAGTACATAACTTTCGGAAGACGTATTTGATGTATGTGAAATTTTACATAGACACAACGTATTTTACCCATTTATTGTTTATCCTCATGTTTTTTACTATTTTGTACATGTAAATATAAATAATAAAAGGATGTTAGTTAGTCAGTTACTGTATTAGTGCCAACCAACTCTGCTAGTATAGGTTTCACAGCAGCTGGCTAGCTGCCTGTATATAAGATGAACTGTTGTATTTTTATACTAAGACTGAATGATAATGAAAGAAGTGCAGTACACAGTTCTTTGATCTCTCTGTTTCTCTCCTCTTTCCCTTTATCCTCTCTATTGTTTTATTCTCTATTCCCCTATTTGTTCCTCTTCCCTACTAAATTCTATACAAAGCAAAAAGTGAGAGCTATCACTGATGGATGCGAGGGTAGTTAATAAAATGCAGTTATGTTTCTATAAAATGGTCTCAAATCACAGGTTTCAACTTTCAAATATTCAAGATCAATATTACAAAATGATGAAGAAAATAATGAGGATGTCATGCATAGGATAGGATACAAGTGGGATGGTTAAAATGAAAAGAATGAAAAAGACATCAAGGAAAGTTAACCATATTGGTATATGTTTGGCTATTTTCTATGATAGTAAATCTTCGCCTTTAAAGGTAGTATAAACAAGAGAAAAAGGTGAATAACAAAAGTGAATGTTAAGATGAATGTGTGTCAAAACAAAAAGAACACAATACAAATTAATGTACACAAAGTAATAGTCAAACATCAATTGAAGAAAAGAAGACAGAAAATCTGTAAAGATGGTTTGGACACACAAAACCATTAGCAATATCAGTTGTGAAAAATAGTTTCCATGGTTTTCAGTCTAGTAAAAAAGAAGAGGGAGACCAAGCAAGAATTCATGATGAATTATATATCTGACTAATTTGTCTATAACCTAGTGAGATTGTGGGATTCAAGAAGCTAACCCCACCTAGTGAGATAACAGTCATTTGCAGTTATATTTCCGTAAAATTAAGGGGGTTGTTTAGTAACTTTAAATTTCTGACTCAATTTTAAAATTCTTCATCACACATTAAAACCATGACTGAACTCCGATTCTACAAAAGCAAGGGGAAGTCAAAGGACATAACCCATGTTGTTATAAAAACAAAATAAGGCTTAATAATTTAAATTGATTTGATGAGTTTTATCCTTCACTAGCATCTTGTGGAAGTTGTCTAATCCTAATGCAAGTTCTATCATGAATTTGAATCTCCAAAATAAAATATCGAATCAGTTAAAGAAGTAAATCAGTTTTCAATTATACAAGGTACTGACTTAAGTCCTTGTGCAACAAGAGCATCCCTGGCTCGGTTACCCGCAACAACAACCCGTTTCAAAGTCTCAAGAGCTAAAATGCTTCCACCTTGCCACCCTATAGCTTTCATTAGCAGTGGAACAACCTGGAAGAAGAAATTTAAATAACAATTTTGTTTTGTTTAGTCAAAGACAGTTAGAAAGTAAAGCAATGAAATTTATACATACAGATATAGGAAACACCAGCAACAAAAGCATACTAACATTATAAAAAAGAAACTAGAACCCTCACTAAAGCATAAGACTAAATTTGTAAACTTTACAATTTTTTTTTTCAGCTCATCAGATAAGACGCTGGATATCAACTTCAGCTGAATTGTATGTAGTAACTTCAGCTCAATATCATCCTCCCACAGTCAATATTTGACCCATACTCCCAACAGAAACGACATCTAAACTATACACTCCACCCTAGGAAAAAAATAATAAATAAAAAACAGCTGTCATAAAACCAAAATTTCTTCAAAATAACATGATTTCCCTTACAATTGCAAGTTTTGCATTTTCCATCGAGGGTTATTCACTAGGAAGTTCAAAACTAGGATTAGAAGCTAAGAAACTGAGGAAAAAGATCAAATAGTCGCTTCCAGATTTGGAGAACCAGGATAACAATTCACACACTTAATGGAACTTGAAGATGAACAATAAAGAATCCAGAGAGATTTTGGGGATACAGGTCTTAGATAGGGATGATTGTTAAGGTTCCAACATAAAACCAATTGGCAATATGTGGAGTAGCCTAACATGTATTTAAACCATACAAAATGATATGAGGTAGGCGATGTGGGACTTTCAACACACCCCCTCCAACGAAGCCTGCCGGACCAGGCAAAGGGTACTTTTGACCCAACTAAAGGGCAACTTTTGGCCCATGACAATAACCGAAAAGATGTTAGGCTTTGACTCTGATACCATGTTAAGGTTCCAACATAAAACCAATTGGCAATATGTGGAGTAGCCTAACATGTATTTAAACCATACCAAATGATATGAGGTAGGCGATGTGGGACTTTCAACAATGATCCCTGAGATAAACAAAGAAAATTCTATGACAGACAAGCAAGTGTCTTGGTAATTACATTATCTTCAACAGGCTCCAAACCAAAAAAATAAGCAGAACATTGGATAAGCAGCATAAAAGAATGTAAATTGTAAATTAACAGGCTCATATAGAACGTCTTGTCAGTTACCTGAGGTGTTCCAACACTCGTTGCAGCCATTGCTTCAGCACAGGTGGTACTGGCAGCAAGTTGATGCAAGACACGCAAACAACTCAGTCGGACACGTTCTTGAGGAGTTTGTGTGTTCTCTTCTGATTCATTATCAGGGTCATATGTTTGTTCTGCATGACTCCCACTGTTTACTTCACCTGATGACATTGTTTCTCTCCTTCCCTCAAATGCAACAGCAGCAACTAGTTTGGGTACATATCCAAGATACCCAACATGATCTGCTAGTGCGGGGTGCACACGCAGTAAGGAAACTAATGCGGCAGACAGAAGCAAAGGAAGCTCTGGATCAACAACCTGTGCTTCATAATGTGTGGCAGCGATAGATGACAGATACTGATCTAGTAGACCTTCCAAGAACCTTTTAGGGTTCCTAAGAGGGAATTTGGGATCTTTCAAAAACAGCCTAACATAGATGCCACCAACCTGCATCCACATAAAATTTTAGTCCAATATTATTTATTCATCACACCATGTTACAAAAACAACAAATTTAAATATCAAATGTATTAGGCATACCTGTGGTTCATCTCTCATTTCCTGTTGTCCAGATGCCTGCTCAGGTACATCCCAATCAACAACACGCCCTTTCATCTGCTCACGGTATAGCTCTGATGACATAGTGGAAATTTGTGCAGATAAGGAAGCTGCCATTGCTGGTGTCCATACAAGCTCTGGTGTTTCTGTAGTCTGCTCAAGGGCAACTACAACAGCTTCACCAGGTCCATCCTTGATTACTGATACAAGACCATCAGGGAGAAACCTTGCAAGTGTTATAGCAACTCTTGGTCCATGCATTGGTTGGCCAACAAGCTTTCCCAACAAGGAAGCTGCCATAGCTCTCTGCTGGAGTGGAATTTCTTCTGCAAGGGATTATGAATATTTTCAATACAAAAAATTTAGCAAACAAAATAGAAAGATGAGAATAATAAACAAGACCAACTAAGATGTACATGTCTCCTACCCTTCAAAGGCAAGAGCAATTCAAGAATGTAGACAACACCACCATGCTTGGCAGCAGCCCAGGCGAGTTCTGGTGTGCTTGCCAATGCATAGAGAACATGGAGAGACCCTTCACGGCAACTTGGGGCTGAGTGAAGCATTTGTAATAAAAGCAGAAGACTAGATCCGTCTGCAACCATGGCTTGCAAACAAGGAGCATGTGCAGTTAAGAGTGACAATACTCCAAGGCAAAGCTGAGGAATGTTACTGAATGATGCTTCAGGCACAGAAAAGCATTCAAAAAGAGGCAATAACTTGTCTTTATTAGAAAATATGGATGCCAAATTGGGATTATTAGTCAGAAGGTTCTGCAGAAAAGAAACAAGATCAGTCCAACATGACAAGTAAAAGCATTTCACTAGAGAATGAGGCAGTAAGGAATTGACCTGAAGGGAGGTCAGTGCAGAACGAAGACTTTTAATCGGCTCTAGCTCTTCCTTCCCCACAGATTGTTCTTCTGACATTGCACCAGAACTATCCAGAACATGCTGCTCATTGATGGTCCCATCAACAGCCTCACTCATTGTATTCACATTACTCATATGCTCAGAAGTTTTAGAGGTGTCTTCAACATTATGATTGGCATCTTCAACCTTATTGGCATCTTCACATTGAATGTGCACAAGATAGGATATAAAATCAATCAGAGCAAGGCAAAAAGTTTCTGGTTCACTAATTTCAAAGTCTGGCTGATCATTGTAAACTCTCAAGTAAACATTTCCAATGAATAATTCTCTGGATAGTGCTTTATAGGCAAAGTTGTGCGAATCCTTAATATCATATGAGCCATCAGGACCTTGAGATGCACGTTGGTGATCCACAAATTTTAGCAACTCTGCTCGTGTTGACGAGTTCCAAATAATCTGCACACACAGTATTCAAAAGATAGTATCAACATGCAAATATAACCAAGAGAAGGCTCAGGTTCATTTTTGTAAAATTTGAAACATTAATATTCTAAATAAAAAAAAATGTCCAATTATTTTTGACAAAATCGTGGAGAATCTCAGTGAACACCACAGGTAGTCAGTAGGTAGTCTATTAAATTACCAGGAAAACCAGTGACTAGAAGAAAAAACAAATAATCATATTAACTTATTTGTACAATTGTAAATACAAGAGAACAGCCAGGTACATTTTCTTGTTATGCCTTTTCTTTTTCCGGGGGAAGGGAATGCCATTTACAAACCTGTAAGTCTGTAACAACGTTTATAGAAAACTTTAGGTTACATAACTTTGAATTTCAATTACTGTTGTGTCAACTAGCAAGCAACATAGAGCAGCAAGCTAAAAATGAGTTGAAGGCTCTAATAATTTGCTGAATCAGTTTTTAGTATATTAACTTTATTTCTAATGTCCAGGGCTTTGCCAGAATGCCCATCTCCTTTTGCCTGTGCTATTGATCTCTTCAGCCCATTTTCACTCTTTAAATTTCTTCAGCTCTTATTTAATCTGAAGATCCTTTACCAAAATGTCAAGGTTTTTTCTTTTTCGTTTTAACCTTCAGCTCAAAATCTGCTAATCTTTTCCTTCCCAAATTTCTTCATCCTAACAGATGAAATTCAATGTCCTTTCTTATAAAATGACTAGCTTTTTATCGTTAGCCAAACCAACAGTTCCTTCATCTCAACATGCTGCTTTTAGTAACAACAACATCATTATTATTACATCATAAACAATAATCTTTTGACTGATTTAAAAATCAATACAGAATAAAACCTAGCAACTATTCCTAACTACTAGTGACTATCCATATAGTTTCTTGCCAAACAGATTTATAGCTTAAACTAACATTAATCAAAACCGGTACAGAGCAAAACATGAAAATAAATGTCATTCAAAACATTTTTCTTTACACAATTAGGGATGCTGAGAAAAAATACCTCTGGTGATTCCAGGTTTGCATTTAATTTGGACAGTAAATCTTTGGGCATTTGATCTTTTAACATGCTAGAGAGCTTGGGAGTTAGCAAAACTCTGAGGGCAACAGCAGCTGCCTGATTGTAAGGTGTTGCACTCTCATCGCCACACAAACCACTAAGTCTTGACAAAGCCAGGGATGCTCTTATGGCATGCATGTTTTTGGCAATTTGAACACTAGCACCAACACCATGTGATTCTGTTGCATCAGATTCTTCTGCAGTTGAGTCGTACTGAAGAAGTAGTGGCAAAAGGTACCTATCATTGACCGTATTAAACAGATAAGTCCAAAAAATATTCATAAGTACAACTAACTATATCTTTCTGTACCATAAATAATTGCAGTGAATATATAAAAGTTAGAGCTCATTGGCAAACAAACATCTCAACAAGTCGCTACTTTATGGCAAGGTTTAACTTAGTTTAATTATAATACTAGGTTGGAGTCATATGGCGTTATTATTATTAGGTAAATTTTGTTTCTTATGCCTGTTAGATGCTGTCAACATTTACTTAATGCTTAGTGCAGCCCATTTAATGAGTTATTAATCAACACAAACAAAAGTCAGGCTCCCAACAGATTATCGCAGACGGGAATAGCTCTCCAATTGAAGGGAATCTAGTGTTTTGAGTAGACTACTCTATATGTCTGCTTTATCCATGATGTAAGTTTTATGCATTCAGGAGAAGAGTGTTGCTTCCATGCCTAAGCAGGTAAAACCTGTTACTGGCAACAATTCTTTGAGTAAGACCAATAACAACTTTGCGCTAATCATTTCTTAATCCTTCTTTTCTTTCCCTTGTCAGGAGTTCCAGCGTTATTGTTCCCTCCTTGTTTGCCTAGCTCAGCTTTGAATTTCAATCTTGTTTGTTCTATTACATGGGCCAACATGAGATATATGATTTAGGTGATGTTGTCCTACTGTAGAAGGAAACCGAAGGAGTAAGGGAATGTCTCCGGAGATATCAAAATTAAAAAATCTGAGATTGATAGAAGGCCTTTCAGTTGTAAACATAAGTTATAATAAGATAAGGATGGTGACACACATTCAAAGATCATTCATAGGGTGGGTTATAAGGAAGAAGAGGAATAATTTAAGAGTAGGAAAATTCAAATGGATTTACCGTTTGAGAAAGTCAAGAAATTAAAAGTTTCTATAAGAATTTCTAAACTTATATCTTTAGTGCAAATTCTTATTTTGAGATGATACACTACTTTTTGTTGGTCCCTCCATATCATGTAATGTTCGATACAAGATCTCTCAAAATCTCATTCAATTTTCACACTAGTAGTAGATCTCACTTTGAGATCTTAAATAACTTTTTTTAGGTCCCATATTCTTCTTCCTCTACTCCCACAATCTCCCATTTTTTTTTAGATCTTCAGAGTTCTCGAGGAACTGATTCTCCGGCTTGTAGATCTCTGTTTTCCCTTTATGCAAAATCTTATAAAAAAAAATGTCATGTTAAGATTTCAGTTGAAGATCCACATAAAGATGCTCTTAGAACCTAGTAAGAAAATTACTCTGAGAAAGTCAACACCGTTTCTGAGAACCAGAGTTGCAAAGCACTTATAACAGCCAATCCATAACTACTTATTGAAGCTACTTATCCTATTTAAGCTCTAGACTCGTCCTCCTACAAACTTGAAATTGATATAAAATAGTTTACACAAGAACAATAATTGAAGAGGCATACCATAAAACACCAGCCTTCAATAATGCATCTTGCAATTCGGAGGAAATAGAAACATTGGCGATAGTCTGTATAGCAGCATCAACAGCTGCAGGTACAAGCTCAAATTCAGTGCAGTGCACAATGTCCTCAATTAGTCCAGAAAACTCAAGTATCTCAGCTCTGGCAGCCTCAAATTGACTAAGAACTGAAAATGTCCGCATGATGTTGGTGACAATGATTGCAGATGGTTCATTTCCAGGAGTAGTTGGCTGAACAACACCCATGCAACGGGAAAGAAGAGTTGCAAGAAGATGTACTCCTCCATCTCTTACCAGCTCTTCACCATTCAATTTAGAAGATGCACATCTAAACATTATGAAAATTCAATGAAAGAGCAAAAGTTACCACTGTTTTTTCAAATCTAATAGCATTGTAGTTCTTACAAAGTGGTTTAGGCCTAACTCAACCCCACTTTGTGAGAATTGTAAACCCTAAAAAGAAAGAACATGTTACTCTTACGTTAGCCAGACAAGCTCTGATGCAGCAATAAGGAGAGGTGCTCTATCTGAAGAGAGAAAGTTGTTATCATCCTTGTCCACAGTAACAGCACTCAGCAACATGGGATACCCAGCATATTTGAATGGCTCTAAAACATCTCCATGTCTTCTGTATAAAATACATTGTCCCTTCAACAAAAGTAGCAATCTCCATGGTTGTGGACCTTGCAACCCTTGCATGGTAGCCTATGTTTTTGTCAAAACATATAATTTAACAAATTAAAAAAAGGAATAAATGTAGACCAGTTCATTGTAATGGAGGATATTAACATGCACCAAGACATCATAATGAAAAATGAATGAACATTATTATGATTTTGATGGACCACTTTTGTGCTTGTATACAACCATTGTAAGCTTGAACGAATGCATTTTGTAGGGGTGTCTCATTATAAGATTAAAATATATAAGATAAATACATTTTTTCCCCATCAGGCTTTTAAGTCCATAACATAACTAAGAAAAACTAAAGTTCCATTGCCATCTCTAGATAGAAAAGCAAATATAGAGATCCAAATTTGTATAAACAAAATACTTGATTTCATAAATTAATTGCTTAAGACAGCAAAGGTGTACATAATTTTATGCTAAGATACTTATGGAAGTATGAAAACTTTTATGTAGAAAACCTTAGAAATAACCATGCTGTCTTAGCAACACTTGTTGAAATATGATTCCATAGAAGCCTGTGTATGACATGTAAACTTATGACTACCTGAAGACGTTCATAGGCCTTTTGTATAGCAAGAAACCTATCCCTCCCTTCTGGATTTTTGTCAGGATGATATTTCATAGCAAGTTTTCGGTATTGGCGCTTTAATTTTTCTTCATCAATGTTCTCAATCTGCTTCGATAAGCTAGATGCTTCATCTGCAATCTCCAAAGAATTTCTTTTATTTACATCATCACTAGATATATCCTCAAAGGATATTTCAAGGATCTTGCAAGCTTCTTCTTCAGAAAGATCCATAGGCTTTCTAGTCAACTCTTCACGCCACATTACAAGCAACGATTGAAGAAATTCTACATGTTCAACAATTGGCCAATTTGGAAAGCGAATATCATCACATAAGTTCCTGAGGTAATATCGGTGACACCACATTTCATCTCTCAGCTCTGGGTATGTAACTGGAGGCATGGGGGCATAGTCATACAAAACATGGCAATGCTGTGACAGTTTCTGCGGAAAATCACCAAGATGCTGCAAAACCTGATAAAGGGCAAAGGAAAATCAAATCAATTCTACTTACACTCTTGTAAAAATAAACTCATCAAAGTGGCTACTATAAAGTTTAGATTACCTGACGAATTAGATTCTCTGCCCGCATTTTGTGAGTCCATATTATCTCTGGGGTGTCAGAATCAGAAACCATTGCTGCAGCAAACGCTGCTGGACCGCTACGCTCCAGTACGTACAACAAAGATTCAGGGAGAAGCCCTCCAAGAACACTACGTTTCGCCAAAGGCAAGGAAGTTGAAACCGCAGCCTCTTCACCACCATGAAATGCTTGATGGACATGGGTGACAGAAAAGAGTTGCCCAATTGAAAGTAGATTAGACCCAGGATATGCCAGTGCAAAATAAAATGCACCAGTGCTGTACAGTCGGATCATAGCTTTGGGATTCCGGGTAACAATAGCCTTAAGCAATGCAGCAGCTGCCTCAACAATACTTGGTTCCCCAGAAAGAATGGCCTACCCCACCCAACAAATGAAATCACAATATTACAACATTTGAATTAGTTAAGAAGTTGGATACTTAGAACTAGGATGGCAAAATGGGAGCCTGGCCTGTTCGGGCCCACTCAAACAGGCAGGTGCAAGCCACAGTTGAAAACAGGCCAGACACCTTAGGCCATCTTGTTTAGGATGGGTAATGAAGAAAATGAAAAAAAATAAAGGAAGAAAAAATTAGAAAAACAAGGAAAAAGAATGTTCTTAAAATTGTTTCTTTTATAAAATTAATTTAAATAGGAAAATTTAGTTAAAGGATGTAAAATATATTCATAATTTAGTTCAAATTAATTTGAATATTATTTTTTATTAGTAATAAAGAAATTAAATTTATAAATAAACAATAATAACAAACATGTTCTTTTAAAAACAATAAAATCTTAAAAAACCAAACTTAAATTTTTAATGTAATTATTATTACTATTATTTTGATAAAAAGGCATGAGAGGCTTGCCTACCCTGCCGATGGCCCTCTCGGTTGACGAGCTAAGCGGGTAGAGCCACCTAGTTGGCCTACCGTTTTTAGATGGGTAGACCTACTGACCCTTCCCATTTTACCATCCTATCACATCCGTATCAAACACATTAAGTACAAAATGATAAAGGTAAAACTTGAGGTAATCAATAATAAAAGAATCAAGCCAAAGTAACTTTAAGAAAAATAAAAATTTTAGGGTCTATTTGGACGAGTTCTCAAAAAGAACTTTTAAGAGAGGAAAATATACAAATAAAAGAAAGAAAAAAATACTTTTCCATAGGTTAAAATTAAATTATACATAAACTAATTTATAGAAGCTCTCTCATATAGCTTCTCCAAATTTTATTTATAACTTGCATAATCTAATTTTAACTCATGGAGAAGTTAATTACATTTTTTTCATCACTTTTCCTCTCAGCCTTTCTGTTGAAGCTCATCTAAACACACCCTTAGAAGAACAAAACATCAAATACCAATATTTTCCCACATGGCTTATTAACAAATGTATAGTTCCAAAAATCACCTGTGCAATATGCGGAAGGCAACGTGGACTTGACAGGATTCGTTTTACTCTAGGAGTTGGAGTAACAATCTCTCCAGCATCGTCTAAATCTGAATGTGCAGACACCATACTATGCAATATGGACAAAGCTGTCTCCCCAACCTGAATATAATATCCATATTTTATCCATTTGAAGTATATGAGCAAAATAAAATTGAAGAAAATGTAAAAATATGGCTTTTGATAAGATAACAATCGGCCATTTACATAAATAACTATCTTCTTTTACTTTAGGTTGATTTCCAAATATGTCTAAACTTTATAAAAAAATCTACATTGCAGAACCTTAACATCGGTGGCCAATCTCAACAGTACCCCAAAAAGATCAAGTAGTTTAGATATAACAAACAAGCACATGTCTAGACTAACAAAAAAAGAAGGTTGAAAAAAAAAAATAGATAGAACTCAGTAATCATTGGGAATAAAAAAAATCAAGCTACAAAAAGATTCACAAAAACAATTATTATTGATATGATCTTCCAGCTTTGACAAGATTCTACCTGAGGTGGGGTAAGGACAGGAACTCTAAGGGCAAGCGCCCATCGAAGCTCACGGATATCACGCAACTTCTTCCAATCTAGCATCCCAGAAGCCCAAAACCTTGTTGTCCAATCAATAGCCTTCTTGGACCACAACCTTCTAATAGCATCCTTTTCCATAGGTCCAACTTGAGCACCATCTTTGTCAATATACATCCATTCCTTAAGCGGTTCCATAAAAGCACTAGCAGCAATTAAATTTGATTGCAAGGGAATAGATGTCCTCTCCGAAGTTTCATGGACTACAGTAAGCAGATCAACAGCTAATACACAACCTCCAACTAGGACACAAGCCTCCACATTTGATAAAACTTTCATCAATGCCTGAAATTCAGTAAATCATAGTTAGTTTAAATTTTAAATTGAGAAAATGCAATATTTACTTAGTTTTTTTTTAAACATAATTCCATTTAGAATAATCTTTAAGCCAATGTTTACCACTGTTCCTGTTACAAATTGCATTTAGCAGCAATGGAGGTCAAAATTCATAATGTATTTTCATTTTAATCAACTACCTGCCAAAATTTTTGCACTCTTGAAACAAAAATATTAGGATGAACTTCAAATAGAACTATGACACAATAGCAAAGCAAATTAATCCTTCCTCCCACACAGAGAAGACAGAGCAAGGAAAAAGTAAATTCAATTTACAAACCTTCAGAAGTAAAAGAAGTCGGTGCCTCAAAGCTCTGTCATCTGTCCTGTCCAAGAGAACAGTAATGTGAGATGTGCCTTCAAAACGCCCTATGGTCATGTAATGCTGCTCATATACAATTGCCATTGCCCTTGCACAAAGCTCTCTCACCGATGATCCACCACCTCCACCAAAACCATCTAATCTACCCATGTCACACCAATCATCAGATGCACCTAATTCATCAGGAACAGCTCCATCTACAGTAAGCCCAGTGTCTGCATCACATAAGAACCGATGGTAAAGTGCCCTGAAGAAAGCAACAGGATCACGCAACGGGAAGTCTTGTGCCCTGCCAGCACTGCCACTCTCAAGCAGTAATCGCAGATAATATTGACCCACACAAACTTCTTTTGACAAACTAGGGTAACGAACAGAAAATTCAGGGTAGTTCCAAGATATTTGTGGCACACTCTCAACCCCTGATACCATTTCCAAGGTTGCACCCCCGGGAACAATATCTTCAGTTCGCTCTTTCTCAACATCTAGTTTATGAACTTCAGCTTTCAAAGATTCTCTCAACTCTTGCCTGGTACGCTCATTCCAAATCAAGTCTGCACGATTGTGATCAAGATCAAAAGCTCTCCAAAATTCAGGCCAGTTACATAGAAGCCGACCAGATCCTACAGGGGTGTTCTCCACAACAACTTGAGCAGGAGCAGGAATGCCTTCATTCTGCAAACCAACTGCATTGCTCTCAGGATCAACTGAATTTTGAAATTCAGATTCTGATGCTTCATTTGAGTTTGCTGACACTGCATTAACCGAAGCCACAAAAGTTGAATGCCCATTTTGCACTTCACCAGTAGAAGATCCATTGTTCAAATGTTCACTAGTGTGAACTAGTGAAGATTGAATATTTGAAGCCTGTCCAGAACTTGGGTCCATAACAGTTTTATGAAAATTGTCAGAGCCTCTAACAGTAGTACCCACTGTTTGCCTAGCTGAATCAGAAACATCAAAGTTATTAGCTGAAGGGAAAGGTTGTTCTTGAGAAATAAGTCCTCTCCCAATGCGACCTTTCCTGTGCTGAAGTAATCGTCTTTTTCTTTTCCCAATTGATGATTCTTCTTGATTTGTATCTTCAGCAAGAGCTTCATCAGCCCGTGTGTGCAAGTAAGCAACGAGACCAGGAGGTAGAATTCGGGACAATAGCTCCAAAGCTGGTTGATAGGAATCTGCCCAAAGAGCAACTAGCTGTCGACTAACTTCACGCCGCTCACCAGCTGGATGAAAAAATCCATGCAGTAAATGCCTCAATAAAGCACCATCACGCAGAGAAGCATCTCGCATGGACTCTGCAGCAATAGCATCTTCTTCTGCAATTGATCGCATTATCATTGCTACTGTTTCTCTAACACTTTCAGCAGGGTGACCAAACAGTGCAAACAAGCGACGCTTCAACCCTGCAACTTGACGTAACAATTCAACAAAAACAGTATATTGGGTAGTTTCACCATTTGGATCACAAATCATAGCCTCAAGCACTTCAACAACAGTCATTGACAGTAAAGGTGATACTGACGTGGGCTTTAATCTGTTGACAAGAATGATGATATAATTATGATTAGCAAACAAAACTGACTTTGTATGCATAATTGTGGCATGCCACTCTCCTTTAGAATCTGTTACATTTGCATCACCAGGCCCACCACCAATGAGTACAGCTACAAGCCCCGCAGCCTCAGAAGCAACACCTTCTGAACCATTTCTGAGTAAACCCATTATCCTTCCAACTGCTGCTGGAAAAGACATCACATGTGATGCTGCACTTCTAGAGGCAAGTAGTCTGCGTAAACATCCAATAAAACCCATAACAGTTGCTGCAGCTTTTGGTGAAGGGGGTGGGAGTGGAGGAGATTCTGGAGGAAGATTTGGGGCAGCGGGAAGCATAGTAATCAAGGCCATTAATGTAACCTCCGGTACTTCAATGTTTGGAGGCACACCACTATATGGTATACATGCATTGAACTCCCTTATTCTACGCCATAGTTTAGCCCTCGATCCAGGAATAGAACCACCTTCAGCAACAGCATCTTTGGCAGCAGCTGCTAAATGCTTCAAATGCATTGATGCACTTTCTGCATCAGTAACAGGCTTTTGTTGACCATATAGCAAAAACACTCTCCCGCAGGGAGGATCAATACGATGACCAGGCATTGTCAGTCTTGGCAATACAGGTATGGCACATTGACCCTGTAAATAAACATAAAGTCAAACATGCACTAGGGCATTTCATTAGATAATAATTCATTTTCAAATCATCATAAGATTAACTTAAGTTGAAGAACAGGTTCATATGATATAAAACAAGTATAGTAGGGCATGAATCATGATATATCAAACATCTGGTTGTAGAAAAATTGTCAACCAAGACGAGATACATCTACCTACTTCAGTTTGCAAAGCATCACGAACTGCTGCAAGTAAGCTATCACGAGATGTGCTTGCATAAACCTACAATTTACATAATATGCATGAGAGAAGTAATAGCATAATAAATCACAAACAAGAACAGCACAAGAAAAGCTTACATGGATGGGGCATCCATCACTAAATTCAATTGCAAACATCTGGGGCTCTTCAGCAAACCGAACAAGGGCACTTACTGAAGATAATCGACGAACAGTAACAGCCTGCACACATCTAGTAAAAATTCTCAATATTTGACACAGACAAAGTGCACATTCTATTGAAGATACATGCATCGTTCAAGATTAATATATCTTCTTTAAAATCTGTTTTACCTCCAACAATGATGCATTGCTGTTAACATAACAAGTTGAGACAACATTGGCTTAAGTTTCCTCTTTGTACAAAATGTTTTTCGAATTAAAAGGAATGTTTCAATATATATATATATATATATAAAATTTTACCGCAAAAAAAATTAATTTTTTTTTTAACAATCAAACTTTTCTCGAAAGAAAATAGTTATACAATAAAAGCACTCTATTTCAAAGTTTAACCAAATGTACCCTAAATATGAAGGTTTATAGAAAACAGAAGACACAAATCACTGGTCAAAAACCCCAAAGAACTATAGTACACAGCAATAACTTATACTTTAATCATGTCATTCAAGATTTATTTGCAACAATATATCAGAAAACAATAGTTATAAATGCCTAAAGCCACATGCAAGAAGTTCCATCATCATGTATCAGTGCCTGTAACATCATAAAAGATTTGCATCTAGAAATACTACATCCCATTCACAAGTTGACTTAATACGTCACTTACTTCATAATTCTCAGGGCGCCTTTCCACAAGTGAAACCTTGGTAAGAATGAGCTGACGAGATACAGAATCACCATGCTCACCTAGTCCTCCTTTAGGGCCAACTCCTAAACTCAACCCTGGAACATTTAGTGTTCCATGGGCAGCAGAACGCAACCTTGTTACAGACCAACCCCCCAATGGAGTATCTTCTGCTCCAACAGCCTCTTTTTCTGTTTGTTCAAGGTTAATAAATAAATTCACAGCAGATAAATAATGAAGTTGAAAGTAAAAGTAACATAACACAAGGTTATGACTAGTTACCCCTCTGTTTTAAATATTCAGAAATAGAGAGACTTTGAGAACTCTCCACAGACAAGGACAGCCCAACAGTCGATTTGGCAGTTTTTGTCTGCAATAAAATATATGCACTTTTATAACAGTTCATATCAAAACTGTAAGCGCAGAAATCCTTTGTTATTCAGAAAGAAATTTTACAAATGTTGCTTTGTTACAGTTTCAAAAGGCAACCTAATTTAAAGCCCTAGTATCTAGCAGAAAAATGATTTAATCTTAGACACAACCATCCATACCAAATTTGAGATAATAGCTGATGTTGTGCATCCAGAAGCAGCTTGGAAAGCTTTAGATTTTCTTCCATACAAGGGGCAAAGAACAAATCCGCTACCATTTTCAATGTTTTTCTTCCCAAAAGCATCAGAGAGAAGAATAATTGCAGGGGAATCCATGTCTCTAAAATCCAAGCACCAGCGAAGATCACCCGAACTTGTATCAATAAGCTCAACACCAACATAGGTTACTTTCAATTTCTGTGAAAGCCACCACCAGTCAAACAGGATAATTAGTTTAGCTACTCACCACATCATTTTTTGTATCAGTTGATCACACAATATATCAAAAGCAGCTGTTTTGTTATGCAAAATGATTTGAAGAAAACACATTCCTAATCTCCACAATTCTCACAATATTAAGGATTTCATAATTAAAAGGAATTTGGCATTCGTGGAAACTAAATTGCTTCAATTAAATTAGAAATCTACAACATTTAAGCGGTTAACTATACCATTTTTTACATATATAACTAATAACTACAGAATCAAATATCTTGGAATGTGTCTAAGATCTAATTGAACCCCACAAAACCAATTTATAGGCACTACTTTCATGTATCTAGTCAAGTTAGGATCTCAATTTCACAAGAGCCATATCATGGTGACTGCACTCTACAACACTTAACACGCCTTTCTGGTTAGCCCCTCTGTAGGATCCCCTTTCCAGCCTAGGGGTGATCGCAATTAAAGCAGCTTTCTAACAAAATATTAAGTCCTTGATATTATAATTTCAACATAATTTACGGCAATCCAAATACACAGTTTAAGAAAGGGGAAAAAAGGAAATATTGATAAGTTTTACTATTAATACAAGTGTAAACTTGTATCTTATTTTGCTATTTGATAGGGGAAATAAGTGTGAAAGAGAAAGGGAGGTGAAAAGAGAGAGAGAGAAAGACAGACAGACAGAGAAAGCATACCAAAGCTAAAGCTAAAACTTGAAGGCGAGAGTCTGCAGTAAAACTGTAGAAGAGAAAAGAAATTTATAAACCTGTTATTTATTGAATCCCTTCATTTCCCTTGAAAATAATCCCCTATAGAATTCTCATCGTTTTAAAATTCCAGGGTTTTGATGTCCAATAAAAACAATTTTATGGGCTAAATTATTTATTTGATACCTATAGTTGTCCTCATTTTAAGTTTTAGTCCCTATGCAATAAATCTACAAGTTTTATCTCCGCAATCGTTTTATGTGGTGGTTTATCACTGCGAAAATGTTTTTTAGTGGTTTTACAAAACCAGGAAGTTTTTCACTGATGCTAGCAATAAGAACCAAACATTAACTTTAATGCACATGCAAGGACTAAAACTTACAATTTTCTTGTATATGGATTGAAATTTAAAATGGGGCAATTACGAGGACGAAATGAACAGTTTACCCATTTTTTACGGGATCCATCTCTTCTAAAAGCGACGTAAAATAAGGAATCTTAAATGTTTCATGAAAATATCAATCGTCTGTATCACATGCACGTACATAACAAATCGTAAATAATACATTACTATATCGTTTCTCGCTTTCAGAAGAGCCAGATACCATTCTAAGAGTGGTATTCTAAATTTAAGTTATATCCCTCTTTCAAAAACCCCTATCGAAACAAACTTCACACTTATTTTCTCTTGTTCAGCGTGAGACAAAAGAAAGACATAAATGCACATCCTCACAACTCATCATACACAACAACTTACGAACAACGCACAACTAATAAACAGCACCGCACACACTTAGCTATCGTACTGCAAGCACGAACCCCACAATCAAAATGCATACATGTTCACTCCGCAGTCTTTACTTACAAGCCAAATGAAGTTCACAGAAAAGCAATCCTCCAAAACAAGAAAAACAATCACAATTGAAAAAGCATTAATGGAGCGGTATCACTTACAAAAGGAGCCCACTGGGACGCCCGTCGTCGAAGATGAAGCACCGGGAACTCAGCCACCGGCGCCAAACGATTCCAGCGTATCCGATGCAACTCCGTCAAAATACTCGCCCTGTACCGCGACGAGAACTTCATGGCTTTGAATTTTCCGCGTCCATCGGTCCTCACGCTGAGGTTGAACTCAATCGAATTCTCATCGCGGCCAATAATAGGCGCGGCACCCTCGAAATCCGTCGCAACGTCGTACGAGTTCGTGACGGAGAGCGTGGAAGGATCGAGAGTGAGAACGGAAACGCTGGAAATGCAGAGTATCCGCTTGTAGCGGCCGCGCCATGAGTGCTTGACGACCATGTAGCGCGCCAAGTACTCGGGCTCTTCAAGCGGCGGAGGAGCGGAACTAACGGCGGCAGATGCGGAGACGGTGTTTTCCATGACGGGCGGCGGGCGGAGCTGGACGGGGTGGTTAAGATCGGATGCGTAGCGGCTCACGGATTCGACCTGGGGGAGATAGGCAAGTGTGTGGAGACGTGGCGCATTGTGGAAGCGGAGGAAGAACCAGAGTCCCTGCTGCTGCGACGATGAAGGTGCCGCCGCCGCCGCCGGGCTTCCGAGAGGCCGAGAGTGATTCGCCCCCAGCTCTGAGACTTAAGGGAGTTGTGGATTACATTCAATTTGGGTGGATCGATTGGAACCCTAACTACGGCGATTTGTTCATCCAATGCGAGGTTTGGATTGGAGTTGCGATGGTGAAGGGAAGGGTTAGGTTTGCGGAAATCAGAGAGTGGAAAATGGAATCGTAGATCGAGAGAGAGTGCCAGAAATCACGAGAGAAAGAGGATGGAAAGAAGTGGGAGGAGGAGAATACACAACGCACCGTCTCAGACTGATAATGATGACGTGTCAGTTTCTTATTCGTGATCACTCTTCTACCTCCTTTACAATTAATACACTCAAAAAGGATAACACTTACCTTCTATGTGCTTTTATTAGTAAAAAACTGACTAAAAAAAATAAAAGTAATGAATAGAATTAACATGTGACAATTAAAACTGTCTTTTGGGTTGATTAGGTGAAAATATTTTTCTTTTTTTCCGAAAAATATAACGTTCGCATGTAGGAATTTTGTAAAATATAATTTACAAAATTAAATATTTAATTTCGGGACATGATTACTCGAAATATTTAATTTCTACATCAATAGGTTGATATTGTTTTAAATTAATGAAAAAAACGGACTTTAAATTAATGAATATTTAACATTTTTAAAATATTTTTATTTTACTTTAATAAGTTATTATTATTATTATTATAATAGATGTTAAACAAAGGAGGCAAAAATGTTGAGTGCGGTACTAAAACTTGGATAAAATTACAGGCATTCAACACAAAATAGAAATAAAATTAGGTTTTGAATATACGCAACTTAAAATGAAGAAACTTTCAAAAATAAGTTATCCTTATTTTAAAATTATAAAAGGGATTGCTTCAAATAATTCATCAAGACTCGAAAAAGAAAACTTGGATTATAGTATATAAAATTTATTAGTTTAGTTCAATTTGTACTAATTCATCATTATTAAACAACTTATCTACATCAATGATATTAAGTTCAAATTTTTGAAGTGAGGTTTCAGATTTGAATTTTGTAAATGGAAAAATACAGTAGAAGAGGAAAGTTTTGTATTAAAAAGTAGTCAATAATTTTTTTAATATATATTAGTTATCAAGAAAGTTGAAGAATATTTTGCACGCGTTTATTAAAGTTGAAGAATATTTTGCACGTGTTTATTAAGTTTTTTTGCTTTCTTTCATCGTTGACAGTTATGCTTATCTAGTCCTGATATCATGGCATGGAGTTTATGTAATGAAAGTACCCTCTCACCTTCAGGAAAAAGAGTGAAAAAATAAATTTCATTGATTTTAAAACTATGATGCATCAATAATTAATTGATTTTACTGTGATTGGCATGGGATGTCAACAGAAGAGGGAGAGAAAGAGCTCGATATCCCTTGATAAATTTTTGCCCCCATGCATATGATCCCACACCCGAGTAGTATTTGTTAAGTAATTACCCACATATTTATATATAATTTTTTAAATCAGTCAACAAATATTCTAAAGAAATATTTAACTATTAATTTTAATTATTTAGACAACTTTAAAAACAAAATAGTCTTCAGGTAGAAAATAGTCTTAAGGTAGAAAATTGTAAATATTCAAATAATTACACAATTAATCTAACATATAGTAGGAAATTATAAATTTATTTATTCTATAGTGTTACATATTTCAACAAGATTATTCTAGTAATGAATAAAAAAGGATGCATGTTACAATCAGTAAATATGTGCATATCCATTTAAATCATTCATGAATATTTCATTAATCCTATTCTATGTTATAACATTCATTTAGATTATTTATGAATATTGGAAGAATTAATCTTATATGTCATAACTTTTATTTCTGATTAAGTATGAACATTTTTATCATCCTTACATTAATCATTCTACTGTAGTAAACATTATTTGTCAACCTATAACATCAATTCTCGCAAAAATAAGTGATATATCTCCGTAAACCTCAAGTCATCCAAGATGGTTCTAAAATATAAGTGATATATCTCTATGATATCTGTTCCAACCTCAATTCCTACGTCCTACAAGATGGTAATCTTAAAGATACCGTATTCAAGGATTTTGTCTTCTTTTTTCTAAAACATCTGAAGTAAAGAACTATGATTTAAAACAAGTGTCAATACGGCATACATGTGTGTTGGCTCAAAAGATGATCCAAGAAAAAGTAGAACCATTGACATTGAAAAGAAAATAAGAAGCATTAGAATGTGACTGTGGTGTCGGAGTCGAGGGATTGAACATAGATTCAGAGTTTCATCTCAAAAATTTTAAACAGAAACAAACAGCAATAACAAATTTCTCAAACAAAAACAAGCAGCAACAAAAAGTTTCGATAGTTTCATCTCAAATTTTTTAAACAGAAACAAACAGCAATAACAAATTTCTCAAACAAAAACAAGCAGCAACAACAAATTTTTCAAACAAACACAAGCGGCAACAGGACCCTATCCAACGGAAGAAGGAAGAACAAAAACATACACTAATAAAATACTTCTATCTTCCACCAAGATATAAAATTAGACAAAACTTACTCAAAAGTCAAATTAACTAAAGCCGCTCCAATGTTTATTTTGCATTTGCAAATGAACAAAGAGCATATGCTCATATATATGATATAGAGAGATAGCAAATGAAAAGGACCAAAGAAAAACTAAACACCAAAGAAGAGATACAGTCACTTTGACAGTCTGTTTACCGCACTGGCTGCTGATTGTAGTGAGCCTTCTCTTTTTTCTTGGCTGCAGCCAACTTTGCACTCCTTGCCGCAGCCTCATTGGCAGCAGCACGTGCAGCAGCATCCATCTCCTTGCTTGACTTTTTCTTTTTCATTGAAGCAACTTTCTTAAGTCTCTCTTTAACATCAACTGCAGACGCATCCTCAGTCTTCCCTGTTTCGGCAGTTTCAGAAGTTGTATTTCCAGCCTCCACAACATCAGGCTGATCTTGTGATTCCTTCTGCTCCTTTGAAGATTTGTCCTTCTTCTTTTTCTTTTTAGCATTTTTGCTTTCTCCAGTAGCATTTTCCTTCTTTTCCACTGATCCATTGGTATCCTCTTCTTTCTTCTCAGCACCTAAAATTTAAAAGACCATTAAGATTTCAAATAAGAAAGATTCAGTTAGCTACATAGTTCAGTTGAGATAACTAATATATTTGCAGATATTTTATTTCTTATACATTAATACAATTGAAAACACATTACCATGGGAATCATCTTGGCTGGAAGGTTCTTTTGGCGGGTATCCTAGCTCAGCCAAAACAGCTTCAAGTTCTTCAAGTCCCTTTTTCTTTAATTCCTTCTTTGAAAGTTGTCTTTCAGTTTCTTTTGTAACCACTGATGGTTCAACAGGCTTCTGAGGAACAGGCTCAACTTCTTCTGACAACTCTAAGTCATTTTCATGTTCATCTTCAACATCATCATCTGACTCACTTTCACTTTCCTGGATCCAAGTATTCATCAACTCTACCCGTTAGTAGATATATAACCAATAAAACCATGACGAGAGATAAGACATGTACATGTGAAGGGAGAGAATTGCAGTAAAGACTGATTTATTGATTATTTTAAACAAAAGCTAACACTTGTGCCTTTTTACCTTTGTCATTAATGATAACAATAATATACTTATCTACATGTTAGGTAATTTTATTCAGTTCCTTAATTCCGAAAATAACTAATGAATATAAAGTTTTGTGAAGAGTACGAAGTAATGATTCGCCATAGTTAAGTTTGAGTGTTTATGACATAATGTACATTTTTATACTTTCTCCTCTTTTTCTAGGAGATTAGTACCACATTCAACATGTATACCATTTTAAACATTGTTTCTTTCAGAAAAAGCAAAATACAGCAACAAGGTTGCTCCCATAGCTTTTTAATACTATTATAGTGATCCTAATATATATTTAACTGACAAGACAGAACAAAATTTGATTATAGTTGTGCAACAGTTCTTAATACTTTCCCAAGTGTCCGATCCTGTGTTTAGATGCAGTATATATGATTTATGTAGCCCAAAATCACACACATTGTTTTTAGCAGATATACACGATTTTACATGCTATTAACAACTTAGTCTATCTTTGCCAATTTGATTTAATGGTGCAATGGTTTTGTATACTTTCCCATGTGATTTATGTTAATGGTTCCATGATTTGGAGTCTTGTTTACTTGTAATTTGCCATTTTTCTGATTTGATGATAGTTGTGCAACGATTCTTAATACTATCTCATGTGTCTGTTATGTGTTTAGCTGTTGTATATATGAATTGTGTAACACATTATAACACACATGGAAAAGTATAAAGAATCACAGCACCAATATAATCAAATTGGCAACCCCACAAAGGTTAGGTAGTTAATAGAAGGTAAAATTGTCAAATCATGAAATTGTTAACATAAACCACAGATGACAAGTCTGGAAGGATTGAAAAATATTTTCAAGAAACCAGACAACTAAAACATAAATCAGCAAATCAATAAAAACTAGATCATTAATAGCAAGTAAACAAGATGCCAAATTATGAATTCATCAACAAAAGTTAGATATACATTAACATAATCTATATAATATAGGACTAAGTCGGCAAGAATTGATAATTATAAAAAAAATACTAGACAACCGGAATTAGATTTGAATACTCATTGTCAACACATACGAGACAGATAGAACAGTAAACATTGTATCTTATAAATTTGAAAGCACAACCTTTCCTGTAAATCATTCTTCAACAGATTTCATGCAAATCTTTCTCCTCCGATATATAACATCACATTTAATCCAAGTTCAACTAAAAAATAATATCCGTTGCAGAACTTTCTTTGCACTCCCCTTTTCAGCACAGATTGATTTTCATCAATACGCAACATTACTCATCAATCTATGTCTAAATATATAGATATATAGATAGATAAACACAGATTTTGGTGTAGCAGTGGTGTCCATGCAGCTCAACCAATCCTGAGTCTGGTCAAAGACACAGTCCCAGAAACTAAAGGATTCCCAAAAGCATGGGGAGCAATTGGGATAAACCATTAAAAGGTAATTTTCAACATTATTTTTTAAAATAAATAACTAAATGCAATCAATCTATATGTAGATAGACAGGTAAACACACACAAGCACAAAAATAGATTGTAGTATAACAGGCTCGTCCATGCAACTCAACTAATCCACAGTCGGCTTAAAGACAATTAATAACAACAACAACACTCCACACCAGAAACTAAACAACATTAATTAGAAAACAAGAACTAAAAGCAATAAGTCAATAAGGAGTTGGAAGGAAAAAATAGGGCAGAAATTAAAACCTCAGGAACGACATCTTTCTGATTGAAAGTATCGGAAGCAGGCGGAGCGCCCCAAACGGATTCAGGAGGAGCGGTGGTGGCGTAATAGTCGTCGTCATCCTCGTCATCGACATCAGCCCAAGACTTAGAGGTGAGCGGCGCAGGGGCCCAGAAAACGTCCTTCTTCTGAGGCTCTTGGTCCTTAGAGGAGCCCTGCTCCTTCTCGGGCTTCTTCTTCTTCTTCTTCAAGCTTCCGAGCGCTGCGAATACGTTGTTGCTGCTTATGACGGGCGCCTCGTCCCTTCTGCTCCCTCCACCCGCCATTCCCAATCCAACTCACAGTAAGTGCAGGGGCAAGATCGGAAACAGATAAGAAACTTGCGCCGAAAATTCTAGGGTTTTGCTGTAGTGTGATCTGAGATGAACGTGTGGAAATCGGAGAGTTTAAGTATGGGGAAGGAAGAGGATAAGGCAGAAGGTGAAATAGTGAGTTGAGGAGGTGAGAGGCGGGGATCAACAACAAACTATGGATGATGTTGTGACATTGTGATGATGTATCTGAGACTGAGACTGTTTACATATGATATAGCATTAACACTTCCATACATACATACATATACAGGATGCATATTTTTTTCGGGTGCGGTAGGGTCCGTGTAGTTGTGGTACACTCTCATACTACACACGTGTTGTAAAGGTTTGACAGTGCATTAGCACAATATTCAACACACGTTTTCTAAATATATTTTAATAAATTTAAAATATTTTTAAATAAATTAAAATGATTATGTAATGATCGATGATGTGAACACATAAGGCTTACAATAAATATTGAATACCATTAGAAATGTTTCTTTCAAAACCTATTCAACCCAAATCATATGTTTTTTGTTCAAAACAATTATAGTTTATTAATTAAAAACTAATCTTACATGTAATAATAAATGTTGTCTTTTTATCTTTTTATCATAATGGAATAAAGAAAATAGAGTGAGAAATAGTTTTTTCTTAAATAATGTAAAAAATAAATAAAAATTATATGATTCTTTTTATATTTATTAATACAAATAAAATAAAAATATTTAAATCAAATGTTTATAACATTATTATAAATTATTTCTATTTATTATGATTATAAGATGTATTTTAAACAAAATATTTTTATAATATATTTTTTAATTTTTATGTGTATTTTATTTTTTAATCATATTAAATATTATAAATATTGATATTTTGTATTCACAGAGAATGAGAAGAGGATGTGAAAAAGTAAAACATGTACTCAGTGTTACTAATAGTATATTCCTAGAATAATCTAATCTCTTCACTCTTTATTCAGTTTCTTCACACTGTATGTATGAATGTATATGCCCAACCATGATTACTTCTTTAGTTTTTTACCCCACAAATTGTGCCTACTTTTGACAACTCCACCATAAAGAATTGAGAAAATTAATGTCATAGAATTGTTATAATTACTAAATACATGTCCTTAAATAAATGAGCATTAAATAAATCGAAGAAAAAAGTAAATGCATTGAAAAACTTAATCAAAATATCATTCCATTAATTCTCATTACTACGGTGAGAGACCATGCAAAAATGAGATAGAATATAATACCCAATTTATTTACTTGCAAACAAAATAACCCTTCCAATTAACATTTTTTTTTAATTTCTCCTGACTTTTTTTTTCTGGGTGTTGGAATAGAGTGACAGGAAATGTTAATTGATTTTGAGCAGGAAATATAAAGCAGAGACATAGGATATAAATATTTTATTGATTTTAAAATATTAATTATTTAAATTATAATATTATTACAGTTTTGTATTTTTCAAATAATACAACAACAAAAGTTTTATTAATTTTTTAAAATTATAATCTTTATTTTAATATATTATTTTTAATGAAAAAGATCAAAAGACCAGTCCATTTCGCTGTTAACGTTGGACTAGATGGTAGATACGGACAAAATATAGCATCCAATCTTCAAATCGATGATGAACTTGTAAGTTCAAAAATTCCTATTTACTACCCCAATTCATATTAAAGTTTGTTTTTGAGAAAATAAGCACTGTTATTACTCTTTTACATCACAATAAATCTATATTGACAAAGAAATATATTCAGGTTGTTTATTTGATTTTCTTAACCCAACTTATTTTTCTTTAATACTGCATATTCCAATTCAATTAAATTTATACATTTTTCTTTTAATTTTCATTTATCCCAAATGACAAGATTTATGCTTAATGATGATACTAAATACCCACCTTTCTATCTGTTAAAGTTCCTTAGACTATATCAACCATTATTTTAATTATGATGAGTAATCCATATCAATACTATGATTAAAAAATAGATAAATTTAACATTTGAAAAATATATATATAACAAACAATAATCAGCCTGTTCAATCTTTTTGTAAAGATATCCCAATCCAGTCCATTATCTCAGCCACACTGAAATGCAATGAAATAATAATAATAATTTCCCTAAGCTTTTGAAAAACATTCTTATCTGATGAGGGGAACAAGCACTTCCCGTTCATCGATTTGAATGAATTTTTGATTTGAAGTTAAATAGGAAACAAACTCAGAAATTCATGAAGCAGAATTATCAAAAGTCGTTCCTACATGCTGTATAACAAATCCGTAGATCTTTCTCTTCAATTTCTCAATCTTATCTGTAAGTGAGTCATCCCCTTTGGAAACCACACGGTCTAGCCATGCATTCACACGCTTCAAGTGTGACAAAACAACAGCAATGGAGCCACCATCCAGGGGCAATGTTTTTTTCCCATCAGCTGTACACTCTCCAAACACTTTAAATCCTGCATCAAGGGACTCCTCAACAAAACGTAGAAACCACATTTGCATTTCAGAAAGCAAATTTGCTCCAAGCTCTACAGTCTCTTTCATTCCACTGCCTCTTGTCCACACACTAGCATTCAGACCGGATGGTGGTGATGAAGGAACCTTCGCATGGTTCTTAGTTGAACCGAGAGAGTGTCTTTTTGATACGCTTTTCTGCAGTGTTGCTAAAGGATCAGCGGTGGTGCCAGTAAGAAGGGATACTATCTGTAGATCAGTGGCCAAGGCAGCTTCGACCCAGAGAGTGAGTGACTTTGACTGTTCCGTTGGAATGCTGTTATCATCAGGTGCCTCTGAATTAAGTCTGTTGGCAATGGCTTCAGCCATGGCAGTTGATTTCAAAACATCATCGTAGATAGTGAAAAATCTGTCTATGGTTGGCAAAGGATTTCTAGCCTGGCACACTGAGCACAGGTCTGCAAACATGCTGATGGGTTGAAGAAACAAAAACAAATGCATCATTCATGTTAGCCATTATGGAGGAAATGAAAGTGTGTGATATGAATTGACACCCTTGAATAGAAAATTTCTATTCAAGGTTTAAATATTGAAACTTCCAATAGAATTCAAAAGTTTGGTATATTACAGGCTCTTTCCAGTACAAAATAAAATTCAGGTAAAAGTGGAATTGTTACCTTAAATTTCTTACAATACATTCAGTAGCATTGGCCTCCTCTAGTGCTTCAGCAGCAGCAGTAGAAGCAAGAACCTTTCTTTGCATTGCTTCCTGCATTGGGTTGAAAACGAGGGATTCTGACTTATAAAATCAAATCAACCGAGTCTCCTTATCCAAAAAATTAAAACCGAGTCTGTTCTAGCCCCCTCGTTTCATCAGGAACATACCCATCTATTCTTTTGGCTTGTATTTGTTGGATGGACTAATAACTATGTTGAAAAACATATTGTTTGGATGCAAACACTTATAGAACAAATTATAGTAAGGGAAAAGCATAATTCCATATAATAGTATGTGAAGAATAAGTTGCAGCTGCCCTTGGTTTTTTTCTTACACTCATTGTTACTGTATTTTACTTTAAAAGGGTGCAAAATCTGTTACTTCTTGGGACAAAATTTAGATGCAATTCCTAAGATATTTTTAAAATAATCAGTTCAATAGAAGTGTTAGCTACCAAGGAGAACTCAGAACTGTGCCAAAAAGCATTAGAATTTTCCTTCTTATGTTTAATTTTACCTTATATCCTATGATGACCAAAAAACAGTATTAAATTTCAAAACACATACCTTTCCGAGTCTGGCAAGGTTTCCAGACACAGAGTCTAATGAAACACTTCCATTGGTCCATTTCTTTTCATGAATGGTGATACCCATAGCTGCAAAATTGGATTTCTCCTCAAGGACACAACTCTGAGGAGATAAAGCTTTAGTTTTCTCACTGCTCGAAGAATCATTGCTACCCGTTTTCTGACCACTCACATCACTCAACCGCCTTGACATCGCTGCCTGCAAAATTGTATCAGCATTAGAGCTAAACCAAACAAGTACCAAGTAAGGTGCATTGTTTCTAAAACAAGAAAAACAATGCAATTCGCCACTTCATGCTCGATCACAAGCAATTACACTAAATTAACACTTTCTACTTTTGGTTCATCCCAATTTCATTTACCTGAGTACGCAAAATTGCTTGCGCATCAAACTTATTCTTAGAACCACCCTTTTCTTTGTGTTCAGCTTCAACAGGCGTGGCCGGCGGTTGCTCATCCCAATTCTTCCTCGCACTCTTGGACCCAACGAGCGCATCGGAGACCTTCGAGATCCCGGCGACAATGGTGGCCATCTTCTTCTTCGCAGCGGAGTCCACCACCACCGGCGATACCTTCAGCCCACCGGACAACCTCCTCCCAGGAGAAAGTGACGCCCGCCGCGGACTCGGAGACGGCTGCTTCCTCCCATTCGGAGAAGCTTGCCGGTATCTCGACGGCACAATTATCGCCGGCTCCCGGGACACCTTCCGGTTGTCCTCACGCGCTGAAACGAGACTGGGAACCACGCACTTAGACGGCACGGGAGACGCCGACCGCTTCCCCTTCCCAGCGGGAGAGGGATCCCGCTCCGCCGCAGCACCGGTCTTACTCCTGGACGCGGACTGCGACCTCTTGGCAGTGGCCGGCGAGGAGAATCTCTGCGGAGGCAAGTTGTCGCGAGGCGCAAGAGGCTCTCGGGAGACGCGTTCTTTCTCTTTAGGTTTTTGTTCTTTGAGTTTAGGTTCTTCAGGGTTAGGGTTAGGGTTAGGTTTTTGGGGTTGGGTGGTGTTGGTGTTGGTGTTGGTGTTGGTGTTGGAGAGGTAGAGGGAGAGGGGATCGTGGTCAGAGTCGGGAAGGGGTTGGATGAGGAAGTGGCGCGTGGAGGGGGAGATTCGAGCGACAAGGGGCTCGGGGGTGCCAAGGAAGGGGTGGCGGCCGGCAAGCGGGCGGATGGCGGAGACGGAGGGGAGGGGGGAGTCAAAGTGGAAACGGTCGACGTGAACGAACTGGCCGAGCTGGAGGCGGTTGGAGAGGATAAGGTCAGTGTCGGGATGGGAGAGGAGGACGTAAGTGGAGTTGAGGGAATCGGAGAGGTTGAGGTAGAAGCCTTGGTTGGACCAAAGGTCGGAGCCGGCGAGAGCGGGGACGATTCCGATGACCTGGAGGAGCGGGGAACGGTGGTCGCCGGTGACGCGGGTGTTGGTGTTCATGGCCTGCAGCATTTTGAGCAGAATGCCTGGGGTTAGGGAAGCCATTGCTGTTGCTATCGCTGAAACTGAGAGACTGAAGCCAGGTTATAGAGGGGAGAGCCGTTATGTCATTTGATGTTTTAGTGTGTATTCCATGTCTTTGAATTCAAATTTTTGTCCCGTTACTCCTGTGATTCTATTTTTTTTTTTTTTTTTTATTATGCTCCCCTGTCCCACGCCTACGTTGCCGTTGCAGTTTCACATTTCAACGGATCTTACTTCTTCAAAATTATTTCCTCTTTTTTAAAATGATCCAATTTTTTAATTTCTTATCTTAGAGATTTTGATAATCAAATGCTGTTCGAGATCACGATTTTATGTAGTTTTCTTCTCAAATTGCATGGATCTCTACGATTAAAATATTGTTTTTACTTGCATACATTTTAATAAATAAAAAAATGTTTTTCTTATTTAAGTAATTGTATTTAGTAAAATTAAAATATTTTATTTTACTTTTATATATTATTAATTATTCTATTAAATTTTTAATTATATTATTAAAACATAATTAATTTTTATGTCATATAAATGCTTAAAGTGATGGGTATATTTAAGTGTGAATGTAAGTATTATTCTACAATAAACAATTCAATTTCCTATTCCTCAAAATTTATGAAGAAAAAACATTATTTTAATCATATACATTTCATATTATTAATTAAAATTTTAATTAAATAATTATATAAAAATTAAACTATTTGAATTATTTTAAATATAAATATTTATCTTAATTATTATACGAAAATCATACTTTTAAGAGTAAAAAACAAATGGGTATTGTAAGATTGTGTACACTTTTTACTAGTATAATAGTATAATGAGCTGTATCATGAGATATGTTATACAATAATTTTTCATCATTTCTTCACTTTAGTTTTATTTTTTTTCATTATTTTATTAGTGTTAGGTTTCAAGTACTCTCTTAATGATATGTTTCCTTTTTACATTTTATACAAAAGGGTTTGTTGCCCCACAAACAATCTTCCATCTTCTTTGTCGTAAAAACACAACCTTATTTTTAAAGGTGTCAATGACTCACTTGTGTTATTCGTACAATTGTTTAAGTTAACATGATGCCTAAATAAACTGCATTAAGACTTGTTAATTTTGAAAGAGTTGAAAGCACTTTTGAAATGGATATAGTTTAGTTACCATTAAGTTACATGAAGGATATAACCTTAACATCATACACAACTCACAAAATAAACCAAATAAAATCACTTCAAAGAAGTAATGTTATTCTTTTTCTTGTTGTTTACTTTAATGAATATTGAAGAGACTAAAGTCCATGAAAATACTTAAAATGCATTTCTTAAAAGCAGTTATAACTTGACATACTTATCATCTTATAAACAAAAGTATATTTGATCATAATACTAAATATATAAACATATCATTTTTTATAAAACATAAAATTCAAATTATATAAATGATTTGACTTATCATACAATATTTTTTTAATAGAGTTCCAAATAGAATGAAAAGAAACATTGTAGAAGATACTAATATATCATATAAGAAAATATAATATTATCTTTTATAAAAAAAATTTATGACATTAGATTATTTTAGATTTATTTATCTAAAATTCATATTAACTAAATTGATCATTACATGAATCATAGGATCTTCCGATTAATCCAAGGATTATTTCGATTCCATTAGGAATGAGGATTCGAAATATCACACATTGATCAATCAAAGAGAGATTCAACAACTAAAAGAAAGATCGATTCATTATATAATTTAAAAAAAACTAATGATGAAATTTTCACAAATATAATATGAGTAAATTATATAAAAAAAAACATTACTTTTAATACAAAAATTTAAATTTATTAAATAATAATTTTTTTGCATTTATAAATTACTTAATTTTTTTAATTTTTCTATTTTTATTAAATGAGACTTTAAACACGTATAAATTTCCAATAAACATGCAAAATTTTGATAGGGAATGGAGAAAAAATTACTAAACGAAAACATTCACTAACAATCAGTTTATATATGTCATTATTCTTTTACCATTATTTTTATTCTCCTGTATTATTCCTTTCTCAACATGTATTATAAATTTTAATATCTTATTGGACGGATTGACTTTTTTTTTTTTTTCATGTTCATTTCTCTTGAGTCCGTATATTTAATTATGTAAATAAATGGATCATATATTTATTAATATCTTTATTTGTATTTATTATTTAAAATAATATTAAATGTCATGTCACAATAATTTTTTAATAGAGTAGGGGTGACTGGACTAGACCTAATTTTAAAAAATAAGGAAGTTAATTAGACCAAATTTAATCTAACGAATCAACTAATAAATTGTACTAACCGAATTTTATCTATAATTTAAACAAAATTAGTTTGATATAATCCTATATTAAATTAATAGTCATTTTAGGTCAAGTTAAAATAAATATTTTTGTAAAAAAATAAATATTTATAAAATATCAGACAAATAAATAAAATCAATTTTAAACTTTTAATGTATCACCTTGATATATAAGCTTTAAAACATCTATATGTTTTAACATAGTAATATATATTAAAAATTATAATAACTATGTTTAAAAACATGTCAATTCATCCAAAACTTATTTGAGCCATAAACTAGGTAAAAATTATTAATTTTTTTTAATCTAAACAAAATCATATTACTTATTACTTGGATTAAGCCTATTTTATTAAATCAATTTTATATGAGACTAATAAATTTTCTCTCATCATTTAATATTTTGAATTTAGAATAATTGTAAGTATCTTATAATCTCGATGGAAAAATTTATAAGTTAAAATAAGATAGATGCATCTTCAAAGTCAAATATAAGAATTTAAATATAAGTTTATTGGACGTTAATTTTAGTTGTAACGACTCTAGTAAGTATATTTTTCTTTATTTAGGTTAGATTTTTCTTTAATGATTATGAAGAAATGTTAAACAAAACATACATAAAATAAGGTTGAGCGTAATTTTTCCTTGAAGAACAACGAACTTACACCATATGAAGTTGTCATGTTAGTTAACGGTAAAATGATATGGTCATGTTCAAGAAATAAAATTACATTCGTTTGCAGAAACATATAAAATCAATATGTAATCATTTTTTTTCTCATGTAAAAATCTATGTCAATAACATGATATAAAATAGGCTAGTAAAACTTAACTCCGCTTTTTAACTTAAATTTACTTACAGTTTGTATTAAATGAGGAGATTTTGCTTCAAATGTTCTTTAAAGCTAACATTTTTTTTTATATCATATCCTTATTAATGTGTTGAAGCTGAAAGAGAGATTAGGGTGTACAACTTTTTTTGAAAGGTACTTTAACAAACTTTTTTAAAAGCTATTTTTTTTTATATAATCAACTTGGAGTCCTTTTATTCTTTGCTTCTTTTTTTCTTAACATGTTTAACCCAACTTCTCTTTTTAAGAAGAAGATGAATGAAGAAAATAGATCAAACACTAACTAATTATATTTGATACAAAAAATTGTGTATTTCTTTTTTAATATAACCATATCACAGAAGTTAGCAGCACAGGAGACTCAAATAATTATGATAATATAAAATTCCCAAAATTATCTTACAATCAGATAAACAAATGTATCTAACATGAATGTAGTTTTTCTTTTCAAGAATATATACTAAAAAAAAAAAATGTAGGGGCACATTCGTGAAGTGCTCCTTGGTTTCTTGAATCAGTAAACTATAGCAAGATTACAAATATATATAGACTCCAAGCTTTCATGAGGAGATTTGTTAACCTTCCAAGCCGCAGTAAAGAAGAGGCACAAGAGATCATTATAGGGAACTGACAACCCTTTTCTGATGGATCATCATCTGTTACTGTAGCCAAACCAGTGAAATCACAGTCCCAATCCTTTTGGTTGTTTACTTGATAATACATATTAAAGGCATAAGAAGCATTCCCTAGGAGAGTTAGAGTGTTACATGAAGAACCATACCCCAAAGCAGTGCAATCTGATTGGCTACAAGCATAGTCAATGCTAACAGCCAATAAGTGTAGATCCTTCACATCTGGATCCAAGATACACCACCGTTTTTCCATGTATTTTACACCCTCAACTGGGACCAAACCCTTATTCTGTTCAAGTCCTGCCAAGTCCAATTCATACTTTGGCTTGCCATCATACTCAAAAATCCCCCAGTGCCTCTCAAAGTTGCCAGGAGCAATACTTTTAGCATTCTCATCAATCAGGCTGAATAGATAAATGTCAATCATGCCTTTCCTTTTAGGAGTACCATTTCCACTCTGGACATGCTTAAGCAAACCCATGTTGAACCTTTTTGCATTCTGGACATTGGCATTCTTATCACCATCAGTTGGCCACCCAACTTCTCCAACTATAACATCCATGTCTGGAAACCCTGCCTTCTCTAAGGCCCAGAGAAGAGTGTCCAAATTTGCATCAAACACATTGGTGTAAACTGAATTACCGTCTATGAGAGGCCTGTTATTTCCATCAAAAAATGCAAAATCAAAAGGGAAATGATCATTTCCATAAAGACTGAGGAAAGGGTAGATATTGACAGTGAAGGGTGCATTGTTTTCATATAAGAATTGGACTATTTCAATGGTCTGGTCTCGTACTTCAGGCCTGAAGTCACCAGCTGATGGCACTTGGTTTGAGTCAGGGGAATAGTAAGCATCAGCATTGAAGGGAACAGTGACTTTGATCTGTGAACCAAACCCCCAACTATTGAGAGCTGTTTGTATGTTCTTAAGAGCAGGCAGCGTTGTCTGTAGATAGGAGCCATTGTATTCCTTAAGGAAAGGTTCGTTACCCACTGCAATATACCTGCATCACAAGCATAGTGCAGAGTAGTGTTAAAATTTGACTTAAACATACACACAACAGAATCTAATGTATTGGACATTACATCAAAGAATGATGCCATTTAAACTCCTTAATTGAGGCTTTGTAGAATGCTTCTGTTTTATCAACATTCCTTGAAACACTAGTCTTATTTCATTACTTCAATAAGCTAAATAGATAAAGATTATGAATATACATTGGAAGAAGTGTGGTAACTACTGAAAAGGAAAATCAATTGCTACATAATGGAGTAAGTGACTTCCATGAAATTTTTTTGGATACTAAAGCCAGTAGCATCTCGAATGAAAGAATAGATATATAATAAAAAAAAAATGCAAGATTCAATGGAAGAATGGAGAAAGGAGCATGAATGAGTCAACTAGTAGAAACATTGGAGAGCAAGAAACTATCTTGCGAGGAAAAGAAACACAGATAATGATCATGATGTTGTATATACTCATAGGACTACTTAACTTGATATTTAGTCCACCAGCGTACATGTAAGAAGTGACATTTTCATAAACCCAAGAATCTGCAACCTGAGGATTCTTACTTATATCCTCTAACATGTTGTTGGGTATTGCCAGCATTACTTCAATATCAGTCCCCATCAAAGCCGCCATAATCCACTCTTCTGCATCAAACAGCTTCAGTTTATCAACACCGTTTTCTTGAAGCATTCTGACCACCTTATTTGGTGGAAGTTTGTGAGTAGCCATGGTTCCCCAGTTGACTCCAACCCCTGAGCCACATGAGACCATGGTTAAGAAGACAAGAAGAAATGCCACTAGGTACCTAACACACGGTGCCATTTCTTGTGCCATTTTATGGCTTTTTCTATATTCTGGTCTTGGAAACTAGCAAAGATGCAAGAAAAGTGACAGAGCATAACCCAAACAAATGGGAGAAAAAGAAAGGGGAAGGTATGACTCTTGGCACAGGAATTTATAGACAAGGAGAGGTTTCTTTGTTAGTGCGTGTGGTAAAACAAGGACTGAATCTTGGAGTTTTTTACAATATCATAAGATAGAACAAAGATTCTTTCCTTAATTCAGTTATAATGCCAGCATGTTCTGCATTAGTGTTAAGCTCGTAGCTCATCATCATCATCATCGTCGTAATCATAATCATATAATAGTAAAAGACTAAAAGGAGTTTTTGTAAGGCCAATCAAGTGGCTCTCTTACCAGCATGCATACGGTATCCCGCACATCACAGGCATTTGGGCCACATAATTGAATAATCAATTAAATGCTCTTTAGAGGGACATTACTTTATGAGGTTTACTCTTCTAAGAGGAAATCCAATCATTGATTAGAAAAATCAATAATTAACATTGAGCTTATGCAGTGTAAAACAGTCTTACATACTCTTCCATTCCTACAAAATACAAGTGATTTTTAAGATAATTACCGTAAAAATTAATGAACTTATCATACTTAATAGTTTGAGATTGAATGACACTATCATTGTGCATGACTTTTTTTCTCATAAATATTATATGAATATATATAATAAATCATGTGAATATTAATAAGATCAATCATTTTATGATCTGGTATAAAATTAGGTTGATTTAATCAATGAACTGGACATTAGTGATTAATATGTTGATATAAGGTTAAGTTATTTGGATACTGCTCGCGTTTGATCTTTGACAGAAACAACTTTTAGTCAGACTTTACTTACTTCTGGATCAAGGTTGGAGTGAAGCCTTGGGACACTGATAAGGAAAAATAGGGTTGATTTGATGAAGCATAGTTCAGGTTTATCCTATCCTATATTCTCAAATTAGTGATTTTTCTTTGATAACAAGTCTTCTCCATTGGTTTCCTAATCTTGTTTTTTTCAAGAATTAGTCATACTATATGCAAGCAAGTCTCTACTCTCTACCCCACCTAATTACCACTAACACATGTTGGATGTTATATCCTTGAGAGAAGTTTATACATTCAAATCTCCATATTTTCAAACTATAAGAAACATAAAGAATCAATTTAAGCTCTGATTCTCTAAAGAAAAGGCAATCACGTAGTATTCTCTTTTGTCATAAAGAAACACTATATACAGAATACTCACAGAGCTATATTCTTATAATTTAGAAATGATTGTGTGCAGAATATTCCCAGAGACAACTTTCCTATAGTTTAAAAATATTCTAAGAGAATTACAATCAATCACATGCTAATATACAGTTAATTATTTCAATATTCTCTCGTGTGATGCTCAAGTGACTAACCATACTGCATTTGGGTTTGGTTTTTGTCCAATAGTTCAATATTTAATGATACAAATCGAGAAATCTAATAAACCGTTCTTATCTTTGTATGGAAAAAATTACATTTTTCATCTCTTTAGTTGGTTAGTATGAAGTGTCCAATTTTATTGAAGTTTTTGGTAGCATAGTGAAGTATGGTATTGCTGATTTGAAAATGGAAGGTTAGAAGGAAGGTCATGGAAAATGGGGACAGAAGACACTTACTTTGGTTGTGGACAACGCATTGACTGGTAATTGACTAGAATAGAAGAGAGACAGGGTCGTCAATTCTGTAACTTTCCACCTTCAATTTACGTGTACTCTTAATCCTATTATCCTTTCTGTATATCTTTTTAGTAAAGCATGCATAACCTTTTGCTTTAACAAAAGGAGAGTACGTCTGAGGACACCATTTTGTATTACAAAGAGCAACACCACTTCCCAAATCTAGAAAATTAAATAATCAAAAGTTATCCTCCCATCATCACGCATTCTAGTTTTCCAGTTATTGTTTTATGATTAAGACCTTCAAAATCATGGACAAAAAGCTTTGTTTCTTGATAAAGACCTTTCAAATTGAGTTACAATATCAAAGTGTATGAATAAGAGTGTATTTTGTAACCTAGTTAATTCAAAACGTCTTATGAAAAAGTGTAATCTCTTGTGCTGCCATCAACTTAAAAGTTAATAATAATGAAAAATGATAATGTATAGCTATGACTGAATCGTAATATATAACAAGTTAAAAAAAAAACAATTTGTTAATATATTCAAACTCTTTATGATAATATTACATACTATTCGTCAAAGGTTTTCATACTATAATTTATCCAGGGCAACTTCCAATTTAATTCACAATAGAGGAGAGTCTGTCATCTAAATCTAAATAAGTAGTGACGAATATTCTTGAGAGTCGATGAGGGTCATGACCCTCCCAAAGTTTTGTAATTCTCATGTAATTTATGATTTTGGCCCCCCAAACTTAATGAACATTTAATATATTTATAATTTTATCTTCTCAGCCCCTCCTCAGTTTTATAACTCTTATATAATTTATGATTTTGTCCCCCTCAAACTTAATGATCATTTAATATATTCAAGTATATATTTACAATTTTATCCTTTCGAGTCTTTTTTTTCCTTTTTATATTTATTTATTAATAATATATTATTTGATCCTTCCAAAATCAATGGTCAAGATCTCGTCACTATAAATAAGTGTGAATTGAAATAAACTTTTTGTTAGTCTATAAATACGACTATTTGATAGAACATCTCCCATAGTGGATTCTTATAAGAATCCACCTTGGATTCTTAAGTGAGATCTATAGTGTCACCTCATATTTAAGTAACTCTTTTTAAATTTTTATAAATTCACTCCATTAGTAAGTTCTTATAACCACACCCTAACCCGCGAGACCCCCCCCAACCCCAACTCGCGAGACCCAACCTCCCACCCTAATCCTTCAGACGACCTAAGAGTTGGATCGCTCGTCGTCGCAAAAGTTGGGTTTGTGGCGAGTTGCGCCACCTAGCTGGATTGGTGAATGAGGTTCATTTTCGACTTTCTGCTTCTGATGGAAGCTCAGATGGAGGGAGGGGAACTTCGACTTCAAGATGGAGCCTACCTCCGTGAGGCACCGGTGAGCCATCTTTAAGTGAACATTCCTCTTTGATTTAATGCATTTTCTGATTTATTGAATTTTGTTGGTGAAAATTGCAGGAACAATCTAAAAAAAATAACTCTTAAGAACGTTGCTTCTACAAGATACGATGCTTAACTTTTCAAAATTATTATTGTTCCAACGGTAATTTCTTATAAGTATCGTTGCTTATAAGTAACCAGTACTATAAGCAACTCTTGTTGAAGTTGCTCTTATGTAACAAAGTTAAATATATTATATATTCTAACTTAGGTATTGGAAGATATTCTCATAGGCTTTCAAAACATAATATATTAAATATTCTAGATATTCTCATATACTTTCAAAACACATTAGACTAGAGTTTTTTACTCCACATATTTGTTAGTTGTAGGCTAAAGATGTTTTATGTTACCTCTTTTCAATGTGACGTTGTCAGTTCCAACTTCCAACGAATGAACGATTGTTTGCAAAGGAAGCACCAAATTTGTATTGGAGGTTCTGGTTAAACAAACTATGCAGATAAACCGCTCATAAACTTGTCCACTTGTCCATTGGAATCCACTATGTCCTGTCACCCTTTTTTATCCTTTCTTTGTATCACTTTACTTATGAACCAATCAAAACCACCATTTTCAGGAAACCCTTGACCTGGTTCGAAATCTAATCCTTTTAAGTGATTACCACTGAATGATTGATTGCAGTGTTTTTCTTTTGGACTTCACCAAGAATTTTCCTAATCAGCAACAGATTAGGAATATGGGTAGTACGACGAAAATTGCCTCTCCAAAATATGTTATATACAGATACTTAGTAATCAAAGTGACTGTAGTTGAGGGACCCAGATCTATATAGACCATCGCGTCGTATTTGATAATATTAATATTCCTTTTTGCCGAAAGAAGGGACATGATATCATTTAAGATTGCATACTACCCTGGTACACGTCCCCTTTTTTCGGTTTTCCAGATAAAAAGTAAGATTAACAGTAAATTCTCAATAATAATGAATATCCTTCTATAGTTTCAATAGACATGGTCTGTTCCTTCCTGTTAAATTTGTCATATTTCACTATGCTTGCTTTTGAGTCATATAGAAGAACTAAGCTATCTTCTCTTCAGCATCACCGAGGGCAATGTTATGGACCATCTTCTTTAATGCATCCTCCTGGCAACCTGAAGCTTAAACAAAACATTGCCTGCACAGTAAATGAAAGTAAAAGCCATGAGTAGGTAATTATACAGGCTCAGTGTTCTACAAGACAACTAGAAGAATAATGAGTCACCCAAATGATCAAATTGAAATACCTTGTTTGGAGCCACATCCCTAACCCTATGAAATTTTGAGTCTTGTATAGGAGCGTCTAAAGCAGATTCTGCCACCTGCAAGATAAAGTTCAATTAACTATCCCAACAAATAAAATACATACATTTTATCATTGCCCTTATCGAAGTAGCTAACCAAAATCTAGGTCCGTAAGCCATCAAGATGGATGGAAGATTTTAAATAACACGAAAGAGTATGGTCAATGATATTCTAAACTTAACATAGAAAAGGTAAAACATGAAACACTATTAGCACAATGAACTCACAGCTATTATAGTCTCAGGAGTTTCAGTCGCTCTAATGAAGCAATAGCAGTGGATCAATGGTAGACATCCTTTCCAATATTTCTTCTGGATTAATCCCCTGAATACATCTGCCAGGGCATTATCCCAAGTCAGATTTATGTCTATAAATCTTACCATTACACACACACACACACACAGTCGCTCTAACGAAGCAATAGCAGTGAATCAATGGTAGACATCCTTTCCAATATTTCTTCTGGATTAATCCACACACACACACACACACATATATATATATATATAAAGTCTTGCAAAAGAATGAATCTTGGCTTAGATTATGATAGCTGACTTGTTAAAAGAGAAATGTTAAGCCTCTCAGCGAGATAGTCAATGGATCCATCCCTCACAGAAAAAAGAAGATAAAGAAAAACTCTCACCAAAAGTGATTGTAAAAGCATACATGTCAAGAAATATATCAATTTACATTCACTTAAAACAGTAGAGCTGCTCACCAACCAAGGGGGTGCCAGACAAATTGCCTGCAATTTCAATGTACTACGAGAAGGAATATGTTTGAATACTCCTAATCCTATTAGATGGAGAAAAATAAGAGTCTCACCTACGGGAATAAGACCACATGATTTGTACAAAGAAAAAGCCATATTATATCAAATGAGAGGTTGTACCTAGAAACTGAACAGCAGATGCAGGCAGATTCATTATTATGTGATCAATATGTTCCCAAGTTTTTGTGACACAGATTTCAGAGCCTCTCATTCTCTTGTTTGTGCTTCCTTTTCCCCTACCACCTTCAAGGTTGCTGATTCCATGAGCCTCTCCATTCCCTGTCAAATGAAAACAACTGTAATTTTACTTAAAAATTTACACATTATTGTTATCAATATTGTAATTGTTTCCTTATAAGATGGGCGCTATTAAACAATTAGGTGTTGTCTTTTAAGGGCCTTCTTGGTAGCAAGAATATGATAGGATAACTATCATATCTTACTATCATCAATAGTTTGGTGCACTGATGATAAGATATGATTTCCAAATAATTTTGTTTACCTATTTTGTTGGTATAGTGTACTTTTTATTATGAGGGACAAGCTCAGTTAGAAAGCATCAGAATAGAATAGTCAACCTTCCTCACACCACTCCAACTCCCATTACAAACACTACCTTCATCACCACCCTTGTCACCATCATCCTAGTTATCATTGCCACCATTGTTGTCCCTACCATCACCTTTGTTATTACCACCACTTCCACCACATACATTGTCTCCACTATCATCATCATCATCATCTCAGTCAAAATAACCATCACGGTAGCACCAATAGCACACCATGGTTGTTATAGCAATCACCACCAATTCCATTGTTGTTGTCAAAACTTTGCTACCACTTTCACCACCATTGTTGTCATCCTTATCATTTATGCCATTACTATCATCATTTCATCTCCATCATGTAGCAACTACCACTCCACACTCACCACCACCACCATTAGAGTCAAATCTTATTGTTACCACCACAATCGTTATTACCATTACCATTATCACCACAATTATCGTTACCACTATCACCAACATCATTATCATTGTTACAATCAATGTTATTATCATCTCATCATTATCACCACCACCATCTTATTCTATCCTTGTAGTAAATTTTATCTATCATATCATTACCACTACACGAAACCTAAATCTTTTTACAAGGTAGAAGTTGATCAACTAGCAGCTACATTTAGTGACAGACTCATTTGATATTGAAGTTGTAGAATACCTTCATGCTATCTAGAAGATCTTTTGCCTGCAATTACAGATGTAGTAGTGTGCCCGGTTGAACCCTTAACATCACCTAAGCCACTATTATTGCTATCTCCTAGGTGTTTTGTATCAACTACAGTAGGAATATTAGTATTAACTACATTGGAACATATTCTCATACCATAATTAAGATACTTGCACTTATTTACAATAAAGATATTACCAGTTAGCAACTCATTTTCAGAATTTGAGTCAGCACTGTCTTGTATCCTGCATGTTTGACAAGAATCCAAAATAGGAACCTTGGGCGGCAAGTGTGCTGATGTAACCTCAGTATTTGGCACTTCCATCAGCTGGGACATGAATTTTCTAGCATCCATGTTGCATGCATTAATATGATCATCAACCTTATTGATTTTGGCATTTATCCTCAGATAGTGAATGCTATCTGGATTTAAATCATTTGCATAGACTATGCATCCTTTCTGCCCTGCAGGGATGGCAAAAGGACCTATGCCTGCAAACATGTCACAAACGGTCTCCCCGGCTTGGAACATTGAGACTAACCTTTTATGTTCATGTTCCAATCTTGAATTCCAATAAACCAAACCGTAATCAAGCCTAAAAGTGGCACCATATTGCTTCACTTCTGTGATCATATTATGCTCTCCTGCTAAAATTTCAAACTCTGGCACACGAAATTCATTTGTAATGGTTCCAACTTTATTGACAATAGTTTTGATTCTTGGATAATTTTTCTGCATAAAACAGTAAAAACATGAAATTTAATAAGAAGAACAATTATAATACAACAGGATTACAGGTTAATGATAGAATTGATGAATGAATCTTCAAATGAACATCTTTGTAACAATCCAAAGGGCATGCTACTGAAGCAAATACAAACATCAATGCAATCTCTTAGTCTGCAGAATAACATCATTCATATTGCTTCAAACATATATGAACCAACATAGAGATATGCATGCAAGAAACATAGTAGTACTGAATGAAGAAGCAGCATCAAATAGATCCAATAGGAAATCATAATTAGAGCAGGAAATTGAGAGACCAAGATCCTTCTAAGTGGTAGTGCCCCTTGTGAAGACTGAAAATGTGAGAATAAAAAAAAAAGCAAGGGAATCTAGAGATGCACATAACACCTAACCCACCCAAAGCCTCTCTATTTTACTTCAATCTAGCCTACCTCTCGGAGATCCTTCCCTCCTCTTTATGCCAGTTACCTCCTTTTCCCATACTCCTTGCAAAGTAGGCAAGGTTGTAACAGAACTTTACAGTCCAAATTCCTCATCTGCTTCTTAGTGACATTACCCTAAAAGTAGTAGTGATATGAAGCCATATATGCTGCAATAATAATTATGTTATATACTGTTGAATATAGAAGAAATAGAGTTTGGGATTAATCTCCCTTGTGTATAAATCACACATAGGGTAGTCTATTTATAGTAGAGAGATACAACTAAAAGAATAACTGAAAGTAACATAATAAACAGAAGATATTGTTTGATATTGTGGTTAACAATATCTACCAATATCTTAACAATATCAAATAATATCTAAACTCCCCTTCAAGCTGGAGCATACAAATCGTATGTGCCAAGCTTGTTACAAATATACTTCTGACTCTTCAGCCATAATCTGACGTCTGATGACCATATGGCATAATTAGGGTCAGTTAACTTGTCAATGGATAAGTGCACATTAACATAATTAGTGTAGATAGAAGGATCAGACGCACTACTGACAGAATTGGAAGTACTAAAAGGAGCGGAAGAAGTCATAAAGGGCGGAGGCGATAGTGACAGCAGCGTGAACCAGTACACCAGGTAAGTTCCCAGGAAAGAGAGGTGGGTCACTAATGAACACGCTTAAATACCAAGTCTTTCCTTGTCAGAACTATCCTAGATATGCACTTTCACACTACCAAATAACCGACAGCGATAGCAGCGGTGGTGGCGGCTTCAATAGTGGTCAAAGGTGAAAAAAAAAATTTCAAAATAACCTTAAGCTCTAGATACCATGTTAAGGTTCCAACATAAAACCAATTGGCAATATGTGGAATAGCCTAACATGTATTTAAACCATACCAAACGACATGAGGTAGGCGATGTGGGACTTTCATCACACCCCCTCCAACGAGGCCTGCCGGACCAGGCAAAGGGTACTTTTGACCCAACTAAAGGACAACTTTTGGCCCATGACAATAACCGAAAAGATGTTAGGCTTTGGCTCTGATACCATGTTGAATATAGAAGAAATAGAGTTTGGGATTAATCTCCCTTGTGTATAAATCACACATAGGGTAGTCTATTTATAGTAAAAAGATACAACTAAAAAAGTAACTGAAAGTAACAAAATAAACAGAAGATATTTTTTGATATTGTGGTTAACAATATCTAACAATATCTTAACAATATCAAATAATATCTAAACAATATCTAACATATACCAAAACAAAGAACAATGTAATGCTCACTCTACTCAAAACCAAAATTAATTAAAAGAACAAAATTTAGTTACGGCAATCATCACCTTCGTATCTGACAAGTAAACTAGACTATTTAAAAACATATATATTGAAATTGAGACTTAAAGTCTTGACCTTAATGTGGTAATACATACATCATAAATAACCTTCGCAATAACATCTTTGTAGGGAAGTAATTCATCATGTAGGTTTAAATGGGCAATTTGACCTGTATAAATAGAACAACTGTTAGTTTACCTGATACTAGTGGGTGACCAATGAAATTCAATTTAAATAAAACGAACACTGCTCCCCTCTGAAGCATAATTACAGAATTAACAAAGCATGTTCATCGAGTTGATAAAAGAAAAACGTGAAATAAATAATACTTAAAAAGTCAAGAAACTAAATACTTAACAATTGTTTCAAAAGATGAAGGCACCTCCACTCCAATAGGTAATATCTGCTTCAGCACATAATCTACAAACACAAAATTTGTTGTAGAAAAATTGTAAATGAGTTAGGATGGGGAAAGCAAACTGTAGGAAACAAAAGAATCATTAAAAAAATGAATGTTTCTAACTAATGTAATACCAACATAGCATAGTAAAATCACTTGCATAGTAACATCACTTTGGTAAATAATAAGATAGTTATATTTTCCATTTGTTATATTTCTATAAGAAAAAAATGTAAATTTTTTATCAAAGTTGGTATGATAGTTCCTGGGTAAAGAGGCATTTTGAAGCAACTACTCCATCAATAGAAAAAATTCAAGATAAAAGGAAACCTCTCGTTTAACAGCAAAATGCACACACTCACCTGCACTCCAATAAGAATACCCTAGTGTCAAAGAATAGGACACAACTTCAATCTTACACAAGCCATTAAGCTCATCAACCTTTTGATTTGGAATATCAGATAAATCTGCCCCGCAACATTCAAAACAAAGTCAGAGATAAGAATTTCCATGGAAAGAAGGATTTCTATCTATAGAAGCAAAAGTTCATACACACCTTGATTCTGAACTTTGTCAGAGAGTATAAGGAAACGATTTTTGTCACAGGTAGGGTCCTCAATGATGGGTTTGACTCGGGGCTTGTCAAACAAGTAACTGCACAATCAAGCAAAATTTAGAAACAAAAGCAAATGAATAGAAAGAATGGACAGAGCAAGGTACCGACCCATCGAGGATTTGAGAGGCAATCTTGCAATGTTGGCAAGGGATTCGAAGAGCCCATAATTTAAAGTGCACATCAAACTTGCTCTCATCAAGATGTTTTTGTGATAGCTTCTCTAGGTCAACAACTGCATCATTGTTATCAGAAAGCAAGTTGTCGCATGCCGGAGCTTGACAAGCTAGCATGTTGAGACTGTTCTCAGCTTCTCCATTCTTTTTGCAATTCATTTCAAGAGCTCCACTACCCATTAGTCTATGTGCAAAACCTAGCAACTACAATATTCCTTAAAGTAAGAACCACCGAATCACACACTCCTCTGATCACACTATTATTGATTGAAATTTATTTGTGGGTATCACTTCTTATTTAATGAGCCTCATTCAGGATTGCATAGTTTCCAATAAATTTTAACCAATAGTAGATAGTGTTAGCATTCTAGAAAAATCCATCAACACCAAACAGAAAAAATGAAAAAAACAATGTATGCATTTGAGAAAGTGAGAGAGCGATTAACATCATCCAAAAATTGATTCAGTTGCAACTTCCACAGATTCAATGTGCTCCAAAGAATGAACCTTCAATTCCAATAGTAAAGGCTTGATGATGTTTATCATATATTATATCATATTATATTTGAATACAAAATGTTAGTTTCACCATCAGTAAACCATAGCAAACAGTATTAAGCAGATATCACTAACAATTATGTCTAGTAATTGAACTGCATATGTTGCGTCCCTACCATCTCTAACTCACATATGCTTCATTAAAAAAAAGTAATGTCAGGCTTCAGAAATATTTACGTGTCCATGTCACATATTCTTTCAAGAAATAGTAGAAGTCAATTACCATATAAGTTCTTCTTGTGAGATTTCTCTAGCAGGAATTGAATAGAATTTTTCAGGAAATATGCCTACATGGTCAATACACTATCAAATATAAATTTAAATTGAAAGGAAATCAGAGGGAATACTAAGCTGTAAATATTGATAATCAAGAAAAATTAACGGTTGCAGTGAATATCTACAATAGATACATATCAGCTCTAGCAAAACAAGCGGCAACGGCTCAAAGACAATCGTGCCTCTCAGTTTGTGGAGGTTCTTTCTTTTTAACCTATTCTAACCCAAAACACACCAGAAAATATATTACCATATAAACAGATGTATGCAATTCCAAAAGCCACACTGCATATCGCATATATAAGGGACACCAAACTGACACAGTGCTGCCATAATACAGTGCCACTGTGTTGAAACTGTTGTTGGTGTATTGTGGACCATCAATCGAACAATCAAACATATTCCAACTTTAAAATAAAAGAGGGACAAAGTGGATCAAGAAATAGGTTACAAGATGACTAAGGTTGACAGCAGGTCAAATGATGGAAAAAACAAAAAAGGACAGCCCTAATTAACTTTGATGGATTAAGAGGCCCTTATACAGCCTTGCCTACCAAAAACATAAGCAGCACGTATCTGCATACTGATCATTTATGCTCAAGAAGATCATGACAATAGTCTAAATGGTTTATACATGCCGATGAACTTAAACACTGACAGATTCATCCCACATCCCATATTCTCGTTTACCCAAACTGAATGTGACCCCACAATAACTGTCAAACAACTGTTGTGCCAAGGTTCCTTTTCAGTTTCAATGCAAAAGTCAATTATGTAAAACAATAATCCTATAAAAGTTATTCGTTGGTTTAAAAATGATATTCATATATTAATAGTCCCAACAATGTGGAGACTAGCATCATTCACGTCTTGAAATGGAAAAGAAACCTATATGTTTAATTTAACATTAAATTCAAAATATGCTTTGGTTGGTGGATGTCAAGACAATTTTCATTCAATACGATATGCTAAATATACCCATCTACTGTATCTTCTCTATCAATCTCAGACACTGATTCATTCTTTGTCCAGTACCCATAACCAGTACTGTGCAGTTTTTCATCAATAAAACAGCAAGTAAACAACAAACCATTTTTAGACCTTATTCTCAATTCCATTAACAATGCAGTCTTCTACTGTAAATCCCAACAAAATTTTCGAAATCCTAAAAACAAGTTCAACTCAGTCACCACCTAATTTACACAACAAAAAAGACAATGGTTCTAACTTAACAGACAAACTATAAAAAAATAAAACAAAAAATACATGAATCTTTTTTTTTCTTGTTGAAATAAGTGGAGTGGAAAGGGAGAAGTACCTTGTCAAAGTAAGCAGTTGAAACCAAGTAGGAATTGAAAGAGGAAGAACTGAAGATGTGTTTGGAAAGAAAACCGTAGGGTTTATAATAAGATCTAAAGGGGGTGGTAAAAAGGTAAATAAACAAATAAAAAGCGGAAAGGAGAGTGTGTTCCTTTGGTGGGAAGAACAAATTTGGTTCCATCTCAACATGGTTTTTATTTTATTTTCTATAAGATTAAGAATAAAACAAAAATATATTTAAAAATACTAATGTAATTATATATTTAGAAGATATTTTATAAAATTATAAATATATAATTATATTTATAATATATAAATAATAATAATAATTTATAAAACTACCTTGGGGAAGCAACGAAAATGGTAGATTTAGTTTTTGAAAAGTATCTATAAATATCCTTTCCAATCACAGGATGCAAATGTTTAAAGTAGGCCCACCAATTGTAAACCGCTGTTAAAGCCCTATGAAAAATGCCCATCAATGGTCTCACATATCATATAACAGAACAACACTTTTTCTGAAATTAAATACTTTCTTTTCATATCACAATATTTTTTTCACTAATTCATGTGACAGAAACTTTTATTTATAGTTTTTTTAATTAATATTTTTTATTTTTTAAAGGAATCATTAATAAAATAACTATAAATAAAATAAAAATTTATAAAATATATGATCTAGAGTAATTTTCTAAATAAAATAAAAGTCAATTCATAAATAAAATTCAAAAATAAGTTTAATTGATGAAAGGGATAAATATATACGAGAATCCACCTTAGTATAAGGAGTAAAAAAATGTATCAATTCATGGTTTTTAATTATTAACTCCTACACCAATTACAAAAATACATATATTTCTTATTTCGTTACTTGTCATGCTGCCTCGTAAACTTTCTATTTTTTTGTTATGTCTAATTAATTTTCCAAATGATTTTTTTTTTGTGAAATTTTTTTTTATTTTTAATTGCACTTTATTCCAAGCATATAATTTTGTGTTATCATTATTTAAATTTTATCTAGTAAGATGTGCACTCCGTCTATTTCTAACAGATATTTGAAAAATATTTTCGCCATTATATTTTGCAATGTCCCTTTTAGGTCTCATTTTAATATTTTTATATATAAAATTATATTTATTAGGTACTTAAACTATCACCCATATTTTAGTTATAATCTTATTCATAATTGCTTCAAGTTACATATCTATCAGATGTAATTTGAGAAAAAAATAATCCTAAATAATAATAAAAATTAAAAAGAGATAATTAATGAGAGATAAACAACACAACTTCTATAATTATGTGCATCAACTGAATGCTAACTAAATTAGCAAAGACCCTGTATGAGGATGCTAACTAAATTTGCACATGTGATGATTAATTTGTCCTGTTAATGAAAATATGACAAAAAATATAAAAAAAACAAGTTGATGGATTTTGGGTTTGAATTTTTTTCGTTTCAAGAAATCATATTTAGAATAAGAGATGAATAATGTAATTATCAAATTTACATCTAAATTTAATATATAGATATTAATTTTATCCCCCAATTTCTTTGTTTATTTCTCATATTATATAACTTAGTTTTTTTATTATTATTCACCTTTCTTAATTCCTCAATATACTTTTATTTTTCTCATATACTTTGTTACTTCTTTTAACTAATTATAATTTAATATATTTTTCTCTTTTTCTCACCGTTCACTGCTTCAATTTCCCTAATTTTTTTAATCCGTTATAAGTTATCAAATTTTGTTAACCAGTTAGATAAACATATTAAGTTAAATATTTATTTCTTTATATTTTTTAGACATTATACGTGAATCTTATAAACATATATTACTATTTTATTATATTTTTTGAATTTTGTTATTATTCAGTTGATATAAATTTTTATGATAATTAAATAAATTTATTTTTTATTTTTTATAATTAATACAAATTTTATTTTTAAACAAAAATATAACTAATTAATGGCGGCATAAAAAAAACGAAAATTTTGATACTATAATTGTAGAATGATTTTATTACAACGAAAGATGAGAATGAATAATCAAAACCGAATAGAGCGAAAATAATATTTAGTTGAAACTTATTTCTATCATATTATATTATATGTGTTTTGAAAGATGAATAATTTTAAATAATTATTAATTAAATTTTAAAATACTTTATTTTAAGTTGATAATAATTATTGTAATAAATATCTTTCATAAATTATATATTTTATATTTATGAATATATTAAAATGATAAATCTAATAAATAATTAACTTATATAAATAATAATTAAAGTTTAAGTATGGGGTTGAGGAGACAAGCCTCAACCCTTGTCATGCCTACCTCTGTATAAAGAGATATACATTTAAACTTAAAGACTAAAAAAACATGACTATTCTACACAATTTTAAAAATAATTTTGTTTAACAAAACTTATAAATACATTTACATTTTTTACGAGAAACAACTTCATTTGTTTAAAAATTATTTTACTTTTGAATAAATAAAGTAAATTTATGTTTATATCAAGATTATTTAAATATATATAATCTAAAATAATATACGAAAGAAATATTTTATTTTAACGGTACGAAAGAAAAAAATATAATTTATATTTATATTATATTTTAAAAAAATTTCTCTCAAATATATGTATATATATTTTAATCTCTTAATTATATATTTAATAGTTCATAATTTTTAAATCAAATATTTATATATTAAAATTAATATATAAGTTAGATTTTATTAAATAAAAATAAAAATATATTGATAAATGCGTTTCCCCTCATATAATATAAATTAGAACAACCTACGATAACAAAGAAACAATATATTTAACTAATAGTGTTGTTCCCTTCTTGTGCTAAGCAAAATAGTCAAACACGCTGTGAATCTGCACAGAATGTAGCTTCTCCTCCAAAGTCCAAACTGGTATCTGGTCGCAAGACTTACCACCCTCTATTTCTATGTGCTCTTATTTTTCGTCTATTTCCTTTTTCTTCTTAATTTATTCATTTTTTTTTTTTTCTTTTTACCCTTTTAGATCTCCTTAACAATCCTACCCTTTTCACTAACCCCTGTTTTTCAGTTCTCCCTCTTTCAATTACTAGTCATTTCCATCCAACCGCTTCCTTAGCTAAGGTACATCCCCTCTCTCTCTCTCTCTCTCTCTCTCTCTCTCTCTCTCTCTCTCTCTCTCTCTCTCTCTTTTGTGAAATTTCATTCCCCTATTTATAACCCCGTTTGAATAAGAAAAAAAAAAAAAGAGTATTTTTTAATTTATTTGTCTATCAAGTTATAGGACCAATGTCTTTGTTGTTGTGTAATTTGGTGGTGACGATGTCTCACTGTAAGGAAATGTGGTAGCTGTTAGGTTTTCGAATAAATAAACAATGGGTAGTGGAGCTCTCGAAACGAATCGTTTAGCAAATGGGGAAGCTGAGAACAGTCTTCACAAGCAGGTTTCTCAAGCTCCTGCTGCACTCGACAACTCGCTTTCTCATGCCAATGATGCAGTTGCTGACCCTGATGTTGTATGTGTTTGTTGTACCTTTTTTTTATGAATTTGTTGTTTTTGCTTCTTAGGATATTGTACTTTTACACTGAACTCGTGTTTTATGTGTGACTTACTGTGTTGCTTGTTTAGCCTGCTAAGAGGGTCAGGCTGCAGAAGGAGTTGACCTTTCAGGATATGTATCAAAATGAGGGCGTGTTTGACGAGGATGACGAGGATGACAGTGATTGGGAGCCGTTTCAGTTACACAAGTGTGTGGAATTTGAAATCAAGAAGTGGTGCTGCAGAAATTGTACTATGGTCAACTTAGATTGCAATGAGAGTTGCTATGTATGTTTGCAATCTACCTTTCTGTTGTATTTAAGGCCGTGAGTTTCTTTCTGGTGTATAGGAATGCGTTTGATCTGGTGAATAATTTAGTATTATCTTTCTGGTGTATAAATGATAAACTAGTCATCCTATCAATGCTGTGGATCACTCTGTTTTGCTGAGTAATTTAGTGCTATCTTCATGTAGATATGTGGGGAGCATAGGGAGTCTAAAATCCTCAGCCATGGGTTTTTTGCATCTCCTTTAGCCCAAGACGAGGACCTGATTGAAGTCCAGGGAGACGTAAAAAGACTGAAAGGTATATGCTTGCTTCGCTAATAATTCTGTGATGGTTATAATTGAATCGAAATGTTGTTCTAAATGCTGGTTTTGTACTAAAAATAATTTTGGTTTTGACAAGGAATCTTGTCGAGCTGTTCTTTTTCAATTTCGATGAATGGTTTCCTTTATGGCTGGTCATTGTAAGCTGTCATAGCCAAGAGTTTATTGTTATTACTTTTGAAACTTCATTTGCTGTCATTTTTTATAATCATTTAGCTTTTTCATGGTGATGTAGGATGGGAACCTTGGGTTAAATCAATAGGACTCAGAAAATCTGTTATTAAGAAAAAACTGAATTAATTCAACATTAAGACAACCTTTATATGGGAAGCAACTATAGATAAAAACATATTGGCGCCCTTAGCTATACCCGTTCCTATCCATTCAAGGCAATGTGAAGAAAACGATGCTGAAAGACAAAATAAAATTATCATTAGGCAGTAATTGAATTTAAAGTCATGTAACCTTTTGTTAGTATTATCGAAAACATTAATTCAAGAAAAATTATAATTTATCAAAATCTGCGCAGCAGTTTGCTAGTTTAATTCTTTATTTTATTTTTTTTGTAGGTTTTAAAAATAGAAATGTGTGTAGGAAACCCAAAGTCATGGGGAGCTTGGTGTACGAATGGAGTGTGTATGGCAAAAAGAAATTTATACAGGCTGGGGTGTCAGTATTATAAATTCAAACTAAGGATCACTATGATATTTCAAACTAGAAGAGTTGTTTCTGTAGATTTACCAAATGGCAGGTAGGGGTAGTCAGCCATTATATTTTACAGATTTTGTATTGTCAAGGTTTTTACAAGTCTATATTTTGATTCTCAAGATAGCATTATTTTTATATGCTTGTTATGTTTTTTCCCAGTCTAATGTGGTATTAAACTCCAAACTTATTCAAGTTTGATCTATATCTTTGTAGATGTTGGCACACAGGAATCGGTGGCAAATAGTTCTACAGTGATTGGCTTTGATGAGAGAATGTTGTTGCATGCAGAAGTATGGTTTGGCTTATATTTTTGTTTCCTATTTTATCCTATTTCAAAATAGATGCATGCTTTATTCACAACCTGCTATATCATAGACTATGTCAATTTGGTTTACTATCCAATCATAAAAGGCATAATTTCTTATTTTTTATATATTTTCAACACACACCCATGCTTCTGTGTTGTTTTGTGCTCTCTAGGAATGGATTCGGATCCTACTCTAGGAATGTTATAGACAAGTGTACTTGTGACATAGTGCAAGCTTATGTTGTATTTGGATTAGAGCGAGGAAAAAAGGAGGAAAGTGTGGAAAATGGTTTATGTGTGCGAAAAGTGTGGATTTTGAGGCACCTCTTCAAACAGCGTCTTTATGTGCAAAAATGAAGAAAAAGACACGAAAAGTGACCATAATCGATTATGCCGTTAATATTTCATTAATATTTATGTCACATAATCAACTATATCATAAATATTTTATTTACATTTATTTTATTATAATAATAATAATTTAAATATTTAAATAATAAATAAATTTATTAATTAAAAATATTTTTATCTCAATTTTTACTCTCTTTAACCTAATTCAAAAAACCTCACTTCATCTTCCTTTCTTAACTTTTCCACTCCCTGACTTTCCATCATCCCATTGAAACAAAGCATTAAGGCAATAATATGTCGAAGTAGGGCTTTTTCTTTCCAAGGATCTACTTATTTCTTCTTATAAAGTGGTTTAGGCCTAATTTTCTCTTACAAAACTAGATTGTAAGGTGAGATTAACACCTACTTATATGTTATAATTTGTTCATATTTGTAGTTGATATGAGATTTCTAGTACAACCTCTCATGTCAAGGACTAAATATCTTGAGCATGGGACTAGATATTTATAGCAGGTAACACAATAGGCCCAACAAATCTGCTTAGCTTAGACTTTGATACCATCTTACATATTGGTTTAGGCATAACTCAATCTTACAAAATCATCTTTTAAGGAGAGATTTACACACACTTATATAATATGATTTTTTCATATATTTAGTCGACATGGGATCTTTAATACATGTTCTGAAAATATTTTGTTCCAATTATGTGAGTATTATTTATATCCTTTTTAATACTGCCAACTGTTTTCCAATTTAGTTAATAACTTCAAGTATATTCAAATGTGCTTGTCATATTACAATATTTTAAATTTGTATACTATTTGTTTCTAGTAAGCTTTTTCATGTTTCAAGATTATACTATTTCCATTTTAGTTTTAATTAAACTGAATTGCTCCCAAAAATGTTTTTATTTCCATTTCTATTGAAGTGGTATATTGAATTCATATCTTGACACTTTTAGGGTTTGTTTGGATGAACTTCTCCATTAGTCCTTCTAGGAGAAAAAAAGAAAAAGAAGAAAAAAGAAAATTAACTTTTCCATAATCTAAAACTAGCTTATGCACAAGTCAAAAATAAAAATTTAGATAAGTTATATGAGTGAGCTTCTACAAATTAGCTTATAAAGAAGTTAATTTCAAAATTTCCTCTTATTTTTTTCACTCCTAGGAAGAGTTTACGGAGAACTTCATCTAAATAGGCTCTTAGAAAACATTGAATTCAATATCTGGATTGATGCTATCAATGAGTTCTATATACGAATGACTTATAAATTGGTTATTATATACATTTACGTCAGGAAAAGGCATCCCTCCACTTAGTTTCTAATTTTTCTTTTGCTAATTGATGGACTGCAAAATCATTTTGTATCAAAGATAAATTTGTAGAATATTGTCATCAAATTTCGCACACTAACTCTCATCCTCTCCTTAGTGCTCTGTCTATTCCAGTACTATTCATAATCATCTACTTAGAATTGCAAGGGTTTATATATCTATGGCAGGCAACACAAAAACCATATCTGAATAAGACTTGGGAAGTAAGGGGTCAAAATATTGTGGGACTAATATACTCCATTCTGTCCATAATTTTGCTCTTAGTGATGATATGCTCCTTTGAATGAAAATTTCATATATCCATTATTGAAACAATCATCTGAAATATATATCATGGAAACTGTCATACTGAAATCTATGTTCACTGTGCAATAGTTTCAGCACTGTAGGACTGTATTTTGGCAGCACTTTGGTGTGTCTTGTACATGCGATGCAATAATTACAAATTGTTTTTTTACTGGGTAGTACATGTCTGTTTACATGGTAATATCTTTTCTGGTGGTTTTTGGGTTATCACAGGTTGAAAAGAAATTACCTCCACATCCTGAGAGGCCGGATCGTCTTCAAGCCATTGCTGCTAGTCTTGCTAGAGCTGGTATTTATCTGTTCTAAATATTTGCTGCAATCATCCATTTTTCTTGATTACATCTTCGTACTCCTACTGATTTCCTTTCAACTTAAATTTTTATATTTGATAGTGTTATTGATCATGCAGGCATATTTCCTGGAAAATGCTATTCAATTCCTGCTAGAGAAATCACACCAGAAGAACTTATTATGGTAATTGATTTCTATATATCTTTAATGAATATGCCCATGGGCATGTTGCCCATGGCATTACTTTTTTAATTAAGAATACGTGATACAGTAGGGCTACAAACAAATACTGTTCAATTACTAGACATAATTTTGAATGATATATGCTTAATATTGTTTGAATGATAAACTTTGTATTCAAATATAATATATGTCATCAGAATGATATGTGCTGATTTGGAAGAATTCAAACACATGTATAATTTGACTAAAAGGTCATCTCACCGCTGTCACCTCATTTTTTATTTTACCGTATTGATAACACCTATTAGTTTCCAGTATGTTCGATTTCAAAAATATAGAATAAATTGTAGTAGTTGTCTCTCGATATTCTCTGATTATGCTAATAGGAAATCTTGTTTTTAATTTCTGGCTCCATGCTCCCTCCCTTTCCTTTACCTGTTTATCTAACAGTAAATCTAAGAAGTAACTCTTGGATCCTCACCAATCTTATCCTTTGTGATATTGAATTGAAGGTTCATTCTTTGGACCATATTGAGTCTGTGGAAGTTACAACCGAATCACTTTCTAGGTGTGTTAATCTCTCTCTTTCTCTGAAATGCATATTTTTGTTTCTTTATTTTTGCTTTGATGTTGATGTCATTTTGGAGTGCTAACACTCTCTCTACTCCTGATTAAAATTTATTGTGAACTATAAAATCGTGAGTGAGACTCATTAAATAAAAAGTAGGACCCACAAAATTGTGGTTTCTAATAAATTTCAGTGGATAATAGTATGCTTAAAAGATTTTGTTAGATTTCTCTCTCATTTTAATACCACCTGTACTCTAGTTGGTTCTCTTTGGTGGTTTTTATACCTAAGTAGAAATCTCCACTATCATGTACTATTACTTTGATCCTGATCCTATAAAATTGGATGATAAATACTTTATTGGATTCCATTCAATCCTCTAGTGTTAAGATGCATAATGCATTTTGCTTTATCTTGACATTGATTATGATTACTGTTTTTACCTTATTGCAGTTATTTCACTCCTGACACATATGCGAATCAGCATTCAGCACTTGCTGCTAGGTTGGCCGCTGGGTTATGTGCTGATCTGGCATCAGCAATTGTTTCCGGACAAGCAAAAAATGGATTTGCTCTGGTGTGAATCATTGAGTTGCCTCTGATAACTATCATCATTAGTTGCAATTTAAGGTCGCTATTCATTAGCTAATTAGTCTACTTTTGTTCCTCCATAAATCAGGTTAGGCCTCCTGGTCATCATGCTGGTGTAAGACAGGCAATGGGGTTCTGCCTTCACAATAATGCTGCCGTGGCAGCATTGGCTGCTCAAGCTGCAGGGGCTAGGAAGGTGTTAATTTTGGATTGGGTAATGTCACCATTAATAATAGCCTTTTTGAAATTATGTGATTTTTCAAAAGCTGTTTTGACTGGGACCTAATTGTTATTAAATTATGAGTTGATCGAGCTTCTTGATTATTAATTTATTACAGGATGTTCATCATGGAAATGGGACACAGGAAATATTTGAACAGAACAAATCAGTAAGTTGTCTTTAATATTAAATTCTGGTTTCTTTCTCTACCTGTTGTGTGGATGAAATTTAGCGATGTGCTAATCTTGCTCTTTTTTTGGATCTTTTAAGGGTGCTAAATCAATAACCTATTTATGATTTTACCGGTGCTAACTAGTTTTTTCTTTCCTGCAGGTCTTATATATATCATTGCATAGACATGAGGGAGGAAAGTTTTATCCTGGTACTGGAGCTGCTAAAGAGGTACTTGACTGCATACAAATTTTCAAATTAAACTGATGCTGCTGGCCAACTTAGCCAGGTGCTTTTTGGTCTGGTAGTGGGAATTTTATATTTTATTTGATGAAGAGTTTATATATATATATATATATATATATATATGAAGTAAACCCAAAGGGATGAAGGTAAGTATTGCATTGAGTGATATAACTTGGCTAATCTTGATGACAATTAGAATCTAGACGGATTAGTCTGACTTTGTCCTGCTCCTGCAGATATTTAGATTTGAATTGGTTTTACTGAGTTCAGCATATTTTCCCTAGTAAAATTCTGGAAGATCATCTGGTGAATATACCTTTTCTTGAGAAGTTCAATGTTGAAATTATATGGCTGTTACTGCTTTGATCAAGTAGATTTTTAGTGTGCCTCTGTATTTTGGTGTAAAATGCTTATACATCTTTAAAATTCCTCCTATTTTAAATGTGTTTGAATTGAGAAGTGGTTATATGTCCTTTTTCATCTTTCCAGGTTGGTAGTATGGGTGCTGAAGGATACTGTGTGAATATTCCATGGAGTCGAGGAGGAGTCGGTGACAATGACTACAGTTTTGCATTTCAGCATGTCGTCCTTCCTATAGGTTAGCATATATTCTGGCCCCTTGGGATATATTTAATTTGAATTTTGGAAGATGGATTGATCAATAAGTTCAGAACAGTGTCTTCTAGAATATCTTCTAAAATGGTGGATGAAAAAATCTATTAGTTGACATCATTTTTATCATCGCAGTAATGCTAGTATAATAATAATAATAATAAATAATAATATTAATTATTATTATTATTATTATTAGTAGTAGTAGTAGTGTACTGGAACCTATTTGGTAACCATGATATCAACAACATTTGAACGATTTGTTAATAGGTTATATGTGATCAATAATATGCTTTTGGTTATTGATTTAATTTGCCTAGTGGGCTGCCATTGAGGGTTGATTCTTGGCAACTGGCAAGGATTTAAAATTATTAAGGCATGGAAATAATATAGGACTGTAGCATGTGTGTAACTTAAAAAATTGGTATTGTAGAATATGATATTCTATTCCTTCCACCGTCTGGGTTGAATCTTTTAAAACATACAATATTCTCTAGAACATTAACAATGAATTGCATTCCTTTTCAGCTTATGAGTTTAACCCAGATTTTACCATAGTATCTGCGGGATTTGATGCTGCAAGAGGTGATCCCCTAGGATGTTGCGATGTAAGAATTTTACTAACACAATCTTTTTATTTTTTTGTAAATTTAATGAATTGATACTAGCTGGACTGTTGAATAAATTACATAAAATTGCCATATAGAAAACTTTAATCTGTTTTACTGTTTGATTAAGTGTTAAAAGCATTCTATATACTTTAATTAAAATATCCAAATTTGACTATAATAAATCAGCATCATTTTATGAGGTATACAATGAAACTTTCATCAATGTTGCAGATTACTCCCTCTGGCTATGCACACATGACGCATATGTTGAATGTCCTCTCGGGTGGAAAATTGCTTGTTATTCTTGAGGGGGGGTATGTAGCTCACGCCTTTCATACTTACTGTATTAGGCTCTATTTTGTTTCTAGTTGATTTACATACATTTTATTGCCAGATATAATCTTCGATCTATATCATCTTCAGCAACTGCGGTAATCAAGGTGAATTCTCTTGCCCTTCATTATTTGTAGTGATATCCCTGTTTGGGTTGTGTGCCTCCTCTTTCATTTAGTTTATTGCCTTCTTAAGGATGAAGGGTGTATTTGGCTGGTCATTTTTTATTTCTAATGTGTGTATTCAATCTGTTGCATAGTTGTGACATGTGGGATTGATATGTCAGAGCTTATTTCTTGTTGATATATTTTGATTTCTTAATTGGGTTTTATTGGAACAGGTATTACTGGGTGAACATCCTGGATGTGAACTGGAAAATAGTTTCCCTTCCAAAGCTGGCCTGCTAACAGTCCTGGAAGTCCTCAAAATTCAGATGAAGTTTTGGCTTTCCTTGGGTCCCATTTTTGTGAATTTGGAATCACAATGGAGGATGTATTGTTTCGGAAAAAAAAGTAAGAAACTGTCTTTGGTTTTTATTTATTGAAGTTCACAACCTTATTTCTTTTTATATTGTTTATTTTGATATATTTAGACTAGTTGGGGACGATTAATGGGAATTACTTGTGGGGAGGAGGGGAGTATCTCATTCTCCGCTCTACTAATATACTGTGCACTGTGGGGGAGATTATAATTTAATATTTTTAGAGAAGCATCAAGTCTAAATAGCTGATTATTATTATTATTATTGTAGGAAAACAGATTAAGAAACGACGCCGACTTGTGGTTCCAATGTGGTGGAGGTGGGGACGTAGAAGGGCCTTATTCTATTTTATGAAGGGCCATCTTCATGAAAAATCAAAGTGATTATGTTGAGCTGATGAATTTTGTAAGCACAGGAAATTCGTAGTCGTTATCAGCATGTTGTATATTCCATCTTCAGGACAACATGATTTTTCTTTGATCGTGCAGAGTGCGAAAGGGTGAGACAAATCGGAGAAAAGAGGGGAAAGGGGAAGTGTAGAGGATACAGTTTCCCAGTTCCTTGTTTGAACATTGAATTTTGATAGTTACCAAAAGGGAAAAATGAGAAATCAACACATTCTGCTCCAACTAAAACAATGTGATAAAAACTGAAAGATGTGTGCTGGTTTCATCCTTTATTTTCATAGTCTCTTTTAAATCCCAAAACTTCTAAATATGTTTGTACGGTAGCCAATATTTGCTATGCTTGCGCCGTATGCTTTTGCGGCATTAATAGAAGTAGAGTTGAAAACAGGATCTATTTCAACTTGGGTTAATGCTTCAGTCTTGTGGCCATAATTTTTTGGTTACTTGTATAGCCATCTCAGTAAAGAGGTCTTAATCTAGTAGTTGTTATGGCCGTGAGAAGCATATAACCTTTCAATTTATAATACATATTGATTCTCACTATTGAACGTTTGAACTAGGTTTGGGCTTGAAAATAAGTAGTCTGATTGAAATTGTGAGTTGGGACAATGGTAAATCTGGTTCGATTGATAGCTCAGTCCTATCTGAGGTTATGGACTAATCTTAAGTGGTAAGTTGCAATGGGTTGTTGGGACTTTATACTGTTTATGAACAGCTTACAGTGGAAGCAAACAAATTGTTGTCTATCTTGTTTGACACCCATTAGATGAAGTGAACTTTATTAAGCTGTATATGTGGATCTTGTCCGAAATAATTTGGGGGTTCCAGTTCAGGATTCCTTGTCTGAGTTGCAATGAGCAAGAAGATGGTGATGGAATGGAAGTGTGGCAAGCATAGACATAGACATTGCAGTAGACATGAAGCCATTAATTCCTCCCTCTCTGTAAAGCTCAGAAACCTTATGCTTAGGTTAATATGAACTTGAATGTTTTTATTGAAGATCAACTCACTTATTATCTACTTTAAACATTTTTTTTGTCAAGGATTTTTTCAAATCTACTCAGACTAATCCTGCTTTTCTGATACGAGCTTTGGTATATTTAATTAATTACACATAATGAGTTCACATAAAATAAGTGATAAATTGCATGGCTTTATTAAAAGTAGAAGAGTTGTTGAAGGACTAGAAAGGCAGAAGGCAAATTTGCACCTCTTTGAGTTGTTTCCACGTTAATATTGCAATTGTTTAATCATTAAAAGAATAGAGAAAAAAATAATAATAAAATCAAAGTAAACAAAAATATGATTTCTCTCCTCCACACTTATCCTATGATTAGATGGAGAGAGAGAAAAACAGCAAGGAAGAGAAGATTTTAAAAAAATTCAAACAATTTTGTTTGGTTGAGAAAATAATAAGGCAAACAAAACAAAATTTAAGAAATATTTTCTCCTTGTCTGATATTGTTAGAACTATCATAATCCTCACCACAAGAAAAGTTATAACAAAACAAGACCTTTTTAAGTTTCATCAACGAAGAAAAGTTTCACTAAATGAGTTAGTCTAACCATCTAGGAGATGGTTATAGTTTGAACAAGGTTGTCTTTTATATCAAGGACATACACATCAAGATCAATAATAAAGGATAATTAGCATAGTTCTTATAAATCTTTCCAGTAAAATAAGAAAAATAAAATAAAACAAAGATAATATCACTTTTTATAATTTAATTTTCTTTAAAAATATCTTAAAATTAGGATACTGTTTTTTTTTTAAATATATTTTTAGTAAATGAAAATAGATAATAGAAATGGATTACGTTATAATTTTGATGAATTTCATGCAAGAAATGATGTTTGATGAGAGCTAGAGATGGTTTAAGGGTTCCAGACTAGGAAGACTTTATATAAAATGGTGGTGAATATATAAATGGACAAACATATTAAGTTAATAAAATAGAAGCTCAAATACAATCTAAGTAGCATTTCATAAAATGTCATATGTTAGTTAAACAAATTACTTTATCAAATGATTATGTTGATTTAACAAGCAAATATATTAAGTAAAATATGAGTGATAGAAACATTAAAAATAAAAAACCCAATCTAAAATAAATATATTTTTTTAATACTTAAATTATATTTTTAGTTAGAAAACATATTTCATGCTGAATACTTAATTATGTTGTGAACAGTAGTACATTTATGAATTTTGGTAGTAATTACTTTAAAATGAATAATGAACGTAGGATGGATTTATAATTAATTGTGATAACTTTTATAATTTTTTTCCCAAATATTCGAACAGTGAAGTTCCTTAAAAAAGTTTTTAAAAATAAAAAAAAATCATATGGGTCTTACATGCAAAAGTATTTAAAATTAATAAATAATTTGTATCTATTTTAACATTTTTTTAGGTAAAAAACATATTAAAATAATATTTTTTATAACTCTTTTTAAACAATTCTCACATTAAATGTTTGTACTTTATATTTCTATCACTATTAAAATTTTTAAAAACTATATAATTATTACCATATAATTAGTCAATTGCTTATTATCACAACTTCCTCTGTGCCAACACAAATTCCCAGAAACTGCTCATCCTCATTCATTTTTCTGCGCCTCTCTACCTTCTATTTTCTCCTTTCTTTCAAGGAAAAATCACCCAAAAACTTGAATGATAAGACAAGTGCCCAAGAATATGTATTTGAAGGTTAAAGAAATTTGTTTAAAGCACTTGTAGCTTACTGAACAAGGATGAAGGTTCTTGAGGTAAAAAAGACACGACAAACTTAAAAACAGAGAGAAGTTCATTTACTTCAAGTCCTTGCCTTGGTATTTAAATCCACATCTATCACCATATAAACCACAAGGCAATTCTTAGCATTACATCCACCAACTCACAGGAAAAATGGGAAGATCAACTAACTCTATACTGACATATAGATTAGGTAGTAAGTAGTACCATTGGATTAATTCAGCAATTTCCTTGCCTAAACTAGAGTAGAATTTAACACAACATATTCAAGACTCTCCACATAAAGGACTTCAATTCCATACTAAAAAGAGAAAAGGAAACTAACTACGAGTAAGAGGAAAAAAAGGGGGTTGTTATTGATGCATTGTTGGAGGTGCCATTGGGTAAGCAAGTGGAAGAACATAAGGTGGATGAGGATGACCATGGGGATGGGGATGGGGATGGGGATGAGGATGGGGGTGGGGTCCAGGAGGAAGCATGACAGGAGTGCCAACTGCAGATGCCATATGCCCTGGAGGAGCAGCCACAGGATGGCCAACTGGTGTTCCATACATGCCTAAACCAGGTGGTATGTGACCCTGAACTCTATGCTTCAGTGATTGTCCTACACCCATTGTACTTGAAGAAACTGAGCTACTATGTTGCCCTGTAATTGGTGCTTGATTATTAGCCACATCTCCATTGTTCACACTAGTTATATCATGGATACTTGACCTCCTCCTGTCCCTATTCATAGAATTCAACCTTATGAAATACTTCTGTGCATGGCTAGCCACTTGTGTTGGTGTCCTAGATATCACAAAGTTCCTTGAAATGCTTCTCCAATCTCCTTTTCCAAACTTGTCTAGACCGAGTAAAAATAACCTGAAAAACAAAACAACCAAAAACTAGTTAATTACCTCTTAATTGGATTCCCATGTAAGCAAATTTTGTACACCGAGCTCATATGGAGTCAATTATGCTTGAATCGGATAGAACTAATATGACTCAGAATGGAATATATATGGAGTACATTTAATTAATATGAGAATTAAAGAGTTATAGTAAATGTAATTGGAAAGTACCTGTGTTCCTCCTCAGTCCATGGAATTCCTTTTCTCCTTTCTTGTTCTGATGACCTTGACAAGCCTCCTTTACCACTACTGTTAGTGGTGGAATCATGTCCTAACCCAGAAAAACCACTTCCATAATTACAATTTGATCTTTTATCAGCACTTGTGGCCTTGGAACAGCCATGAAAGTCCTTATTTGAAGATGTGGTTTCCTCAGAAGCATATTTGGGGAATGATATGTGACCTGCCTCTATTGCACTTACATCCTCTACTAGAACCTGGTAATGCTGCTTCACTTCTTCCATGCTTTTGTTGGGAACTGCTGAAGCAATTTTCTCCCATTGCTCTTTTGAGTCTTCCTCATTCCAATGCATAGCTATGGCATTCTCAAATGCTTTTTCTTCCTCGTAGCTCCAAAGGGTTCCACTTGATGACATGATGGCTCTTGGTTGAATTTGCAATTATGGTTCAACTTCGGATGATGAGAATGGTGAAATTGTGTAAGTCATTTTTTGGCGTGTGAATTTTGTCTCTATTGAACAAAGTAGCAGAAGGGGTGCGCAGGATAACGAGAAGAATCATAACGTGTGTAGGATAAGAAGTAAAGCGGTATCAAACAATCCATTTCAAGAGGACCACACTCTGTAATGGAAGGGATGTGTTATTTGTCATCTTCATTCATATAATTTTTTTTTTCCTGTTTACATATCACAACAGAAAGAACTCCCTCTCAGTTACACTTACCAGAAAGTTAAATGAGTATGAGTAATATATTTACACCATACAAAATACACTTATTTTTTCATGTTTTGGTTCAGTGCATAAGCAGGAAAAAAAAAAAAAACTACTAAAAAATATGCTAGAATTTTCTTTAGTTATCTGAGAAGAAAATAACATAAAAATGATGTAAATTTTTCAATGTGTACCTATATTTTGTGAATGAGTATTGGGTAATAGAAGCATAATAAAATGGAATCTCGACTATGCCAATGAATAGACCCGTGGGCATAAAGACAAGTTCATTAAGGTATGGCTTCTTTTTCCCTTGTTATTCAATCATTTAAGCATAACTTGTGATTTTTCAACAAGGCCGAAATTTTCTTGTCACTTGTTCCTTTTTAATTACCGTTTACAATTAAATTAACACTCTTTTTGTTTAGGTCGTGTGACATCACTCAATGTAGTAAAACAATTGTACGAGAAAGAGTATATGTTTCAAACAAAATTAAATTAAATTGAATAAATTCTTTTATTATATTTAAATATAATATTATATAGATTATTTTATAGTTTAATTATATTTTATTTATAATATATATTTATTAAAAATATGACAGTAGTTTTGAATTATAACTTATAATTATAAAATTTATGTAATTTAAAAAAAATTAAAGTTATGAATATAAAAATAATCATACATTATTTAGTTTTTTATTATAAAATATTTAATAATTATTTTAAAAATATTTTATAATTTCTGTAAAAAATTATTTAATAATTTTATAATAATAAAAATCTCAGAACTAATACAAGTCAAATTATAAATATTGATTTGATATAAATTTTATATTAAATTAAAATCAAACTAAATAGAACAATATTTAATTTTTTTATTTGATTTAGGTAGGTAATTAATAAATAATAATAAATAAGCGTAAACCTTCTTACTATTAACTTATAATTCTCGATTATAGAAATTATTTAGAAGAATATCTTATCTTATTTTATGTATTACTGTGATTGCTAATAGGTTAAAACTAGAAGTAGTTAATTATGGAAGAATAACTTCCACGTTCTTTTGAAATAAGTTTTATGAGAAAATTGTGATATAATAAACAGTTGATTAATCCTGAGATGAAATTAAAATAAAATGTGATAGATGGTGTTACAATTGAAGGTTCAGAAAACACAGGACGCATGCGAGTACAGCGAATAGAATGAAAGTATTTGTCTTACTAAAAGAAACAAAAACAGAGACGTGGCCAATTCTTGACGTGTGGTGTGGGATAATATGAACCACATTTTTTTGCTTGGTTTGTCCAAAGAAGAACCTATTAATTCATTCATTGCAGCATTATGAAAACTAGAACAATACTATCCACATCTATACATCTATGCACTCATCTTATAAAGTGAGAGGTGTTCACATCAAAATATATTTATGCACTGTTTCAAGTTGCACCATATCAACCCAAACTTCTACAACACTATTCTATCTTCACCCCACTTTTGAAAAATGAGAATTCATTCTCATGTCAATCTTTCACACACCAGATAAAATATGACTTTTTCCTATCAATTATCTCACAATTTTATGCATCAAATGAATGAATTTACACCCATAAAATCTGAGATTTTAGTTTGTAATTTCCCTTCAGCTTATGTAAGTTAGAAGTGACATCCTTCAGAAAAGTCTAAAAAGTAGTACAATTTCATGGCAAGCAACAACAAAACATTTGCTTATGATTAAGACCTGCTGATGTTACCATATAACTACTTCACTTCACATTAACTGATGATATAAGTATCTCACTTCTCTCGTAGAATAAAACTGCTACCACACATTGTTTCCAGAAGCAGAACACAGTTATCTACGATACTGTCCTAATAGTTTATATTTTTTTTTTCTGAAAGTCAGATTTTGTGAGGTAAATATAAACATTTTTCTTAATATTATTTTCATAGAACCATGCCCTCTCTAAAAGTGGTAGGCTCCACTGAGATGCGTCTGGTAAGAGGATTTGATTTTGGTTGAGTGACCCTAAAATGTTGAGCATAAACTAAATAGTGCAACCAACCTTGATTGATGGACAAAGTGTCCACATCCTAAAACTTTCATGTACCACTGAGCTTCAGCTTTCTTTTCATCAACAAATGAATCCCAGTCCTAATCCTTTGTCACGCCATATAATTACAATAGAATGTAGCAAATCGAGCATTGAAGTGACAAGTAGATGCCATAGTTCACACATGCCATGCTAATCATAATAATGATGATAATAAATCATTCTCATCAAAATCATCACTTTACATTATTTTTTGGATAATCTTTAAAATATAAAATAAAATAAAAATCAAGTCACATATTTTTAATTATTTAAAACAGTAAAAGTTCTCAGTTTAATCAGGCACGCAACTTCTAAGTCTACACTCAAATCAATCTTTCATGCTCCTTGTTCTATTTTTACATAATGTTACTATTTATTGTTCCACTCGTACATTCTGAACCGTTCATACTTGTCATGCGTCTAAGTATGTCCAATGGTTGAAATTTTAAAAGGGAGAAAGTTAGACAGAGTTCACCTCAATAAGATTTTGAAAGTTTCAAACCTTTTTCAGAAGTGAATAATCAGACATCAATTATGCACGTTATACCACCGTATTAACATCGTTGTATCAATATTTGCGAGTAAATTTAAGAAAAAAAATGGATGTTGCAAAGTGACTTGCAAAGAGCAACTTGAAACTACAACTGCAAAATACAATCCATGTAAATGAATCTTTCTTTGAGAGACAATCCATTGCATAGATTGAGAGTTTTGGAAGTAGAATGCGTGGAATAGAGACCATCACCAAAGGCTAAAACAAAGTGAATAGTTTACAGCATGGTCGTTCATAATTGAATGAAGCCCTAATGATCGCCGACAACGGCAAACATATAACCTGGCAAGTTTCCAATAAATCAATTTTCATTTGTTTGGCAAGAGGCAAATTCATACGTCTGTTTCTTGAAGGGGATTTGATCAATCAAATTGCGGTTACTGCACAGCTGTGTATTTGAAGAAAAATATGATAATTAAAAAACATGTTCTATGGAAATGAGTTGCATGCACACAAAGGAAAATGGGATGTCTGCGAAATAAAGTCTCACCCTTGATTTGTCAAAGGTTACATATTTCTCTCCGACAGAGGCAGTGACTTTAAGGGTGTCTTTCAGGACCGTATGAAGACAAGCTGTTTCATGCTTTTTCCATTAAATGGGTGATGTAGAAGACATGTCCCCAGCTTGATCCAGGGGATGTGCAGTCAATTCGCAATACTTTGCAGAAGGGATGCCCTTTCTGGATTTGAAAGCATAAGTTGTTGCATATCTTTGGTAAGTGCATTGAAAACTGCTTGAAGATCTCTCTTTAGTTTCTCACAAGTTTCTCTAGAATCAATACTTCCATTTCCAGGTTGCTGCAGCTGATAATTACATTTGGTGAGATATAAAAGCACTTTGCATGTTTGATCTACAGCTAAAATAATCCTATATTTTATGCATATAATATCCTGTGCCGCAGTATGTACTTACTAATGATGTGCTTGAGGCTAGAGCTAACCTATGAAAAAGTAAATGATAAGTTTTCTTATAGATAAAAACTTTATTCCCAAAACAACCTATTACCCAAAGGCTCATGGAATCTGTTGGGTCGAGACAAAACACAGGAACATCTTTATCTATGGGTCATAAGTCAACTACATAATTGAATAAAACACCACACTTATCTCAAAACCTTGAGATAATAGGTTTATAAGTTTTATTCACTGATATATTAACTTGTCATTTCTATATAACGTAGGACTCCAACTTAAGTCTTTTTACATAGAGTGGGAACTCCAAACTCATACCTGAACTCTAACAGTATCTCTGACGCATAATCTTTTCTTTTTGGGAAACTAAATAAGTGACACAAACAAGCATTCTCAGTGATGACTGTTTCCCCACAATGTCCAGTGTAAAATAAGACATTTGGTTATCATATACTTCTGTGTTGAGAATCGGTCTTAGTATATTCAATTTGATCATTTTACCTTGTTGGATCCAAAACTACCAAATAGTTGCTAATAGAAAAAGGGTTCAAGTTCTAATAAAACACTACCAAAACTTGTGACAGAATACACTAGGTTAGATACTTATTCTTTAGCAAATGAAAATAATTATTAATTAAAATACATGTAGACATCTATTTAAGTGGGGAAAATACCAAAAGAAAGGAACAAATGATTATAATACCACCTGTAACTCTGTGTGTAGAAGTTTCTCTATAACATTAAAGGAATCCACAATTTCCAACTCAGACATTTTAGATATAAGCTGTCCTATATCAGCTTTCATTCTTGCATGCCTCCACAATCTATCTTGTTCACGTTCGGCTACAGCACGCCTCCTCTGAAACCAAGGCATGAAATTGGGTCCGTTCAGGAACCGCCTGATAAAAACATTCATTCAAACAGTAAAGACCATAAATCTAATTAGTGAAGTCTGAGGATCTAAAATTTTAGTGCAAGATCACTCTGTAAAAGACTATAATACTGAGAGGTAGGAAGCAAATGATAATACTAAACAAATATTGCAAATAAAATTCATTACCTGTAGAAGTTGAGCCAATTAGACTTCATTCTCTTCAAAATGAACTTCCCTGGACCTCTGGCTGATAAACATGAAAGGAATTCATCAGCACTAAATGGAGGCAAAGAAGGAGGATCAGCATAAGGAGAAGATCCTTCCAATGGAGCTGTAATCCTAAAATATGGACCAAAAGGGGCCAAGAAATTAGTTGTAAGCTCCAAGAAATGTCGCCGTAATATCTCATTGTTAACAACTGACATTGATTCCTCAACTCTTGGTGACATGCCAGCATCTATAAGCCTATTTAAAATAGAGGTGTCTGGCTTAGTTGTGGCAGGATGTGTAGTCCAAATGGCCTCCTTATGTTCTGTCATGAGACACAGAGGACCATCTCTCCGTAGCTTCATCGCATTCAATAAACTTGAAGGAGAAAACTTCTGTAGGGAATGTTGTTGAAGCCCACCTTCAGGTCTACTAGAAACTCTGCCAGTGGAAGATCTAGTTGAAAGGGCAACCCTATTTGAACCAGGATGGGGACTTCCAACTGAAACAATATGGGGAATGTTACGGAAAGCCTTAAGGAAGAAAAGATTTGTCACTCCTAAAACCATTGGGGGGAAGGTTTCCCCTTCCTGAATTGAGTTCAACTGTGCAAACTCAGGATCATGAATGGTAAAATATGGCCGGAAGTCAACACTGCAAAGTAATGGTGCAACCAAACTCACAAGACTGGCAACAGCCTCGCAACACTGGGGAGGGGTTGGTGCAATGACAAGAATTGGTTCACCAATGAGTAACAACTCCCATAACAACCAAAGCTGTAATAAAATGCCACGGAAAGCACCAAAAATATCTGCATCATGAAAAAGGCCCTGCGGAATAGACTGATTATTAGGAAGTAAAGGTGCCACAGGAGAAGCAGACTCATCAATAGATAATCCATTTTCCATGGGCAAGCTGTGTGCAGGTGGCAAGTTCACTTTAAGAGTTTCATTCCCAATAGGAAGACCCATTAGCTTTCCAGGAACAGGAGCAGGCCATGTTGAAACATAAGCAGCAATATGCTCTAGTGCTACCTTACCAATGTCAAAATATAAGGGACCTATAATTTGTAATAAAGGTCTAAAAACACTAGAATAAGGACTGTGGGACAAAATGACCACAGACTTCTGCTCCCCTCCTCGCTTTAGCCTCTCATCGTGTCTCTGTCTATTAAAGACAAAGCCATACATGTATTTAGAAACATCAACACTACTTGTAATGGATAATTCTTTACCAACATTATTTTTATCTATGGCCTGAGGAGAAAACTCCTTGTCAAGTTCGGTTATCTCAGAATGAGTGGCATTGCTAGATTGAGATTTAAGGTGCCTACGAAATCGGAAAAAGAAGATACAGTCATGAATGCTCGGGCGGTTTTGTTGCTGGGAAATGGAATCCGGGAATGAACTGTATGCAATCTCCAGCTCCTCATCATTTGTAAGAGAGCCAGGCGGATAACATACTTCTACAAGCTGGCCTTGTTCAAGATCAAACCTTATAGCACAAAAGGCAACAATCCATCTCTGTAAAGACTCAAGATCATGACTAGGACTAAGTTCTTCTTTGACTTTAAAGGAAGGAGACCGACTCATATCCGATTAAAAACACTAATAATGCATACTTTCATTGATCAAAATGTCATCAACACCACTTCTGACAACTGTTTCCAGCTAGAAAACCTGCAGCATCTTCATTGGTCACAGAAGTTCAATTCAACTTTACAGATAACTCATAAGCCTGACAAACAAATGCAAAGCAACACACTAGCTAGCTTGCTCATATATATGATTCTGTTTAGGGGATCGTTAACAATAAACAAGTATGAAGTGTTCCTCATTGCATAAGCAGAAACCAAGAAAGAAGAATAGTAATTAGCAACCATAACACTTACTCTTCACTGGAACACTGCAAAATCAGTCAGTCCAGTTCAAACAACCATGTTCAACTGCTTATGTTACTTTGACTAAGAACCAAACAAGCTTTTAGAACAAAAGCTTAAGCAAGATCTACACTAACACATAGTTCCTTTCATTTCCTCAGCAACCAAAACTAGTAACCAAAATCATGGTATTAATCTCACAGCTTCAATATCAACAAGATCCATCAAATGGGTACCTGAATATAGGAGTTACCAAGACGTAGTTCCTAGCACGAACCCATCTGGATCAGCAACAAAAGAAAACTAAATTGATGGAAAATCTCACAGAAAATCAAACTAAGTTGGGAGCTTTACGCCTTGGACTTGGTCCCAGTTAGAATATGCCTCCAAATTCAACAACTTTTGTGCAAATGCAAAGGGTATCGAAATCTGTGAACTATGATAGAGAAAAATGAGTTGCCAACAGAGAGGAGATATCTGCAACAATTTTTATTCAGTATTAAATATGTGAAAATTCTGTACATATTTGAAATTGAAAAAAAAAAGTGTCCTCCTCCTCTAAATATCTAATTTTAACATTAATTTATTAATAGTAATTTCTGTTTTTTTTTTAAGAATGATTAATAATTAATTATATTAAAAGCACTTTGATTTTAAACAGCCCTGTGAATGAGAGGTTTTTATGTTTAGTTTAAAAAGTGAAATATAGTTTAAATAAAGATTATACATGGAAAGAGTTTATAGGATAAATTTTCAATCATTTAAAAAAAATTAGCATTTTTTATAATTGAAAAATAATAATTAATATCTGGATTTATTATTTTCTTATTATTAGTTATAATTAAGTTCAATTATTCTATTAGTCTTTTAACTGTTCCCTTTAAAAAAAATTAGTTGGTTCTCTTGTCTACTAATTTTTTAATTGAGTTCTTTGATATGTAATTTTGTTATAAGTTGTTTAAATTTTTAAAATTGTGACAAACTATATTTTTAATGATTTAAAACAGCTACAAAATAATGACTTACATTTATGTTTAAAAATCTAATTCAAAAATCAATTTAAGCATTCATTTAAAAGTTTTGTCTAAAACTAACTTGCTAACTTAATTTTGTATCCATATAAATTTTTTTAATCAAATCTCCCATTTGTCTTGAACTATTAATGAAGGTACGTGGATATTACCTTTTCTTTTTACTTTTATATTATATAATTATTTTTTTATTTTTTTTTAAATCATTTTAATTATAACATTTTTTTTAAATTATTTTTTTTAAAATGCAAGGAGATTAGTTTATGCAGCCATATTTTTGCTAGACATATTTCTTACTCATTTTATCTTTTGTATCATTATATGGCTTTTTTTCGTACTTTTATTAAAAGAAAAAAACTATTTTTTAATTTTATTTTTTTTAAATGTAGACGTACAATTTGGTAAAAGTAGAAAATTTATAAACACTTGTAAAATAATTAAACTCTTAATTAATTTTAACATAAATTGTTTTTCATAAAACACTAGTGGCTTCTAATATTCAAACTAAAGTTGTTTTTTACAGACAAAGTTAATTGGAATTGGTTAATGACAGAGGTATGGTGTGGCCAAGTTTAAATTATTGGATCAACATATAAAAAGACCCTCACAAAATAAATTATTGCACTGCAGGGAATCTGTCGGTTAAAACTTGTAGACATTGACTTTTTTTTAATTGAAATCAGCTTTTTTTTTTAAGTTATATTCTTTTGGTTACCTCTAACATTATACTTCTATTTAAAAAAATTATAATTTCTCTAATTGTTAATATTTTTATTCATTAATCACCATGTGAATAGTCAAGATAAAATTCTCAAAACCCACTTATTACTTATTAAATCCAGAAAAATGATCCATAATTATAGTTTTTGTGGAAAAAAATATTAAAAGAGTAATAAACTTTTTTTAGTATATTTATAAAAGACGGGAAGTATTATTTTTTCTGATTGAAGCAATTAAGAAAAGAAGATTGGCCATAAAATATTAAACTTTCTACATCATTCCAATTAAACATGATGTTTCAGTGTCGACATATCAATATATGTATATTTTCAATTCAACCATTTTCAGGCATGCATTTCACCTTAGAAAATGATTTAAAAGAAAAGAAAAGGTGTTGAGGCGAAAAGACGCAATAATTCAACACTCATCACACTCATTTTGTAAAGCCTGTAAAAAGCTAGTGCATATATACAAATTACAAAAGGGAGGGAATGCAAAACAAATCAAATTCAAAATCCAGAGTATATCAAGTAGATGCTCTATTCTTCTTCCTATGCTTTTTGATGTTGTATTAGACAGTCATCCAGTTGGCGTCCAATTATTGTCACCGCCAAAACTGTACTAAGGATTCACCCTGTTAAAACATGTTGTTTAGCCCCTTTCTTCTATGGTCTTTAACACACAAAAAATTTGACGAAGTCGACACCTAAACGTCATATACAGGCAGACGCTCAGCAATAGAGTCACGGCAAATCGGACACTTCTTACACTTCTCTGAGCAAGTGCTGCAGTACATGGAAATCAAGCATAAGGTCAAAACTATTTTGACCAAGAAAAAAATAGATGAATAAACTATAATGTGGTCTCATTGACCGCCACATATTTTATCTCACCTGCAAAGGACGCGATGCCTACATGGGAGCAATACGACGTTAATCTCTCCCTCAAAACAAATTCTGCATAACACTTTCTCCTGCGCTCACACAAAATATGAACATAAAATTGGTCAAATGAAACTGGAATTAATCTAAACATGCCAGTGATAACAACAATAGGAAACTTCGTTTTAAGCAGATGAATGGGCTAGAACCCATATTGATAATTGTTGTCACCATATCAAAACAATGTGCTAGCTTAGCACAAACACATAATAGCTACTCCACTTTTATGATACAGCATTGACAGTATATTGGGATTATTATGATCAAAAGCTATTCACACACTGAATTCAATAGACTAACTGATTTACAACATCAGAAGTCAGAACAGGGTCCACACATAAACAATATTCTAACCGAATGATACCCCATTCGTCCTTGCCCTTGTGGATGGCCTCTACATACATAATGTAAGAAACTATGGAAAATATACAGCATAAGCGCATTATTAACTATATTACTCATTTGAGGTCAGGAGTTTTACATTTTGAAGTCTTTCATACTCCTGTTGGCTGAATTTTGTAATTTCAGTCTGTTCACCAAGAGCTGCCTGGAGTCTCCAAACCTGTCATTAGAAAACTTTAAGCATCCTAATGAAGGAAGTCAGAGTTACTGACTTACTGAGAATTATATTGAACAATGAACATAAGGAAACAAGACCTAATCAGATTATTTCAAACATACTACACAGGGTCATATTCATCTATATGAGTAAAACCTGGATATACCCCCACTACAAATTTATATCTATATAATATAAGAATGTCATCACCTCCTCAGCAAGTTCCTTTTTCGGCATTTTCTTGACAATCTCAGGAGGATAACCACAAAACGTATTATACCTGTTTCAGTGGAAAGCCAAATGTACAAAAATCATTAGATACAACTACAAGGTGAAGATATAGCAATAAAATTGAAAATAGCTTAATGTATTACATCAAAGTCAAATAAGCTCTAATGCCAACAGAATAAATAAACAGAAACCTACTATTTTGTTACTTAAAGATGAAACATCAGAATTTGATTCCCCTATGCTAATTGTATCCTTGAGCACTTAAATGATTCATTTCTAAAAATTTTGTCTTTCCATTAGAATTCCATACACCTTGAACTATGCATGGCATGACTTAAAAAATGAAATAAAACAAGAATAAACTCAGACCAATGAAAGAATAATGGAAATTGAGAAAATGGGTATGCGACAGTAGATGAAAATTAAACATACACAAGCAAGCCACATGAATTGTCAAGAGACGTTGCAGGGAATATGCATGAGACAGCAGATAACATTCTTTGATGGTACCAACCAAGGTTGTAATAAAATGAATAATGCTTACCCAGATGCTCCCTCATGGTATAATCGTGCTTGTTCTTCCCGACTTCCTTCATCAATTGACCACCAACCTAATAATCTGTTTGCATGAATTGTCAGAATTCAGATGCAGTTGCAGCACAGTACATGCAAATGGTAATTCAACATGGTTACAGCTTCCCTTTTTAACAACTTTGACCTCGAATTAGATTTGCTACCTCCAATAAAAATAATCATAAGTATTCAGATTACTCACTTGAGGTTTGGCTATATTATGATCAATTTGTGCACTGAACTAATTAGAGCATCTTTTTGATATATTTGACCCCAATATACATTGGATTTGCATCAAAAGTTATAGTAACAGATAAAAGACATACATTCAATCTGTGAACCAAAACATAATGATCCACTTGGTTTGCATATTGTACATGAAATGTCCCAAATTAAAATGTGTAGAACAAATTGTTGCATCTATTGGTTCAGTACATGCAATACAAGTATTTATACTCTATCTGTAATTTTTACTGTTTTTTTATTACAGGTGGTTGACACCTGTTTTTGTCTGTTGATAGCTGTAGTTGCAACTAATTTTCTGTTTTGCACCCTCCTGGACTAATGGTGCTTAAAGTATCACTCTATCATTGAGTTTCATATTCTTATTATATAACTGAGCTGCTTTGATCCAAATTTAACTGAAAATAGTTAATGAATAGAACGTGGTAATCAAGGATTTGAGAAAAAGCAGGTGTAAAGAGTTTTATATCACACGTGCCACTCATACATTAATTGTTAAAGTTAGTTATAAATTGAAAAAGAGCTCAGAATTAATTGATAACAGAATAAAGCTCAGGGGAAAGAATGACAAAATCAAATCAGACCAAGCAACAGAGTTTTAATCTAAGGTCTCGCTAACAATAGTAGCAACAAAAGAAAATCAATTACCTGGAACCATGATGCAAGAATCCCAAGCAATCGTGAGCTCTTGAAGAAAATCTAAAATAAATTCCTCCACCAGCTCCGCTTCGTAGCAGAAGCACAAGTTTCTCAGCTAATTTTGATGCAGATAACAGTACTCCAGCTCCTTGAAGTAGGAAAAGGGGAGAGAAAAGAACTGGAAGTGGTATATATACAGCACAAGCAGGTGTTCCCTGAAATGCAAAACAGCTTAGATATCCAAAAACAATACTCCAAAGGCTGGCTAGGCACACAATGCAGTATCATATACCTCTAGATGCATACAGAGAAGAACCTGGAATACAATAATTGGTACTTTCATGAAATGACCCCCAATGTCTTGCAGGCTACACATTCTCCCCTCGTGTCTATTTTCATCTGTAGAAACCACTAAACCACTGTTCCAGTCAAGATATCTAATCGTAGTTGATGTTGAACTACTGGCTTCTCTTGAATTTCTATGAATTACTGGATTGGACCACTTTGTACATACAAGGAAAGCAAAGCATTCGGCAATACTGCAAAATAATATATCATAAAAACCTTATATAAAACTTTCACATCAGCATTCTAACAAACACAAACTTAATTATCAAAATGCATTTTTTAGCACTCAAGACAAAGAAACCTACGCAAAGTTAATAAACAGGTCCCACCAGCCCAGAGCACCTACATCACCTGTATTAGTCAAGAAAAATGAAGCTGTGTTATTTATTGGTATAACTAAAGTCTATATCACCAGGGAAAATATTGAAGAATATAATAAAACATAATGTACACTATACAGCATAATAAGACAAATTCCAATCCAAAAGGAATCATGACATCACAACATTGTTATCATGACAGAGATTATAAAGAATAACCGGGAAGAGGGCAGGCATACATCTACATTTAGAGGAAAAGTAGTTACCACTCAGTTTTAGGAGTGTAAAGACTGTAGCAGCAATGAAGAACACCATAGAAATTGCAACCCAAAAGTGCTACAAAAAAAACAACACAAGGCTTAAGCAATCAGAGTACTCCATTTTTGTGGCATGCAAAGATATCCTCATACGTAAACTAAAGAATAGCAAAACCCTATGTTAAACAACTTTAGAGTGCAAAAAGGTACAATAGCTGCAACAATTTATAAAACTCAACTACAAATAAGAAGTTTTCTGAAAAAGACAATAGAAGTTTGTCCACAGCACAATAACATCAAATATTAATTTAGAAGAGCATGAATACAGTTTTAATTGGAGATGGAATTGATGCTAAATTCACCTCAACTTCACTCTTCATACAAATATTTGAAAACCCACAAACAATTGTTTCCCAAATCTTTTCCTGGTGCAATTTTACCGTGGCATATATACTTGGATAAATTGGTGTCTAGCCACTTTCGCCCATATAATATTAAATTATTACATTGCCAATGACAAAACTGATGAGGGCTTCAGCACCATTATAAAGGGACCTCTCCTATTTGTGAAAAGTGTTCTTTTACTAGAAAAAAAAAATTCAAAAAAAGTAGTTTTTGAAAATCATTTAAAAGAAATATCTCTTTTTAGTTTTTTAAATAACAAACCATGACATTTTTAAGTTGTTTTGGTTTTCTACTTTTAGTAATATATTTATCATGTTCCTCCTTGCACTGTCCCCTCTTCTTCCCCTACTTCTACTATCTAAAGAATAGTTTTTGAAAATTGTGTTGTAAAATCATTTTGAACAAAAACAGTATCAAACACAATTTAAAATTGCCTTGATTTCAATCTTGTTTTATTAGTTAGTTATATTATTACAGAACAACCCAACAAAGAACATAAAAATAAACTGATATTTTGGCCATTCAGAAGAAGAAAACACTGCAGCTTATGCCTATTTTTTCTAAGGAAAATTGATAAAAATCCTTACAGGAAGAGTTTCCCATATTGCCTCATCACTCATGTTTTCTTCATCCCCTGGCATTAGAGCCTTACACATCCTGTACATAAAATAAAACATAGTTGGTTACAGATGACAAATAAATAATTGATGAATATGGGTCCCCACAACCAACGAATAATGCTAAAGGGGTTCACATTCATCTCTACAGAACAAAACATATAACAAACCCAATTGTGCACATCAATAATTGAGATTTAAAAATTCCAAAGAATTAAAATATGATAAAGAAATCCACTGAAGTATCTATTCTTGCAGATGTAAAGAATTCAGAAAATTACTCATGTCACCATTGATTAGTCTAACATTAGAGAAGGAACTACCCAAAAAGAACATTGATTAATCTAACATTAGAGAGTGAACTACCCAAAAAGAAACTAAGGTCTGTAGGAGCTATCCCAAAGAAGTTACCTGAAATTGTCAATGAGAATAATGATTTCAAATGTTAGTAAGGGAAGAAACACAATCTTTAGATCAACTGCTGCAGAGCCAAGATCTGTGCAAGAACAAAATGCATTAGTATAATTGGAGGTTTTGCATAAATGTCATAAAGAAATGTAAGTCCTCTATTGCAACAAAATTCTTTCAATTACAGACGGCAAAATGCCCACAATTCTAAAGTAGAACTTGTGAGCATCAAGCTAACTGTATTGAACATATCATAATAATATCATATTGACTTCATATTTCATTGGAGACACTCCATGCACAGATAACTGAAATACACATTTATTTAATACGTGAAAATAACTGGAAACTCTAGTTACACGAAGATGAAAGCATACCATTTAAGCTCTCAAGATATATACAAAGGAGCAATTCAAATGCAATAAGCAACGGCGTTGCAACAACGGCATGACATGGTGCCCACTGTCACAATATAAAAATTCAGTACTGTATTTACTCATCTAACATTGTCATGGGAAAAAAAAACAGTTATAATAGTAATTTATACAAGAAAAGGAAAACAAGGAGCACCTTCATAATACACATATTCATTGTTTGGAAGTTAAATGGCTCAATACTCACACCTACTATGACTAAACTAAAACTAAAAATAGAAACTGACTCAAGTTTCAGTTAAGAATGACAATGGCATACATTTCGATTTCGTGGGGCAGATGGTGCAGGTAATGAAAACCTTCCACGAGCCACAACACCATGGAACATCCAAAGAGGCAAAAATATCACCCTGTATATTAAAGTTGAAGTCAGTCATGAACAGTCACTATATACTCAGAACCTAATATACACCACACATCTTTACAATCATAAAATTTCGATATTAATGAACTTGCAACAGACCAGCACACCATGGCATCCATTTCAGGACACATTTTTATTTTACTCTTTTATCTATATTTTTGTTAAAATATTATGAGTTTTAATGGACTTGCACCAAACCAACAGTATAAAATGTTCTAGCACTGCATTTAAAATTTTTGATATTACACGGCAATTATTTTAATTGAATCCATAATACCTTCCGGATACTATTAACTTTTAGAAGCACACCATCACCCGATGATATAAAGCCACTTTACATTTCACCACATATGGAGTCTTTCTAACCACTCAACCTAAAGGCGGGCACCACTTTGATTTGTCAGGTACTCATTTCGGCAGCTTATTAACTAACACGCAGGCACCATTCCAGCTCCAATTAAAGCAGAAGCTTGCATACTCCCCGATTATCTTGGTCTACCAATCGTTATTTCACAATACTGAAGCGTACATAATTTCAGTCTAGGCCATTACTTTAGTTCACGATCATCTTCACCCCAATCTCCAATTTCCAATCTACCTGCTCAAACACTGAATCAAAATTTCTCCAGCCAAACATCCTACACCAAAATAGAGATGGAGAAAGGAAGCAAACTAACACTGCCAATAACCCCGAAGCTCCACCTTTCATCTGGGAATTGTATTATTACCAGGACCGATTCTACTTCTACAACGTCTTATCAGTAACATAACTCTTGCAAACACTTTCAATAGTTAAAAAAAAAAAAAAAAACTAGAAAAAACTTTACAGTACTGAACTCCATCCCATGTGAGAAACCACCAACATAATCCCTTTATGCTCTGCACGTGTTTCCGGAAACAGAAACTCAATTTTTTTAATATAATTCAGTTAATAGTAATCCTACTACCACCGTATATTCTTACCAAAAAATTCAACAATGCATATATTTGGTCAATCATCAGAAGGCAAAACCACAATCCAGTCATGATTATCACAAAACAAGCATACAAGGATTTCATGTGGGCCCAAACCCTTCATCTCCAAAGGAATAACAATAATAATAATAAACAAAAAAAAAAAAACAGGAAATTGAAGCGAAAATTGAAAGGGTAGAGGGGAATTGAGGAGTGAGGGAAGAAAAACTAACCACCAAGAACAAGAGAGATTGTGATCGAGCTTGAGAACGAGGAAGAGAGTGAAGCACAACAGGAAGGTGTGTGCAGCCAGGGCCTGTGCTGAGTTCAACACCCTGCGCCAGCTCATCTTCCCAAACTCTTTCCCTTTCCTTCCTGATTGATATCTTAAAACAAACAAACACCACGCACAAACCAAATCCTAATCCCAACAAAATCAACAAAAAATCAAACAAACCACACAAAATTTACAGAAGCACTTGGTGGTGGACACAACAACCCAAAAAATAAAAAAGCCCTAGGTTTGTTTCTGATGAAAGGAATTTTGTGAGTGAGTGAGGCACAGTCTAGTAGTAGTTTGAATTTCTAAATTGGGAGATGAAAAAAAAAAAAAAAAGCCTTTCTTTGGGGTTCCAATCACAAGGGGCGCCATCTGAAAGAGGAAAGTAAACATTCATCTTTCTTTCATAACAATAACAATTAATTGATATGATTACAATTTTTTCTTTTTTTTGTGCGCAGGTATTATCTTCCTTCTATATAATATTTTTTTGGTACTGGTAAGTTTAATTTAATCTTTTATCTTGAGGGTGTACTCAACTATGTGCAGAAACTAGTTTTTTTATTGTTATAATAAAATTTACAAGAAATAATAATAATATGTTATTCTATTTGCCTTTTAAGGTTCAGTATCTACATTTTTTTTAAAACGGTTAAACTAACAAAATAATTATCATGCTATTAAAGATAAAATCATAATTTTTTTAAAAAAGAGTGTCTAAATTTTTTTAAAACATTATATAAAATTAAATATAAAATAAAAACTAGATAACAAATTACATAAATCAATCTTTGTTAATAATGAATAGAAACACATTTGTTAGTTATTAAAATGTTATAGATAAAATATTAATATTTATATTGTTTTTTAACATAATTTTCGGTTTTTATTTTTAAAAATAAAAAAATCCATTCGTAATTAATATGTGAAACAGATTTAAAAAAATAATTTTATTTTTAATTTTAAGAAAATCTAAATTAATAAAAAGGTATTTTTTTAACGTCTTTGTGAATAATTATTATAATGAAATTGTAATTTGTCTGTTATTTTTAACAAAAATTATAATAATATTAGGAATTAAAAAACTATATTATTACAAAAATAAATTATAAATATAAAGAAATTCAAAATAAAATGCCATTAATATTACGAGGATGATGAATAACCATAAAGCAAAAAAAATCCACATGGACGCTTGTTCTGTCTGTTTTCATATTTCCTGGTATGTTTTTTTAAGAGACTTTATCATATTTTTTTCAATATACCCTCTTCAGTATTAATTATTATTATTATTATTATTTAATATTTAACACATAGTTGAAAAATATTAATAAAAGTATTTTTTGTATGTATGTGCATTAATGAGTTATCTGAATCCGCAAGCACACGTTAAGCAAAGTATATTATTATCATAATAAATGCTGAGGCTTCATTTTCTAGTTATTTTTAATGCGTGTTTTTTCTTCCATCCTCATTATATGCATATAAAAATAAATTTATTTATGAATAAACATATAAACTCGTTATAATTTTTTCTTAATGAATCTGTTTTTGATTTTTGTTTGTATATTTATTTGGTTAAATTTCGTAAAACAAATTAATGTTCCAATAATTACTACATAATATGACATAACCAGTTAACATGAAAAAAGATTGTTTGGAATGAATGATGTGAAATGAGACAAAAATCCATGTGACTCATGACTATCAAGAAAGTCACAGTTTCATAGGACCCACAAACTTGTCTTATTTTACTTAATCAATTGAAAGTTATTGGTAATAACTTTTAAGAAAATTCTAATGAAAATCAACAAAACTAAGGAATTTGTGCTATAAAATGTATTATTTCGTTGTAATTGCATATATTTACGAAACGTGTGAGTCATCAATCACGTCATTTTCTTATTAATCGATTTGAAAGCTTACGTGAATCCACGCATATGATTTGTCAAAGATCCTGTGGGTCCACGTAATTTTTACAAAATTTGACTAAGTTGTTTCACAAGAGAACATGAAATTCGGAGCTTTTTAAGGATCTATAAAACCGTAAAGGAAAAACAATAACGAAGCACAAGATAAAAGTCAAAACTTTGTTAAATTAAGAAAGAACTTTTCCAAGGTGTGATGCTACTATTTTTTGTGTTGGATATTAGAGTGGTGAAATGAAATGGTTTCGCATAACTAAAATTAGAACTACGACTAGGAATTAACACGTTTTATTTAATGAGACAAACTCTGTACAAATAAAAAAAATGAGTAAGAGTAGAAAAATATTTTCCTTAAATAACAAAAATATAAAACTTTTCTCTATGTATAAAATGATTAGTTATTAATCATTAATTGTACTCTCTTTTACATCACCTAAATGGAGACATTTGCTCTCCACTATCAATAAACTATAAGATAAGAAAAACTTTTGCTTTAACTTTGACTTTTTCATTTTCACTAAAAATGACTTTATTCACGTTCACAACTTACAGCTATTTTTGAAATTTTATTTTTAGAAAAAAAAAATGTACCCCACCACTATTATACGTTGTTTATAGGTGATGAAAAGAGGTATTCACCCTGTATACTTTCTCTTAATGAGAAGTTTAAGTCTTTGTAATGCAAGACTCTTTTACAAGAAATTTCATATTTTTTGCTTGTTTATGTTTAAAAATATGAATTCTAAATACTGTAATATTTTAGAATGACTATTTTTTTTAATTCGAAAAAAATGGAAACATTTTTTTTTCCCAAAACACAGCGAATTTCTTGGTTAAATTTTTTGTTTTATTTTTATATGAAAATAAAATAAAATTTTAAGAAAAAAATAAAATTTAAATTGTAATTAAATTTCTTTGATTTTTTAAATACTTTATTTTGATAAATTAACTCATTTTTTAGTTTAGATAGAGTGTTTTGATTTATAACATCGAAATACATATTTAAAAAAAATTAAATTTTATATTATTTTTTATAAAAAAATTGTAAATATCTAATAATTAAAAATTAATAAAAATTATGTTCAATATTATAGAGATAGAGGAAAAAAACGATAAAAAATAAAATAAAATAAAGAGAGAAACGAGATATATGGGACAGGAGAAAAGGGAAAAATAAAGAATGGACCATGAGAGGAAGGGAGAAAAAAAAATTGCAGAAACCGAGTAGGGAGACCCAAGAGACCAATATAAGAGAAGAGTGAATCCGAAATAGAATTAATTTTTATTTTCATTTAAAAAGAGTTTATTCTTATAAATTTTTAGATTTTTTATTTTAAAATTGATATTTTGGGAATGGGGATGTAGATTGATTGTGTAATAAGTATGTAACAGTTGGTGGTGAGTGGCAAAAATGGATTGGTTTAGCAGCATAAACAAGTAGCTAATGATTGTAGCATTTCATGATGTGATGAAACCAAGATGAAGATTGTTCTTGAAGATTAACCAATCGCAACGCAATCATGCCCCCTACCTATCCCTTGCACACAACCAGGCATTGGGAAAAGTGACTAACGATTTGATTTGAGTGTAGACCTGGATAAGAAGCACTCCTTCGGAAAATGACAAATAAGTAAGTATCATCCACCACTTCCTACCACCATCACATATTAAATACAAATACACATATGAAAAAGACAAACATTCTCAAAATATTTGATACCTCAACTCCTGTGCTCCTGGTGTACTTCGAAAATTAATTTCTTGACACCAAGAAGCAGATTATTTATATTAATATCTCGTTCAGCTGCTATACCCTTTTCATTGTTTGCTTCTAAAATCAAAATAATATCTTGACAACAGGTAGCAGATTATTTTGGCAGGGAGAAGAGATATTTTGGTTCCTCACCTTATTTCTGACTTGTTTCTTGCTTTAATTATCCAGTCATACAATGACCTGCTCTTTTTCTCAACCGCCAAATTGAATTAATGGTAAATTTTCTGACATATCAGCGAACATGCTTCGATAATATGATAAACAACTTTCAAATCCATTATCCATAGACTCCCGGGATGTAAGCCACATGCTCCTTTTAACATTTTGAAAAGTAACATTAAAAGCAAGCTAGATTAGAATATACATTTCTCTTTCTGGCAGGGCTATGCTAGAAACTTAAAACCTTCCCTACAATCAGCATATAAATTCACGAAACACCCCGACACAATTCTGATTTTTACCTAACCCATTGAACACATCATGTACAGCAAGAAGCCCTTCAAAAATTCACAACATGGATGGGTACCGACTACTTTCGAATTACAAGAATTGTTGCAGCCAATGACAGTTTTCTGCATCCTTCTCCAAAGTATCTGCTAACTTCCTCACTTCTTGCAAAGCTTGTACCTTGTCCATGGTCTCTAGTGGCATAGCAACAAAAGCTTCGAGAAATTGCCGAGCCCTTGCAGACCCTCGAGACATGTCGTCGGGTTCAAATACTCTCTTACGTTTAGAACCCCCCTGCAAATTATAATTGCAAATTTTTAAAGATTCATTTCAGTGCTGTAGGTATACTGATGGGTAAACTGAGGCTACTATTTCTTAAAAATTATTTCTTTTAAATTCAGACAAGTGAGAAAAGCGTTTCCAACAATGTTACAATAAAATACTGCGACAATAACAAATTAAAAGTGTCTCGGCAAACAGAGGCACACACGAGATAGTGATATCCGTTGAAGTAGTATATGTGCAAGTGCTGTGATATGTTCCCTCTATGGTCTATTCACACGGAACCAGTTTTACATAGAAGATTCTCTCCTTGTTGAATATTACAAGACTAGTCATATATCAACCAAACATTATTTCACTTGCTGAAGTTTTCAAATTGGATCTGGCTACTTCAATTGCCAGAATTAAATAAAAAGTAAAAAATCTGGTTCTTTATATGCCAACAAAATTTAGGAGAAATCCTTATTTTTAAATCAGTTTATTATGAGAACTAATGTTCATATCACAAATCAATGAGACAAATTAAAAAAGTGCAGTAACCTATACCTCCTGGTTAGTATCAATCAAGGATATTGCTGGAGGAGAAAAGTCTTCTAATTCTGCGGCCTTTTCTCTAGCTAGGGTTACAACACTTTCAGGGAAGTTTGCAAACTCGGCAACATGAATACCAAAACTCTGATCACAAGCTCCAGGTTCAACCTACAAAGTAGAAACATGTGAAAAAAAAATGAGTTGATGTAAATGCAGATTGCTATTTGACTACAGTACTACAGTTTCTGAATTTGATGTCCAGACTTCTTGAGAAGGAATGCTATAAGCTCAATGGTACAAACGATCGTCCAAAATTTGTTAATGATTAACAATAACAAGGTGTTTGCTGGTAACAGGATGCATAGGTAGAATGGTGAGTCATTCAATCTTCACACTGTTACTGAGAAAAGTGGGTACGTCTTTCTTTTTCCTTTCTGGAAGTACTTGGGTAATGAAAACCATGACCCTGGCTGGTTGTTGATTGATTATCCCTGGCAAGGAATAAGTGTTTCTTTTACTATTATTATTATAAACCTAAGTCTAAATATAGTTTAATGCTCAGGCCAAATACATCTATTTTATTTCATTACTTTTAGTTTTCCCTATTTAAAGCTTCTAATATATTTAAATTTCTTAGCAATATCACTTTCTAGTAAACCAAAGTATAACGAAACCTCATTAAAGGATCTGTGAAATATGGAAAAGAAAAAAATAATTGAGGGGGAGTAAGGGTGAAAAATCTGCAAAAGATTTTGCTGATATTTGTTGGGGAGGTACAAAGTAAAAATTTTAGCTAGAATATCTCTCTAAGAATTCTTGAATTAATTTTAAATAGAGGTTTGAGAATTCTGGTAAAATTAACTACAGTATAATTATATAAACAGTTTTGTTTTTTTTTCTTCATGTTATAGCATTTAATTACTGAATATTAATTAAAAGTCCGCTTTCCTCAACCTACTAAATCAGGATAAAACCATGCAAAGGTGATTATGGCCTTCAGATGATTAAGCCTAATATAGGCATTGTTCTTCAAAGTAAAATAACACATTTCAATCCAGATAAAAAAAAAAAAAGTGCAAGATGAACCCTGGGAGATTTGCTTATAGCTTCTAATGTCATTCTTTTTTTCTTTTCCAATTTGTGATGATTTAGAACCAAAATAGAAGCTCTACCACTTAAATACCATGTTTTGCTGCATTCTTGGAAACAGTTGAAAAATAAAATATTAAGGTTTTGTTGTTTGTACTTTTTTACTAAAGAACAAGCACTTTTTAAACCAAAAAAAAAAATGTTTACATTTTTTTAATGATAATTGGACAAGTTTGTCACAAGAAAAGTAAATAATATTCCTAGAAAGAAAGAAAAAAAGCAGTTTTAGTCTGCAACTTCTAGGGAGAAAAAGCTCCAAAGAGGCTTTCATAAAAGTGCTCCCCCCCCAAAAAAAAAAAATAAAAATAAAGATACCATCCTTAGTTTCATGAGGAACATTAATCATAAAGCTGGTAGGAAAAGGGCAACTTGCTAGATGAAAAGAATGTATTTACCTTGTATAGCATAGTTAGCTTTCGAGTTGATGAGTCAATATGTGCACTAACATGATAGTTTGCCACGCCAACAATTTGCTTCTGTAGATCATTACTTCCATTTTCAAGGGCTAATGCAGTCAGTTCGTGAAAGTGAGTGGCAAACAAAGTAGGTGCTTTGATAACTTCAACAATATGCTCACAAATGGCCCAAGCTAGACCTGCATACAATAAAAACTTGTTTTAACTTTTAATGCAGTGAAATGTTTAAGGGCTTTCAGTTACCAGCCTGAGTTAAACCAATGCACACACCATTCAATAATCTTTTTACACAATGAAATTCTCATCAATCCAACCATTAAGTTACAAGTAATCACCAATTCATTCACCTTGCATGCTAAGTTTAAGAAATTGGATAGACAAAATTACTTTTCGCTCGTTATATTTAACAAGAGTATATCAATGTATGAGTTGGTTTCAAATCAACATGAAATGTTGAGGAGAGGATACTTCATGTGATAGAAGCTTTTAATGCAACACTACATTCTGTGAAGAAGACATTTTATAAAAAAAACATTTGCACAAATGTCTCCGTAAAAAAATGAATGAGTTAGTTATTTTTTAGTTCCAGAAATTTAGGATAAATATGATTTTGATCTCCCAAATTTTAAAAAGTTTTAGTCTTTCAAATTTTAAAAATATGGTCTTAGTTCTGCATACTAAATTTGATTGACTGAAATGATTTTGTTTAAATTGTTTAGTCCTTGAAATTTAGTATTTAGACTAAATCATAATTTTAAATTTGAGAGATTAAAATGAACTTCTTTTGAAATGGGAGACGAGAATCTGAAGGACTAAAATCATAACTAAACCAACAAAAATTATGCAATGATGTAAAAATGGTTGTCTTACCCTGATGTTTGCAGAGGCCAGCCTATACATAAAAAGCCTCGTAAAATACTTAATCCATATTTTAATCTTTAAGCATTATTTTTTTTCTATATTTTATGATATGTACAACTATGATGGATCTTCAACTTCGAACAACATAGAACACCCATATGAAGAATAGTCACTTTATAAATTAGCAAAAGGCTGAATTAACAATTTTACCTTCTTTTTTGGTAAATGTCACTACTAGGATTTAACGAGCTTAATATCTCAGACCATGGCATTTATAAAGGGTGTAGTTCCTTAATTTAGAGAATCCTTGAGAAAACAAAGTAGCATATACCATCAATTATACTTTTTGGCCTAGTCAAGCTTGAGCTAACAAGCTGTGTCAGGTATCCTTGCCATCATCAATAGCTATTAGCTTAGTAGTTAGCACTTGACAAGCACACGAAGGAGAAGTGCTCAATCACAGCAGAGAATTCTATGACCATAAGAAAAAACGTCCAACTATATAAAGTAACAAGTGACTGGAGACAGAAAAAAAAAAAAAAAAAAAAAGCAATAGAAAGAAATGTTATGATATAAGTTTTAGGATTAAGAATTAAGAATTAAGATTGAAGATGAAAAAATTTACAATTTTTTAAATTTAACTTCTCATCTTAGAAAGAAAAGCAATTGTACAGGTCAAGCACAACATGGGTAACTTAGAGTTGTCCAACATATATTTGAAAATTACAATTCAGATTTAGATATTCCAATACCAACACAAGTAAGGAAGAGTGAAAACAAACCAAATCCATCATAGGTTGATGTCCCACGCCCCAACTCATCAATGATTATCAAGGACTTTTCAGTTGCGCCTTTTAATATTGATGCAGTTTCAAGCATTTCTTGCATGAAGGTAGAAACACCACGTAGCTGGGGAGAATAAAAAAACTCAGAATTCAAATTAAGGATAACATTATATTATACATTTACTAAGTATCAACCAGTAACTTAAAAATTGCAGTTTTATATATTAGCCTCAAAAATAACAGAATGCCATTCTAGATTGGCACTGAAAAAAGTGATGATTTGGCAGTTGGTAATACCCTTACCGACACCTACATAATTTTGACCATTTTTAAACAACTCCAAATCCCATTAATGATGTTACTTATTCTAACAACAGAAATTAAATAAAGTGACAAAAGAAGTTTAATTTCATGCATTCAAATAGTCAATTAATACTAACAACAACATAAAAATCTTTCTACAAGTAGATTTATGTTTTGGATAAGCCCCATACAGTTTCAGAGAGGGGGGGTGGGGGATATGCAACTAACGGGGCCAAAGGATATGTTATAGGACTCACTTGGCAGTCACCAGCACCCACACGGGCAAAAATACAATCACGTACAGATACGCTGGCTTTGTCACAAGGAACAAAGGAACCAACTTGTGCCATCAAAATATTGACACCCACCTACATAGAGAAAAAACTGTTAGTTCCAACCGTGAGTAGCAAGAATGCCAGTATCATAATTATGAATGAGGTCTAAAATGTCTACAAAATGAAATGATCAGGCACCCAATTTGGTTGGTCACACTAAACACTAGAGTAAAAGATGAGATCCAACAATAAAAAAATTCACGACAATTAATTGGATTAATTTTTCCATTATAATGGTAAAGAAGACAAGCACCTGCCGGATGAATGTTGATTTACCACCCATGTTAGGCCCTGTTATTATTTGAAACCAAGTTTTTCCTCTGACCTGGTTTATTACAAGAAGCAATATAGAAAGAAAAATCTTAGTTCTTAATTTGAATGAAGAAATGTGTATGACTTTCCATGGATCGCATTAACACTTACAAGCCTACAATCATTTGGTATAAAATTCACCCAGTCTTGGGCTTCTACACAAGGGTGTCTGCAGCCTTCTAAAATAATATCTCCTTCATCCTATTAAAGTCAAAACGTTCAGTGTCATTCCGAAAGAGGTATCTCCAACCAAAACAGGGGATAAACAGAGAAGAGAAGCAAATGTGAGAAGGAAACAGTGCAGAAACTGTGAATACAGCAAATTAAGTACCGATGGAGTGATATCAGGTCTTGTGTAGGGAGTAGGGCAGCTAGAAGCCAAATCAGCAAAGCTCAGTAATACATCCAATTCAGAAATTATTTCCGCTAATGATGCAAACACCTGTAGAACAAAAATTCTTCAATTTAAGCAGAAAACAAGTAATCTTAAGGCATAACAAGTGTGTTTGAATTAGCTTAATTGGTATTTATTTGGTAAAGCTTATTGAATAAGTTTCAAAACCACAAAACAAAAACTATTTTTTTTCCTAAGCATTAATCTAATCTAAACTTGGTTTACATATACTACCTCAGAAAAAGTTGTCGCAGTTTGAACTACCCTATCAACTAACTTTTTTTGACAACTTTTGTACTCCTCAAGAATTTGTTGATATTTATCCCCTAGTTTTTTGAGCTTTGTGTTGGTAAATTTCACTCCATCTTTACGGGTTTCCAGTACAATAAACTGGGTATTGAGCTTCTTCCTTATTTTTGGCTCTTCCTTCTTTGTGATTCTAAAAACATGTCCAAATTGTGTGCCCTTGTCCAACTTTAATGCCTTATCTATAGGTAGATCAAGATCATCAGCAGTTTGTCTATGCAAATTATGTATTTGGCTCTCTAGTAACTCCTGCTGCTCCTTTAGGTTAGCTAGTGTTGAGTCATAGCTTGGAGAAATCATGTATTCCCTGTTCTCCAGTTGATCGAGGTCAACAGAAGCTTCCACGAGCCCAATGAATTTGTTCAGATGCTCATCATCAGTCCATAACTCAAGAGGCTCCAAATACCTACTCCTCATCATTGAGGAAAATTTTCCATCATATATTTTCAAAGCACTTTTGATGTAAGGTAGTCTGATACTTGACTGCACACAAGATAGTAATGGTGTTAACAAGAGGCCATATCATTAACCATTCAAGGACAATTTTATATAATAATAACGTTAAATATTTTTCATCCCTGTACTTGTCAAAATTGATTTTGGTCCCCGTAGTTTAAAACTTAATTAACCAGTCCTCAAACTTAAAAAAAAAAATTTTGATTTTAGCACTTCTATCAGGTTCATGATAGTAAAAATTATTACGAAATGTTAAATTTAAATGTAAAGAATGAACAAAAATTGCATATTGGCAATTTAGGCCTTTTAAGTATAAAAAGAATTAAATCACACATTTCCAAAAATTAATGAATTAATTCATCAATTTGAAGGTATAAGTAGGCAAGTTTAAAAAGAAAATACATAGAACAAAAACATATTTTCCCTAATCAATAGTATGGTTAGGTGGATGTAATTTCTATGTAGTTAAATTATGATGACAACAATGATAAACATAATAGTAAGCTTACCAAAAAACAGAACCAAAATTCTTGACTCGCAGAACAAGTAGTCCAATTGTAAGACAACCATAACATAGGTAAAATTCCACACCATATCAAAACCTAACAGTTAATAAAAATAAAACTCTACCTGATAAAGTTTAACAATATGTTGCAGACCAGCTCGCTGCTTCTGCAGACTGTGCATCAGTCGCTCAATGTCTGATATTCTTTTCAGATGCTGCCTCAGATCTTGGCGAAGCACAGTGTCCTCTACAAATGCTTGTACTATGTCCAGCCTGGAATTAATTTCCTCTACATCTACTAACGGCTGTTTAAGCCAGATGTGCAATAACCGTTTTCCCATTCCAGCAGTACAAGTCCTATTCATGAGACCAAACAAACTGAAATTTTTGTTTGCATCAGTTTTGCTTTCCAAGACATTAAGTGCTCTCATGGCTGCAGAATCTAACCTCATATAGCTGTCAAGATTGTACTTACGAAGAATATAATTTTCATAATTGCTTTCATCTGCAAGTAACTCTGCATAAGATAGTAACACCCCCAAAGCACCAGGTGCAAATTCAAATCCAGATACTAAATCTCGTACTGGTTCAATAGGACCTTTAACAAGCCTGCCAAGATCCTGCACCAGATCCCTGGTTTTAAATTCAGATTTCTTTTTCTCAGTTAACATCACACCACATTTGGTCAACACATCACACAACATTCTATTTTCAATGGATTTGCCAGGCTCTATGGGCAGAAGGCACTCTTTGCAGCCAAGTGCAACCAATGCTGACTCCACATTTGTGAAGTGACTGTCATCAAGGAATTCAGCCATCCCAAGTACTCTCTTAGTTAGATCAACAAATCCTAACCCAATGGTGCAACCATTTTCACGGAAGTTAAGTGACAAAGCAACAACAACAGGAGAATCTTGCATTTCACTGTTAGCAAACAGAACATCTTCAAAACTACCAATATTACCAGGTGTTCCACTTTTTACCAGTTTCCAATTAGAACCACTACCTTCATAGAGCTCAAGAGAATGATCTGTTCTCTCCAAAAGGAGATCACGAGCAATTGTTTCAAACATGTTCCTGCTGACACTAACACTGGAAAGAGAATGTGATCCACTACCCAGTTGTCGCATAGCAGTAGTAGTGTGGTAGTAGGTCTTTGCAATGAAAGTTGCATTGTCGCCATGGGCAGTACAGTAGTCCTGATAATTAAGAAAGGGCATTTAATCCAATTATGATCATCATAAAGCATAAAAAGGAGGAAATAAAGATTAAGAAACCCATTGATATAATATGAAGAAAATTCTATTTAACAAAAAATCATTCTGAAAATCTGACAAAATTGAAGAAACTCTTAAAAAGATGGAAAGAGATTGCAGCAAAATGGTTTGTAAACAAGAAAAATTAGATAAATAGTTTTTACAGAAGTACTTTCAGAGTTAATAAGCTTTAAGCATCATATTCAAACAATCCACAAACAACATCTAACCAAGATATCCTTATATTCTAGCACATATTAAAGAGCCTTACAAATCTGGGACCTATTTCTATCCAAATTACTTCAGGATTACAAATTTTGGAAATCTTCTTATAAATATTGCTGAGAAGAACCAAGTCATCTTATATAAATTTATTCTTCAAGAAACTCATATAAGATAAAATGTGAAAACTAAAGGTTCTATGACATTTCAGAGATCATAACTGCCTCTCAAAATATCTTAAGGACATGCCTGTTGGGAAATCGTATCACTTGGCATCTATTGAACAGAGTCATTAAAAAACTTAATAAATGAAAAAGACCAATTTTGTGTATGTACTTACCCGGCGATCAAAAAGCCGTACAGCCCTTGGATCCTGTTACAGAAAAAAAATGTATTACACATAATAATGGAAAAGTAATAATACCAATTTACAACATGTCAAAACCACTAAATGGACAAAAAATGGATTGCATGGATGAACACCCATATGCCATTTCATATGGCATTGGTTTTAAGAATGAGGAAATGAATAGCTAAACAACGTGTAAAATAATAGTTGTTGAAAACAACAAAATGTTAAATTTCACTACACAATACGTCGGGGAAGGATTGACACCACTATAAAATTTCACAAACTTGCTAAATAACTTCATGTAGAAAATTATTTTGATGGGTCTACTCATGTTATCACTAAATATCACGTGGCTGTTTCACTAAATTTAGAAAATTTAAACAATAATAAGAATATGACTAAGTTGTTGGTATTTTCAGAAGTGTATAAATCATGCGTTAAATCTGTAGTCTCTTAATGAAGAGAAAACGGCTAATGTGAAGTTTTCTAAGCACAATGGATGACAGATTTATACTTTCAGCTAAAAAGAAGAAAATGGCGCACCCATATAGTACTAATAACACTCTCGCTACAGAGCTAAGTCCGATTCCAAGAGAAAAGATGGAACGAAACGAGAAAGGAAAAACATTAAAATACTTACATCAGGTAGGTTTTTGAAAAATGATATAAACCCTTGCGCTTGCTTAGAATCTACCGACAACGATGAAAGAAAACAAGGAAAGCGGTTAGCAAACTTTAACTAATCACCAATAACAAAAAAAGAGTAATGAATATAAATGAAGTTAAAATAATAGTAATTTTCTCTTCTTTATAAAAGGGAAAAAATGGTGAATAACAGGATACCTAATTTCAGCTCAGGGAGCTTATTCGTTATGACGTCGAAATTTTCAGCCATTGCTGAGAGTAGGGTTTGTTCTAAAGCGAAACTGTGTCTGTGATTTGTTAGTGGTAGCATGAACTGTGAGAACGCACGCGCGCGGTTGTTTACGTGGGTGAGTGATGAAGTGAGAGCGTTTCTACTATCCGTGATGTTGGTGGCGGGAAATACTCGCGGGCTTTTCGGAGGCCTCAGAGGCCCGGCTATGAAGCTGAAGCCCGCGACTTCAAATCTGGATAACTGACATTTGAACCAAGCCCGGTCCAAAGGTTTCGTTAGGTTCTTCTCTCACGCTTATTTATTTATTTATTTATCATTTTTTTAGAAATAAATGAGTATATTTTATTTTAAAAAATAATTTTGATTCAGTTTATATCTATTTCTATCTATTTTTATTTTAGTTTCGTTCCAATGTTTATCACATCATATCAGTTTTGAAATAAAAAAGTTATGTAATGATAGTGAAGCTCATGGATGTTGGGGACAGTTTTTTTGTGTGTGTAATTCCTTTCCAAAATTAAAAATAAATAAATGATTTTTTATTATTTTTAAAAACTCATTGATAGATTTTGATGCCAACTCCATGAGATGATTGAGAGTATGAGATGATAACACCACTCAATTAAACTCCCTTTATCCTTTGATAGGGCTAGAAGATGAAAAATGACGGAGTCAAAAATAAATAAATAAACAATATAAAAAAAAGATAATTTAAATAAAAAAATATAAAGAAAGACTTAAAATTAATTTAATTGGTTAAAAAAATAAAATATATAGTAATTAGATAATATAATAAATTATTAAACTATCTTTGATTAAGCAATTAAATAAGATTTAATATATTAATATTTATTTTTTATAATTTAAAAAATAAAATATTGTATCAATAATGAAAAATTGTATAAATTATTCAAAATAATAAATTTAATATTAAACATTTATGTCACATATTAAATAAATGGCTATTAAGACTTTTTATTTTTTTAAATTTATACAAAATATTTTTAGGAAATACTCTTAAAAATTTTACTTTACTTATTGAAGTAACTGTATAAGGAAACAATATTCCCCTCCCATATATTAATACGATTTATTTATTTTCCTTCATCCAGATATTTGAATTCAGATTTGAATCAATTTATTTAATAAAGTAAAACTCAATTAGTGTGTAATACAGTGATAAATAAAAATAAAAATAGCATGATGAATTCGTGTAATTGAACACAATTCTGCATTTTCACTTTTCGTCAAAATTGTAGTCTTTCTCATAAATCAAACTTAAGGTCAACTACAAGTACAATATATTATAGGATGGCAACAAGTGTCATATTTTTGTCTGCTAAAAGTGAGGTAAGGTGAGCTAATCCATGACGAATTATAGGTTTTTGTATGCTCTTGTTAAAGGATGGCCTGGAGGTTAATCTGTCATATATTTTATTATATTATTTTTAAATAAAATATTTCAATAAATTTAGTAATACAATTTTCATTATCAATAATTCAATATATATATCAAGTTAATAATATAAATTAACATATTATTTTAATAAATTATATTTTAAAACAATTAAATTAAGATAAATTTTATATAATAATAAATACATGTTTGTAACAGTAAAATAATTTATTAAATATTTATTTTTATATTAAAAAGTATCAAATATATATATGATTTTTACTTTATAAAGAAAAAATAGCAAGAAGTAGATGATAAATAAGAGGAGAGAGAGACGTTTTATACTTGAAAAATTAAAGTGTTTTCGATATTGTGAATTTAAATAATTATAAAACTTTTTTAATTCTCTTAGTAGTAAGATACTAAAACTTTATAAATTATCTTTATGAGACACTCGAGACTTTTAGAATTATCTTCTCATAAATTTTTATATTATATATTGGTTTTTTTACTCATTGTATTGTATCACAATAAAAAAAATTATTAGTAAAGTGCGTTGCGGTGCGGGTCGGTGAGTTAGCGGGACGGACAAAAACGGTCTGATAGACTAAAAGTACTAACTCGTTCTGCCATGTTATGGTGGATTGGCCCATAAGAGCGGACCCATTTTGCTATTCTAATATATCCACAAAAATAAATAATGTAAATATTAATAGTTTTTTTTTCTCAAATAAATGTTATATAACATATCAAAGAGTAATATTGTCACATTCACACTATTTTTTTTTTAACACATTAATTGTAATTTTCTTTTGAAATATGGATCCAATTAAACCTTTTTAAGAATTTTGGGATGATTTAATAAAATACAAAAAAAAAAAAAGCAATTGAGTAATTAAGTAAAACAATTTTTCTGTATAACATTTCCAAAAATATTTAACCCAAAACTGTATAATAAGGCAAGGAGAAATATGTACTAATTTAGATTGTTCTTGTTTTTTAAATTAAAAGTATGTATCAAGGAAAATGTCAAGAGAATAAATTACTAATCAAATACAAACATTAATTTACATTGACAGTTGTATAATTTTTTTAATTATAATAATAATAATGTATATTTAAATAAAATATTAAATACTACTTTCTAAAAGATATAATCGTCTCAATTTTTTTTAATGATAATGATAACATATATTTAAATAATAAATATTTATTAATATTACATGTATTTAATTTACTTTTCACATATTCATATTTTTATTTAAACAATATTTTTTTTTCGTTAATTCTCCATCTTTATATATATATATATATATATATATATATATATATATATATAAACTATACTATTAGATATGTTGTCTAGATCACTCTTATAAACAGTGTCTAAATCACTTTAAATAATATTCAATATCAACTCAGATTATTTTTTTATATTCTTTAATAAGTAACTTCTAACTTTTAACTTTTAACGACCAAATATATTTGATAGTCGCAAAATAAAAATATAAACTATAGTCAATATAAATATTTTTCATATAAAAGTAGATCCAACGACAAAATCAAATTACTATGCTTTTTTATGATTTTTTCTTCAAAAATTATATATATATATATATATATATATATATATATATATTTCACTTTTTTATTGAGTATTTATCTGAATAAAATGTAATTAAATATAAAACTTAAACAAAGTCAAATAAATATCCACAGTTTAATAATTTTTTATAATTTTAATTTTATACATTTGTAAATATTTTATAATAAAAAAAGACATAATTTTTGTTATATAACCATTATATTTATAACTTTAATTATTTATATTTATATCTAAATTAAACAATATTATAAATAAAAAATAATAAATTTAAATTATTATAATGTATTTAATATTATAACTATGTAATAAATAAAATATAATAAAACTTTTAAATAATTTCTATAACGATTTTGTTTTATTTTTAAATTTTTAATCTCAAATTTTAATCAATATGTCATTAAACTTTCTTGATAACATTTTAAAGGTGATATTCATATAATATTAAAAAATATATTTTTTAGATTATACATAATATTTTAAAATAATAAAAAGATAATTATATTACATTTATAAGCATTATAAAAAGTTGAAAATTTATAACAACTATAGATATAAAAATTACAATAATATCTTATATTCAATGCCACTCACACTAATATCTTATATTCATGCCACTCCCATGTTTGATTTTTTTAATTACATTAATTTTTAATTTTATGTTATTTTTCTAAAGTTTTTTATTTAATTGCATCTTTAAGAATTTTAAAATTTTATAAAATAATAATTATATCTTACTTAAATATCACTAAAACTCTATTTTTTAGAAGTTGAATTTAGAGATGATAAACTTGAAAGACTTGATAAAGAATAATTTGTTGTATTTTTTATTAATTTACCGTCTAAAGTTGCTGAATTTTATTACAAAATTGTTGAAATTGTGTTTGTTTTCCACCTTTTCTTCTTGACAATTTAAAAAAAAATCATCAAACTTTATGTGTGGACTAATAATCACATTCTTAATCTTTTATAAAGTGTATAACATTTGCATGAAATAATAAATAATATACAGTGATTAATTAAGTTTTGTTATATTTTGTTTGAGAATTTAAGCATAATAAATACATCTAAATTTTTTTTAAATGGTTTATTGAAAACTTTTTCCACTTTATGCTTCAAATTGTGCCATGTTATAAATATCTATTTAAATTAACAAGACAAAATTCTTTAATAATTTTACTTGTGAAGAACATGGATTTTACCATCTTGATTGTAATTGATTATTTTTATACACCATTTTGTTAAGGCATAGAGTCCACAATCAATTATTTCATCTTTATAAAATTGTTGAATTCATATGAGAGATAATAAATTTCAAGATTTTTATAGACACATCACTTTGTTTCTTAAAAAATATTTAAAAATTTTTAAATACATTAAATAGTTAAAAAAAATTTCCCATGAAATTGATTAATGTCATACGAGTCAAAGTATGTATTTTTGTTATGGGAAAATGAATTCATTGGACTATATTTATAACGTGCACCAATTTTAAACATTTCTTTAATTCTATTTGTATATGGTTAACTACGATGTCTCTCAAGCTTATACTATATATTCACATATTTCATTTTTTTTTTCTCAAATTTTGATAATCCAAATACCATAATTTTTTAGAAAGCAACATATCCACTGTAATTTAGGTGTTAAAGTCTTTCTCATATTATACAAATAAAATATTTTCTCATAATTAAGTGAAGTATAAAACTTTTATTTATTTATTATCAATTTTATCACAATAACATTTTTTTCTTTTTGAATAAAAAAAATACACTCTCTATTCTTAAATAAAAAGAAAGAGAATAACCATGTTTTAAAAGTTGTTAAACACCAAACTTTTGTCTGATTTTGGCAAAAACGAAATTATGGATTATTTTTGTTCCTCGCTTTATTTTAACTCTAATACTTCAAAGTACTCTTTATTACTAATTGAATTTTGAGACAAATGAACATTTGAAATTAGCAAAAAACATCTCCACGCATGTAATTACAACAACCATTTTTACTCTATTTGTCTTT